GATTATCATGACCTGTACTTGAGGACAGATGTACTGCTGTTAGCCGACGTGTTTGAGACGTTTAGGCGGACGTGTTTCAAGCAGTATAAACTCGACCCCGCATGGTATTACACCAGCCCAGGTCTGTCGTGGGATGCCTTGCTTAAAAAGACCGGAGTTAAGTTGGAATTGCTTACAGATTATGACATGCACCTATTCATTGAGAAAGGCTTGCGAGGTGGGATCTCCATGGCAACCAAGCGATACGCGAAAGCAAATAATCAATACGTTAAGGGCTACGACCCTAGCAAGCCAACCAATCACATTCTCTACCTCGACGCCAACAACCTGTATGGCTGGGCCATGAGCCAGTATCTACCCACAGGGGGGGTTCGAATGGGTGTCACAGGAGGTCGATGTTATGAGCATCGCACCAGATTCGAATAAAGGTTATATCCTCGAGGTTGACTTGGAATACCCCAAGGCATTACACACATCACACAACAGCTACCCCCCTGGCCCCCGAACGTATGAGGGTTAACCCAGACTGGATGTCTGAGTACCAACATAACTTGTTAGGTGGGCGTGTGACAGACGTTGAAAAACTCGTGCCCAACTTAATGAATAAGACCAAGTACATCGTTCACTATCGCAACCTACAGCTGTACCTGTCGTTGGGTATGAGGCTGACCAAAATACACAGGGTGCTCGTGTTCACCCAGAGCCCCTGGATGGAGCCTTACATCAGAATGAACACAGACCTCCGAAAGCTTGCCACCAGTGACTTTGAGAAAAATCTCTATAAGCTCATGAACAACTCGGTGTTTGGTAAGACTATGGAGAACCTGAGGAAACGCGTGACCGTGAAGCTGGTTCGGTCGAATGAGGAAGACAAGCTCAGGAGACTGATAGCCAGTCCGGCATTCAACCGTAGCAAAATATTCACCGATGACCTAGTTGCCCTACACATGAAGAAAAGCCACATAAAATTCAACCGGCCTGTTTACGTGGGGATGAGCATCCTCGATTTATCCAAACACCTGATGTACGACTTTTACTACAACGAGCTCAAGAAACAGTACGACGACAGGTGTGAAGTTCTGTACACTGACACGGATTCCCTGCTGATGGAGATTCGAACCGAGGACGTGTACGTTGACATGAAAAAACACCTCGATTTGTATGACACCAGCGACTACCCTAAGGGCCATGCCATACACAGTACGGTAAATAAAAAGGTCCTAGGTAAGATGAAGGACGAGTGTGCTGGCACGCCCATAGCCGAGTACATAGGGTTGAGGCCTAAGATGTACTCCATACTGAAGGCCGACAATGGTGAAATCCGGAAGGCTAAGGGTGTTAAGAAGTATGTGGTGAAACAACACATCAAACACGCCAGATTCAAGGAAGCCCTGTTCAAGACCCGTACCTTTAGGCATAAAATGAACACACTTAGAAGTGATGGGCATAAGATATACGGACTGACTATAAACAAGACGTCCCTGTCGCCTATGGACACTAAACGTTGGATAGCTATTGATGGGATAAACACGTACGCGTATGGGCATGAGAAAATTGAACATGTCACGAAACCAGAGAAAGTTTGAGGCTATTTACTACAGCCCGCGTGGGTACTGGAAAGGAGCTAGTGCTGTAGATAAGCTAGCTAAAATGGCGCGAGTACCCCCGGAGGAGGCCAAAGCGTGGCTTGAAAAACAAGCCCTGTGGCAGATCTATTTACCGGCACCACGCTACGTGCCTAGAAGGAGGTTCGGTATTAACATACCTAATAGCGTTCACCAGGCAGACCTACTGTTCCTACCCCACGACAAGAGGTACAAGTATGCCTTAACCGTAGTGGACGTAGCCAGTCGCTACAAGGAAGCCGAACCCTTGACCGCGAAAGATTCGGCCCAGGTAGCCAGAGGATTCGAACGCATATACAAACGCAGTCCGCTGACGTGGCCAACAGAGCTGCAAGTTGACCCCGGACGGGAGTTCATGGGTGACGTGTCACAACTGCTAGCCAAACACGATACAAAGGTCAGGCGTGGCACGGCTGGAGCCCATCGCAGCCAAGCCATAGTTGAGAGATTTAATAGGACTTTGGCAGAGCTTATTCGACATCAGTATGCGAGGGAGATGGCAACCCCGGGAAAACGATCGACTGAATGGGTCGCGAGGTTACCCAAGGTGGTGTCGGCAATCAACCATGAAGTCACCCGGCTCACTGATAAGAAACCGGCAGACGCTATCAAACTAAAATCAATAGTTGCAGAGCCGGCTGCTCCATTGCGTGGGAAGGAGAAACAGATACCAGATAGGGCCCTAGTGAGGTATCTATACCAGCCGGGGGAACACGAGGGTGATAGCCGTAGGCGAGCCACCGATCCTATATGGTCAGTCAAAACTTACAACATAGATAAAGTGGACATCAAAGCAGACGAGCCAAACTTGTACTACTTGAGGGATGGGCCAGGTAGGGGGTTTGTGAGAGAAGAATTATTGATCGTACCGTACGGTACAGTGTTACCTCCAGCATAGCGGTGTCCCATTACTCCAGCCATACCCCCGGCGCGGCTAGGAGGTGCGTTCGCATCCCCCAACTTTTGTAGTAGGGGTAATGGTAGCAAGAGCTAAGTGTCCGACCAAAGCCTTACTTGTGAAATAAGGCTTTGCAGAGGCTTTGGTTGAAAGTGATCCAGAACCGCTATCGTCCCAAACTTTTTCATAGTAGGGGTAATGGTAGCAAGAGCTAAGGGCCCGACCAAAGCCTTACTTGTGAAATAAGGCTTTGCAGAGGCTTTGGTTGAAAGTGATCCAGAACCCCCATTGTATATACTACTAATAAGTAAATGTACAGGGACTATTTTGGAGTTTTGCATGCCACTCCTGTATAAAGCAATCTTTGCTTCTTCTTACAAGTAAATTTAAGAATTGATGTTTATTTCCAACTCCCTGCCATATCCACACAGAGCCAGGTCCAAATCTAAATAGAACTGTTTTTACATGTGTAGCCCAATTAAACCTATTATGCTCGGCGCTTGCGTTTAAATCTAGATTACATGACATTTTGTAAGCTTTAAATGGGTAGCGTGAAGAGGGCATGGAGAGCAGGTTTAACCAGTAAGCAATACAGCGTTTGAGAGTGTACACATGAATAGGATATCTACCAGTTTCTCCAAGGACAATTGTATTTGGTGTAGGCATTTGCAAACCAAGGTATCGTTTACATGCATAAAGTAATACCCATTCCAAACAATCACGTTTGCGAAAGCCCCATAATTCTGACCCATATAATAATATGGGTAGTATCTTACAGTCGAATATTTGAAGTAGATATCATATGACAAGTCTTTAAAGCTACAAGGGCATTTTGTAATAGACACTAAAGCTTTCGTTGCCTTAAGTGATTTGTTTTCGGCAGAGAGGGACCAATTTAGAGTTCTAAAATTATACTCCAAGGTACTGGTAGGATGTAACAACTTCAAGCGTAGTTGATGTGTATGTCCATTTTTCTGATTTTGATAGTTTAGGTCCATTGTTAAAGATCATAATTTTAGTTTTATCAAGGTTAACATTTCAGGACCATTTATTACAGTATGTTTCTAAAGCATTAATTTGCCTCTGTAGACGAATTACTGACTCTGAGAAAAACACCACATCATCGGCAAACATCAAAATAAATATTTCAATAAGATCTGGATATAATTGGACACCAGTGGAATATGAACTGTTAATCTCAGACACTAGATCGTTGATAAATAACGAAAATAGGCAAGGGCTTAGGACACAACCTTTCCTAACACAAACAGGACAGTCAAATATGTCTGTAAGAACATTGTTATTTGTGCGAACAGAGGCTTTAACATTTTCATAAATACTTTTTAAAGTTTTATCCATTTTTAAATTTGTGTCTCTGTACTGAATCAAATGCCTTGGAAAAATCTACAAAACATGCATACAGTTTGCCACCTTTCTTAGAAACATATTTACAAATTACTGATTGAAGAACAAATATATTGTCTCTGGTAGAATAACCTGCTCTAACACCTGCTTGTTCTTCGTTTATCATATCCAAACTGTCTGACCAGAATACCAAGCGGTTACATATAATGTTTGTATAAATTTTACCAAAAATACTTTAAAGTGAAATGGCGCGATAATTTTCCGGATTGTTTATATTGCCTTTTTTCTGTATTGGCACAATTATTGCCTTTGCCCATTTTATAGGGAATGATCCATTATCATACTATGTGTTGAATATGATTTCGAGGTAAGGTATGATGGTATGACAAGAGGACTTAAAGAACTCGCAAATTACGAGGTCTTCCCCAGCAGTTTTATTATATTTAAGTTTATTAATACTTGACTGGGTGTCCTCCCGTTTAATGGGTGCACTGAATGTATCATTAGTTATGTGATGTGCCTGGCTTTCAGGTATAAATATGCTGTCACCATCATCTACGAAGTCACTGGGAATCACACTGGAGTCCCAATCAAAGAGATTCTTAAAGTAGTCGTGCCATGAGCTTACTGTGATGTTATTTTCAATTTTTGTGAACATCAGATGTACTTTAGCTTTCGCCAAAATAATTGGGGATTAGTAATTGAGTCCGAGAGCTCACTCATAGTTCTGTTTTCAAACTTACGTTTCGCATCTCCACACGGAGTTTTGTAGATATTTCTTGACGAAATTTATAAATCTCGAGATGGCGTGTCCCTATGCTTTCTAAATCTATTAAGGTAATGACATCGCTGATGTTTAAGTGCTTGACATGTATTGTTAAACCAAGTTGGGTTTCGTTTGGACGATCTAATGGCCCGCTTCATGCGCTCTGCTTGACTATTACATCACTAAACATTTGTATACCAAGCTCACAATCAGAACACATTACTTCTGTTGCATTCTCCAACTCGCTTGACACCTCTGAGCTGTGTAGTAACATAATCTGTCTCATGAAGCAATCTGAAGACTTGATCATGTATTGTAAAGATGTCTACTTTTCTCTGTGCTGCAGGAGATGATTGACAACAAGCCGTGCTTCAACCCGTACCAGATGACGGATGACCAGCTGAGGACCGAGGTGACCGAGAGGGGGATGAGGGCAGAGGGGATGAGGGAACAAATGATCAACTCCCTCACCACGCCAACAAACAGTCAGTATACGTTGAGTTCTTGTTCATATCTTAATAACAAATGCATCCTTTTCGTGAGGACCAGGGGTAGACCTGCATTTTCTATTGCAGCTATAGGGTACTGGTTTCCCTTGCGAAGACGCGTTGCCTGTTTTAATATTGCTTATTAGGTCGAAAATCAACATTCATTCGCTTATTGATATGACTGTTACCAGACTAGGTTAAAACGAAAGTCTGAAAGCAATTAATGCTTTGCTATTCCAACCATTTCCGCTGTTAAGCCAACGGGTCTACTTGAAGTGCTATTTAGTAAACAGGCAACATTGTAAACCTTCTGTATTGTACATCCATGTTGCGTAAGGTTCGATAATAATATACCCACTTCTTGCAGCCTGTCCTCTGATGAAAGTCTCCATGCCTGACAACATCTACTGTACATTTGACGACAAATGTCTTGGACTGGAATGCTGTGTACATTTCAACCTCTTCATGTTCAGAAAAACATATAAGATGTTTGCGAGGTTCGACCCCTGTGATTTGAAATATTCTGTCGGCGTTGGGAAGTTCAACACGTCCATTGTTATCGACGGTGACCTGAGTGATATGTATGGAGGTTGGTGGCACTTGCTGTTTACTGTTTAAATTTAATCATGAAATTAAAACACATTAAATGGATATTATGTTAGATTACAAGTGCATGTGGACTTGCGCTGTATTCGTCAATCCTGCACGTCGACTTAACACATGAGTGAGTTTAGTTTTACGCCGCCTTTAGCAGTATTCCAGCAATAACGCTGCGGGGGACGCCAGAAATGGGGTTCGCACATTGTATCCATATGAGGAATCGAAGCCGTGTTTTCAGCGTGACGAGCGGACGCTTCTTTAACCACTAGGCTACCCCACTGCCCCGACTTAACACGTGGAGCAGATCACATGAGTGGAATGGTACAGGATCAGCGGCCCACTACTGTTCAGATTTGATCGTCCCATAAAACACCCGCACAGAAATGTTGTACTAAAGTATGAAAAGGGAGGTACGGTTATCCATGCTCAAACACGAGGTAGCAAACCTTCTACCTCTAGTGGTCATATCGACTGCGCAGACTGTGCATATTCCCAGGTCGCTTGTCTCCAAACCTTCTGACTAGGCATAATACATGATATTGTTGCAATAGGGTGCATTTCAATTGTATATAATGACTTTGAACTCTTTTGCGATTATGAATAATAGGAAGTAATAATATATAACTCAGTTTGGTAGAAGTTTTTCTTTCTTTTGGGAAATAACCTTATTGAGACATTGGAATAAAGAATGTTGTTTTGCTATTTTTCTTAACAAACAGTTTGTTCTGTTTTACAGGAGTGGAAAAGACCGTTTTGACGAATGAGAAACTGGATATCTTGGGAGGAATAGAGCTAATCATGAAGTATGAAATGTTTCCTACTTCCCTGTCCTATGTTAATTGCAACAGAAAGTTACACTTGTGAACGACTTACTTTCATCTACCGAGAGCAAAGCCGCTTTACTGATATAAACGCAAGGGTAATTCCTCGACGTTACTTAACTGTAGAGACGCTACATGTAATACTTACATTAGCTTGAAATGTTTGCCTGACGGAAAATTGTATGGTAGTCTTACAATTTGTCTACGTGATTGAAAGCTCTTTGTGAGGGATATTGAGCCAGATCACGGAAGGGGGACACCAGAAATGGGCTTCACACGCGCAATCAAACCCGGATCTTCAGTGTGTCGTGCGAACGCTATAACCACTAGACTATCTAACCGCCCCTCCGTAATTGTAAGAAGTGGAGTCGATTGCATGATTTCGATGCTATCATACACATTTTAAATGGGAAGGACATATTTATTTTAAAAAATAGGATTTCTGGTATTTCTAGTTTCACTATAATTCGGGATTGTCCGGAGTGAATCAAGAACATACTTATGTTCCCTTGCCTGAACTCTGATGCTATAATTCCTTATAAAACATTTCACAAGTGACAAATATAAACAAAGTTAAACGTCAACAATCTCCACCACCTTGTGATTTCTCCATTCAAGAAGATATGACGTGATGTAACCGAAATGATGTGGTCGTCAACTGACATGACATGACACAGCTGTTGTGGATACAGATGTTCATCTGTGTGAAGTGTGATGTGTCGATCTCACATTCATCAGTGTTGGGGATCTTTTTCAGAGTGAAGCTGGAGAAAGATGACACCGCTGCTCTCATCACAGTGGCCGCCGGCTTCTGTTCCCAGGACGACCACGACAACTGCATCGCATTCTTCAACATCCTGGACGAGTTTCCAACACCGCTACCGATATGTCATCCAGATGGCTCAATAACCTGGCCAGACGGTAAACATTATAAAAAATATATCACCTCGGAGAAACTGTGTCAAAATATGCCAATCAACCCACTCATGTTTATACAAAAAACTGGACTATATCTGTGACACATGTTACTAAGGCAGAAGTTTAATTTAGTTGCAGGGCATATTATACTTTCCTAATCGCTTGTATGAAATATATAAAGTTGTTTGGTAAATGGCACGTAGCAGTCTACAACCTTTGTTGATGTAATCACCGGAAGTGTCTTTCGTTTCAAAGGTAGCATGAGCCCAAACCACTATGAGTTTACTAGACGTTGACTTACAGACACACATTTTCGACACTATTTTGGTCTATATCATATATATATATTGGGGCATAGCTTCCTATTGATGCAACAAAAGACGTATTATCCCTTACTACTTGCCTGAAATCGATAATTGAATGTGAACAAATGCTCCCTGCATCAAAAACTGTCGCACGCGGTGTTGTCGGTGTTTGCTGAAATGGTTTCAATCACAAGTTGTGCGTAGGATATTCGTAAAGAGCGCTCCAAGGGACATAAGTCTATGGGGTTCGCTTGAAATAATGTTGGGCCGGTAGAGGGCTCGCGAGTCGATTTAATGCAATGTTGCATTAATTCATTCGAACGTTTAAATTTGATATTGTAATCTAAATGCGTAGTTATTTTTTTTAATAAATTATATGGTAGCTTGCAAGAGGGCTGATAGAATTATTGAGAGAAATGCATTATGTATTTTTAGAAAAGTGTTGTATCATATAGTGCCTTTAAGTAAATAGGCTGTCTTGATATTCTCCAATGCGGTTGGTGTTCAAATAAGATGCAGCAATAAACGGTTGTATTGATTCCATGACAATATCATGCCGGGCACTAATACAAACGATTCTTTTAGTAAAACTTGTCTAAGCGATTGGTGCACACATGAGGCGGCACTGTCACGATGGTTGAGTGTGATCAGTGTTATCTTGATCACATCAGTATCCGTGGACGCCCTGTTAGTGAAAAATGTATTGACTGGTACTTTTCATGTCAGTTAGCCTAACATCCTTTGTTTTAATTGCCAGTTGATTACAGGAGTCTGTTTGATAAGGAATCAATCAAGAAAAGAATTCGTGAAAGTGCCATAAAAGCTACCAAAGATGCTATAAAGAAAGGCATCGAAGAACTACTTGACTTCATTCCGTGTATATCCCCCAGTGTAAGTATGTATGGGATAGAAAAAAGAGTGTCACGTCCATCTTGATACTTCTAAACAAAACGTAAACATTAAGAGGAACGTTGATACATATATTCTCTAACGTAACCATATTTTACAAGGTGAGTGGGGAGAACAATATGCCAAGGGAGTGCATTTGCCTCTCTATGCCACTCTGGTCTGACATTACAGTCGGTATATAACGGCACTCCTCTGCCCTGTTTCCAGGCTCCAGGCAAGACGGATCCCTGTCCCAGACCCGAGGCCCTGACTCGTGATATCCTCAAACAGAAGCTACAACAACGAGGACTGGATGTCACGGGCACAACTCACGAACTAGTGCAAAGGCTCAGAGCTGGACACAAAAGTAAGCAAGGGGGAAGTTTTTATCAAGACATATCTACGGTTCAACCATCTGGGTTAGAACTGGTTTTCTGCAACCCATGCGTGTTGCAAAATACGACAAACGGGATCGGTTGACCATGACATGGTTGATGCTTGATATGTTTTACACAATAAACAATCCATATGGAAGTGGATAGAGCAAATAAGTCTTGGTCTTGGTTAGACGATTGTGTGGAAATAATGTGTAACATCTATTACATTGTTCCTTCAGCGTGCAGACTGATGAACAGGACAGTGACCCTCCCAACAATTAAGAACGAGGAGATAAACAAGATCGTGTATATGGAGATAGCCCCGGACTGTCTGCGGTTTGATGCTTGTGTTGATGTCAGGATTAAGAAGCTGAATTTCAACAAGGCTGTCAACGCTTACATTCAGCTAGACCCATGTAAATTCACAATGACCGTCAACTTTGAGGACTGCACAACGACAGTTATACTCCTGGGATACGACTGGGGTAGGTAGTGGGGGAACATATACCAAGCCCTATCATATGTGAAACCAACAAACAAGAAAGAATGGTTATTAATTAATTCCCTAATAATAAATAGTAAGCTTACAAATCAATAACATTTACGTTGAGGTGAGGTGAAATTGGGTTTAACGTCGCGCTTGAGAATATTTCGCTCATATTACGACGTGCATGCGTGTGTATGTGTAGGTGCGGCTGCTTGTACTAGCCCAGACTGAAGCTGGTTTTATAGTGCTAGCCTACTGAGATTCCACGCCGCAGTGAAGCATGAATACCCCACTCAGGCACATTATACTGACTCCTAGCCGACAAGTCCTTGTTGTACCCATTAATGCCGAGCGCCAGGCAGGGACCAACGAGTACCATATTTTAACGTCTTTTGGTATGACGCGGTCGGGGATCGAACCCGCGACCTTCCGCTCTCCGGGCGGACGCTCTAACCACTACACCACGGAGGCGGTCTATTTACGTTGAGTCCCAATGGGTGTACAAACTAGAGCAGCAGTACGCATTCAGTGGCAGACCAATTACAGTTGCAATATGAGCAGTGGTTGTAGACATCCAAGATGATATTCATACATCAATGGCTGTGGTCAAGATGCCAAAACAGGCCTGGGCCCCGTTCCTCAAAGCGATCGTAGCTACGATTGTGTTAACTCCCATACTTTAACATTGACTTACGACTGTCGTAGCGCTACGATTGCTTTGAGGAACGGGGCCCTGGGCTGGAAATCTAGGATAAAATGTGATTTCCATTGAAATGCTGGTCATGCTGTAATCTGAGATGAAATATATCATCTAAAGAAACCAAAGTGTATGTTCCGGAACATTCTGCATCACGCTGGCTGAGGTAACTGAAACATTACGGTTGCTTCATAAACTTTCAGACCAGTCGTGTTTCCCAATAATAGATATAGTAATAAGCAGAGCACTGCCTTCTGCCGCATCTTAACACAAACAATGTAATGCAATACTGCTTTACACTGGATAACACTGGCGCATGTTACATCTTTACAGATATAACTGTAAACCATTATGATGTCATACGTCAGAAATAGAAAAAAAACTGTTTCTAGGGTGTTACTCTGTATCCCTAAAATTTACACAACTGTAAATAGCATATGTCGAAATATCCCACATCGGCCTAACTGGACGTTCAGTGGGATGCGTAATAGGATATCCAGAAAAGCATGTTTACTCGTAACATCGGGCAAAACTTTAGATCAGACTATAGATAGGTCGCTCAGCCAGGTATGATGAGGGACCGTTGAGTCACCTGGCATGAAATGCATGTGCTGCCCACAGGCACAGGGGGGGTCATCTCAAAGATATTTTAGGCTTTTTCATGTGTGTTGAATATGTCTCTATTGATTAACATCTGACGCGTTTTATCTTTTATAAGGTTTATGTTGAGATATGTAAGAGATACCCATAGAAAAGCTTAAATCAGCCATCGTATTAAACGTCTCAAAATATATAGGTGGCAAGACCATCCGAAGATCGACAGGACTGGATATTATTTGTAAATGGTTGTGGCATGTTGTTTACTTAACCAGTTTAATTCACCCTAAGGAATATCCTTATCTTAGCTGATATCTCTATCCTCAAGTCCGACCCAGACACCGTCTGCGACCCCTGTCCTAGTTTTGCTTTTGAGACGACCCCTCTTACCTGTTTCTTTTTTATAGTGACAGTGAGACTCAATGGCAGCTACATCCTTAATAGATTCAGTATTAAAGTTATTATTTTTTACGTCAGCTACCGTTTATAATCAAGCTAAGTCTAATTTTAAAATGGGCATTTTAAAAGTGTCCTTTGCATTACAATATCATGGTCTGTCATTGTCTGTTCTAAGTCTGACCCGTGAAGATCCGGGGTAGAATAGGTCTTCAGCAACCCATGTGCTTGCCATAAAACGGCGACTAGTAAGTAACGGGATCAGGCTGACTTGTTGACACATGTCAAATTGTGCAGATCGATGCTCATGCTGTTGATCACTGGATTGTCTGGTCCAGACTCGAACAGACCGCATTGCTGAGTGCGGCGTAAAACTAAACTCACTCACTCATTCACTGTTCTAAGTCTAATATCATAGTAAGTCATGGTCTGTTCTAAATAAGTCGCTTTGGACTTTGAAAAAACCGCATTGCTCTTTTCTGCACTAATCCATTTTTCACGTTTCCTGTCTCTCTACCACTGAGACTGTAGTTAGGCCGAACTTAGTTTAACAGATATTTCACACTTTCACATACTAACTACCTAAATTGTAGATATAAAAGTGAGAAAACCCAGTTTTTTTCTATTTCCGGCAGTACTTTAGTGTAATATTGCCGTAACAATATTACACTGCAGTATCTTCCACATGCGACAATTAATTACAAATACACTGCAGTGCTGTTTCAGACAGGTAACACCTCTACGAGTCCTACTGATATTTCTGTTATTCCATTTACAGGGAAAGAGAAGACCACTAGACTGAACGAATGGGTTTCCATAAGGTAAGACTTTAATATCCTTCATAAAGTCGAGTGAGTGAGTGAGTGAGTTACGTTTTACGACGCTTTTAGCAATATTCCAGCAATAGTATGGCGGGGGACACCAGTAATTGTACCCATGTGGGGAATCGAACCCGGGTCTTCAACGTGACGAGCGAACGCTCAAACCACTAGGCTACCCCACCGCCCCTTATAAAGTTGATGTAACGATAGTAATCATTGTGTTTTCCATAAAGGGAACAGCGGTGGTCATGTTAACGGGTCTGTATTTACATGTTCGACGTACGAAGGGTGTTTAACTTTCTAAGATAATACAGATGCTGTAGCCAGACCAAATGTTGTATATATTACGAGGTACTGACATAAAACATTTCAAAACAACTGACTTCGTCTTGCGACTGAGCAGATACATGAATTCAGTCAACAAATAGCCTTCACTACCAATACATTACGTGCACCGTGAGACCGCCTCCGTGGTGTAGTGGTTAGAGCGTCCGCCCGGAGAGCGGAAGGTCGCGGGTTCGATCCCCGACCGCGTCATACAAAAGACGTTAAAAATGGTACTTGTTGGTCCCTGCCTGGCGCTCGGCATTAATGGGTACAACAAGGACTTGTCGGCTCAGAGTCATTATAATGTGTCTGAGTGGGGTAGTCATGCTTCACTGCGGCATGGTACCTCAGTGGGCTAGCACTTTAAAACCAGCTTCAGTCTGGGCTAGTACAAGCAGCCGCACATACACATACGCACGCATGCACGTCGTCATATGAGCGAAATATTCTCAAGCACGACATTAAAACCAAATTTCACCTCACCTCACCTCACCTCACCTTACCTCACGTGCACCGTGTTCCAGGTACACCATTGACAGGAGCGAGGCAAGGAAGGTGTTCGTGGTTGACATGGGTCTACAAATCAGTCTTGGAGAACTGGAACCTATAATGGACGCCTTATTGATCGAAAAACTGGACGTACCGATACCCATTTGTAATGAAAACTTCTCTCTGCCAGGTAAGTGCCGACAATTAGAAAAACTTTAACAATACACTTTAGTTGTGAAGGAGTAAATATTCACAGACCTGTACCATGGTCAGAATGTTCAGAATACTGACGCTCACTGGTCGTGATTCAACAAAGAATGTTAGGAAAACAAGGCATGCCATTACCTACCTACATACTATGGTTCGTTTGATCGGATATCGACTACGGTGTTTCACCATATAGCAAACGCATAGATAGGGTACGTCTTTTACTTCGCTTGGATTGAATAACAATTTCACACATGGATTTCGTAATTTCAGGAAACGGTTCTCTGAAGAACCTTGCAAAGTTAATGGGAGGAAAGCTGATCAGAGAAGTCGTGGATTTGGTGTTTCAAAAACTTGGACTGGATGTGAGTCTTAAGAAGTGCAACTAAATCATATGATTGAAGTGTCAGCACGATTTGAAGCAGTCAACAGACACATTATTAGATATCTATATGAAACTGTAGCATATATAAGACGTGGCGTTTATATATTTGCTGTGTTCCTTAAGTGTTATTTATCTATACTTTTTCTCTGTTTTCAGAAGGTTTTGTCAGACAGGAGTTGCCCAGTATTAGAACCTCAAACAGGTACATAGTCACAGCTGAACGATAAACTACTATGTTGTCTCTTACGTTTATTATCTGATATGATTGTACTTTCGTAATGCTCACGTTAATGTTTGTGTAAAAATTCTATGTGCACTATGGTCTGATATTGATACTCTCCTACTCCCACACTACAGTCAACTCGACCACCTTTCGATGGACCGCCTCCGTGGTGTAGTGGTTAGAGCGTCCGCCCGCGCGTCATACCAAAAGACGTTAAAATATGGTACTTGTCGTCCCTGCCTAGCGCTCAGCATTAATGGGTACATCAAGGATTTGTCGGCTCGGAGTCAGTATAATGTGTCTGAGTGGGGTATTCATGCTTCATGGTATCACAGTGGGCTAGCACTATAAAACCAGCTTCAGTCTGGGCTAGTACAAGCAGCCGCACATACACGTACACACGCATGCACGTCGTCAGATGAGCGAAATATTCTCAAGCACGACGGTAAACCCAATTCCACCACCACCACCTTTCGATGGTGCCTCAGTAGTCGCTCTAACATGATTTCACACAAATCTACCAATAACATAAACTACACAAATAGGTGAATACGCCAATGTAATATGTGTGTTTGAAAACATTCTGTTTATATTTTGTTAGTATTCATGTTCGACCAAGCATAATATTTTGGTCCTCAGACTGCCCTTGGGCCCTTCCAGACTACAAGAATCTGCTACCCGCCAGTTTCCAGGACAACGTCACCTGTAAACAGCCGGACAACTGTTTCGGTATAGAATGTTGTGTGGACTTCTCGTTTGACATCCCACTGTTTGAGAACCCCCTCGTCAAACACGTCCCCTTCTTCCTGAAGTTTGAACCGTGTAACTTCACTGTGGAGGTCGGCTTTGGGAGCTACTACCACAAGGAAAGGCTGTTGACATACAACTGGGGTGAGTCATTTGATTGTTTGTATACAGTTTTATTATAGTGTGTTTGCAGTGAAAACGTACCGATGAATTTCACTTTAAACAAAAAATATATGAAATAAAGTGAAATTAAGTTTGTGAATCCTCATAATTTTACCTTGCCAAATGAACATTTTAATCTGAGAATTATCCAATTTAGGATAAAAGTTGTTTAACAAATGGTCATAGTTTCAAATCGCTATTATTTGTTTGTATTACAAGGGGGAGTGTTAAATGTTCAGTTGGAAAGGTAGTATTATCAGTATTCGCAATCTTAATTTCACATTATTTTATTAATTTACTTTTATGTTTAAAGTGGAATTCATTGGTACGTTTTCACTGCAAACAGACTGTAGGTCATTTGATTGTTTGTATACATGGGGACAACATTGGGACATCTGGGGGAAACATAAGTGGATCAAGAGGGGAGGTGCAGTGGTGCGCATAATGTTCATTTTATCTGCACAAAAACATACTGATCTCAGTTTACTTGGTTAAAATTTTATTGACTTCAACTGATTCAACGTAACCAGTGTATTTTCACTTTGGCCTCTAAAACACCTCATGGTATAGACTGGTCAAACACCATAATCTATTTCCTTTCAGATTTCTCTCTGAGTGAGTGGCTTGAGGAAAAGGGTGGTGAGATCACAGCTCAGCTGTCAGCAGTCCTGATGGAAGAGCTCGGTATTAAACAGCTCCTGCTGGACACACAGTGTCAGGACTACCTGGAACCTTACAGCGGTACCGTAAGGGGATGGAACAACGGTACGTTTACAGCAGAATGTCTCCGACCTCACCCTTTACAATACCAAAGGAATATATATTTATTTGTATGTTATCTGTTTATTTATAACGTACGATTAACTTGTTCCTTATGATGACACGCTGTTTTCTGTTTTGGTGCATGTATTGTTCAATTTGTAAACTGCAGAGAGAGCAGATAGGACTGAAAGACCATATAGCAATGTCACTGTGGGTTGTAGTTAGTCCGATAACAGACAAATGAAGTGTCTCGCATAATTTAACTCTGGTCCAGACTCGATTTGTTTTCAAAAAACATCATACAGCTGTAATACTGCTGTATGCTCATGATATAGTAACATTTGAACAATCGACTATGCTTTTAGCAGAGATTTCTTATGAATGTGGACAGTGTTTTGTGGCGGCTTCTTTTTATGGACCAATGATGTTATACTCTTGCATTCTTGCTAATGCAAATGATATTGAGAAATAGGAAACCTCAGGGATAATATTACCTAAAACATGACATGTTCGTCATGACAAAAGTGGCACATGTCTTGTTCAACAAGAAGTATTTGGATATATTGTTAATTCAAAAGCACATGTACTAAGTCGGAATCGTGCAATGATTTTCTTATGAATATGGAACGGGGTTTTGTTGGAAGTTTTCTTTCATTTAATAACAGTTTCCACGAAGGTATCTTCTTGAAGATGAGTTGGAAGCGTCACATTATATCGCATGATTTCAGTCAGAGACGCGATATTTCGAGATAACCAACACACTGGTGAACAATAACGGGCTACACCTTTCCTCCCATACGTGAAAGTTGGTAGAGGACAAAAAGTGTGATCAGTTGATTAATATTTGGCGTGAATGTGTTTAATTATATTTACCTGTTTTATTCCGCACATTGCGTGCCAAAGGGTATGGATGTCAGTTTCTTTCCTTCTTCAGTTTCTTTACAAATGTACGTATGTTAAACATTTGCAGATTGTCCTGAGAATCTCACACTGCCAGCTCTTCCATCCAACGTATTATGTCACGTGACTGACTACTGCACTGGGGTTATGTGTTGTGTCAAAGTGTCACAGGTCAAACGGAACTTCAATGCCTACCTCTTCTTGGACTCCTGTAACTACAATATGAGAGTCGGCATTGAGAAGCTGGAGTTTAGTCACACACTGTTTGACTACACATGGGGTAAGTTGTACACTGTTTAACTATTATACATGGGATAGGTTGTACAGTGTTTAACTATACATGGGGTAAGTTGTACAGTGTTTAACTATACACGGGGTACGTTTACACCGTTTAACTAAACATGGGGTAAGTTATACACTGTTTAACTAAACATGGGGTAGGTTATACACTGTTTACTTATACATGAGGTATGTTGTACACTGTTTAACTATACATGGGATAAGTTGTACACTGTTTAACTATACATGGGGTAAGTTGTACACACTTTAACTATACATGGTGTAAGTTGTATACTGTTTAACTATATATGGGGTAAGTTGTACATTGTTTAACTATACATGGAGTAAGTTGTACACTGTTTAACTATACATGGGGTAAGTTGTACACTGTTTAACTATACATGGAGTAAGTTGTACACTGTTTAACTATACATGGGGTAAGTTGTACACTGTTTAACTACACATGGGGTAAGTTGTACACTGTTGAATTATACGTGGGGTAAGTTGTAAACTGTTTAACTACACATGAAGGATAAGTTGTACACTGTTTAACTATACATGGGGTAAGTTCTACACTGTTTAACTATACATGGGGTAAGTTGTACACTGTTTAACTATACATGGGGTAAGTTGTACACTGTTTAACTATACATGGGATAAGTTGTACACTGTTTAACTATACATGGGGTAAGTTGTACACACTTTAACTATACATGGTGTAAGTTGTATACTGTTTAACTATATATGGGGTAAGTTGTACATTGTTTAACTATACATGGAGTAAGTTGTACACTGTTTAACTATACATGGGGTAAGTTGTACACTGTTTAACTATACATGGAGTAAGTTGTACACTGTTTAACTATACATGGGGTAAGTTGTACACTGTTTAACTACACATGGGGTAAGTTGTACACTGTTGAATTATACGTGGGGTAAGTTGTACATTGTTTAACTACTCATGAAAGATAAGTTGTACACTGTTTAACTATACATGGGGTAAGTTCTACACTGTTTAACTATACATGGGGTAAGTTGTACACTGTTTAACTATACATGGGGTAAGTTGTACACTGTTTAACTACACATGGGGTAAGTTGTACACTGTTGAATTATACGTGGGGTAAGTTGTAAACTGTTTAACTACACATGAAGTAAGTTGTACATTGTTTAACTACTCATGAAAAATAAGTTGTACACTGTTTAACTATACATGGGGTAAGTTGTACACTGTTTAACTACACATGAGGTAAGCTGTACACTGTTTAACTATACATGGGGTAAGTTGTACACTGTTTAACTATTATAATACATGGGGTAAGTGATACAATGTTTAACTGTGTATAGGGGAAACGGTACACTGTTTAACTATACATGGGGTAAGATGTACATTGTTTAATTATTCATTGGGTAAGGTGTACACTATTTAAGTATTCTTTGGGAAAGTTGTACATTGTTTAACAATATACTCATTGAGTACGCTATACATTGTTTAACTATTCACTGTGTACATAGTTTAATTATGTGTTTTTAGATGTAGTACACCGTTTATTTATGGGACGTTTGACTACACTGTTTAACTATATGCTAGATATACAGCAATTATATAATTATATATCATGAAATAGAACTGTTCGTTGTTGACGAAGCATTTATTTATCAAAATAGATGCATGTACTTGTTGGTCAATGACCTTTCATAACATTGTATTTCTTTGAAAAGGTGCAACTGAAGTAATTGATCTTGGAGGACTTGTCCGAATAGAGTAAGTATTATCATTGCTATCATTCTTGTAGTGACGATCATGCAGTTACAATCAACAATCGGGAGTCATTCTAATCCGCGTCAAGGTGTACTATTAGTAGAGGTAAACATATATAAGTCGACGGTTTACTCAATGAGTTGCTGTCAAAGAATTACAGAAAAAGGATAATTACCTTTTCAGATATACCATCAGCTCTGGTCAGAAGAAGTTCCTGGTGAACCTGAGCCTTAAGGTTTGTCTGACTGCTGGAGAAGCTTGTCCGTTTACCTTCCCTGTGTTCACAGACATGATCATCCCTAAACCTTTCTGTGACTGGGAGGCCACCAAGCAGATACAAAGTAAGTAATGGTTGTCTGTTCTATTTTCTTTTTGCACTAGGACTGACACATGATTTGAAAACGACTTTCAGAATAATCCTTGTAGCAAAGATGAATTGCCCTATATCCATGTCCACTGATACATACATATAATGTTTAATCTAATCTAATGGAGAAAATGATTTGTGAACAAATGACAAGAATGTAGACATGAAGTGGTGTTTGTCTCCTCTGTCATAAAGACTAATGGTGATTTCCTTAAATACACCACAAAACTCTTTCCTCATCCTCAAGAAGTCTCTGCTAAAAGCAAAATCGACTGTACAATTCCGTAGGTGTCATGAGCATGTGTATATGCTTCACAAATAGTGATGTCACCAAGTGAGTGAGTGAGTTAATATTTAACGTCACATCGGCAATATCTCAGCCATATCGTGACGAGATGTCACCAAGTGTTAGCGAAACGATAAGCGCAACCTGTCCAATCGGGATCACCCTCCTAAACAAATACGAAGATAAGCCTGAAAAAATCCACAGGTTCGTATGGTACATGCCAAATTAGGGAATGTCATCGGAGATCATTTTGTTCCTGATGCCTCCATATTGGAAATGTCTTCCCAATGACTACCATAAACCGTTTTAAAAGCTTTACTGAGACATTTATTGTTCAAACCTTGTTCGGACATGAATTATTGAGGACTACACCATGTCTTCTTGTTTACAGTCATTGATTCGTGGTTCTGTTCCTCCAACGCCCCAACCAGCGTAACAATGTAGATGTCCAAAACACCACTGGTCCGTTATTTTCTGTCGAATGACATGTAAGTTTACTTTGCTTCAGATTTCTCGCTGAGCGAATTTGTGACATCAGAAGGTGCTGCCCTGACAGACAGACTGACCGATGCATTGGTCGACAAACTGGTGGAAACTTTGGAGCTCTCAGAGTACCTTCTCGAAACACAGTGTTCTCTGGCTGGTCGAGGCAAGGCTGGCTGGAATTCAGGTCAGGTGGCATTACATTCAAATCCTTTAAGGATCAGTTAAATTCTTTCTACAATTTTGTTGCTGAAACTGAATGTATAGGTTATTGGCTGATGTAACGTTACCTTCACTTTAGCCAAATCCAATATATATTAAAATGAATCAGACCGACGAGATATGCCCTAGATATGACTTACAGTGATATACAACAAGAACCAAAGTTGATGAACCATTCTGGAAGCAAACGTTAACTCAATATTACTGTGGATGGACCATTAGTTGGCAACAACAGTCAGACAATCATACAATGTATTGAAATTTAATCCTCACTCTTCCTTCCTGTTTTGTTTCAGAGTGTCCGAGAGATGTTTCACTGCCAACATTACCCGACTCTCTGTCCTGCAGTCTTCCCGACCATTGTACAGGAATAGACTGTTGCCTCAATGTGTCTCTCATCAGTCGGAACGTCCACTTCAAGGTCGACCTGAACATGTGCAAGATGACCCTTACCTTGGGCATAGAGAAGCTAGAGTTTAGCAGGCTGCTGTTCAACTACCAATGGGGTAGGTCAAATGCGATGTAATTCATGAAATACTGTACATGCTGGGGTAAGTGAGGCCCAATTATAAGCCACGATGAAGTAATTTTAGCAACCAATGTGCCTTTGTTATGGATAAATACTGTACAGTTGAGTATACGTTTCTGGTCAGTGTGTGTGTTTGTCTTTTTTCAGGAACACCAGACAGTTTCAATTTGAAGGGAATATTCCGAGCAGAGTATGTCATTTAAATGTTCTTATCATCTTAGAGCTGACACTGTGGCTGCGATTTAAATATGGCATTTGTTAAACGTCTAACCTATATGACTACATTTCATTAATAACAGTGGTAAGAACAAGTGCTTACAGTTAAAGGGATGATTACTGAAACAAGGCGTGTTTATTAGTTGTAAAGAAGAGAAATGTCGCTTTCATTTTCAGTTACGTCATTGACAACCTCGAAGGAGAGAAACAGTTCCTTGTAAGTCTCAACATCAGTGCCTGCTTTGAGTCTGGAGGGAAATGTCTGGTTACCCTACCAGTGTTAAACCAAGCCAGGCTCCCCAACCCTGGATGCGACTGGAACTCAACACTGTCACTGAGAGGTAAGCCTATGGACTCCCAGTATTTTTGGTTTGGTTTGAACATCTCCGTGCAACAGGAGCCTCAATGTAAATTGCATTTAACCTTACCTTAACGTTTCCTACAGCATAGTTTTGTGCAAACCGAGGAATAATATTTGTGAATATTGGCACCTGTGATGCTATTGTCATTACTAACGTGATTAATCGGTATATGTTTATGGCATGGCCGAAATCGCGTAAAGGATATTTCGTATTATAATAGAAATGCCACTTTTATCTTCATGCAATGTGGCTAATATCCTCACAATCGTCCCATTCTTTATCGTTTATGTAGTTTATGCTTCTATGTATGCTGTCCATCATTATGAAATGATGCATGTAAAATGTCGTCTTACTCTCCCCAGGCTTCTCCTTGAAGAACTGGCTTAGCAATAACGGTCTAAACACCAGCCACGCCTTGACATCAGCATTCCGGTTCCAACTGTCTCTAGCTCTGGGTATCTCTGAATACCTTCTGGACCCCATGTGCGACAGGCAGAGGGGGATATACAAGCCGGGATGGAATAATGGTAAATGGTTGTAAAAATCATTTAGTTTGCAGGAACCATGCAAATTACTATATCTATCCAGTTGCTGAAATGAAGGAAAATATCTGTGCAACTAAAAAGTAGAAACCTCTGGTTATCTTAAAGTTAGGAAATTGTTTTGGCCCATAATTGGGTTATTATATGACATTTCAGCGTGTCCAAAACCAATGACCCTACCAAGCCTCTGCGGGTGGAATAATGGTAATGGCAGCATATGGTGGAGCCTTTCTTTCCTTTGTATACATAGCAATACCTTGCTGCTTAGCAGATCTATGTTGTTGACATGTGTGATGGTTCCATAAGATTAAAAGAAATTACCAAACAATTCGTGCATATCATCAACAACGGAATGTTATTAACGGGTTTATATCTCCCATGAGAAGCAACATATTGTGTTTAGTCATATGTTAATCATCTTTACATCGGTGATATCTGATGTTGGTAAAATGAAGAACAGGTAAAACATAGAATAGATAAACATAGAATCATTCCATCTTCCAATCTAAACGTTGCTCATGGTAAACGTTTCAGAATGTCCGCTGCAAATGACCCTACCAACTCTCCCGAGCAGCCTGTCGTGTCATATTCCCGACTACTGCACTGGACTGGACTGTTGTGTGGATGTGGTCAGTCTGGGAATGTCCTTCAACTTCAAGATCCTCCTGGACACACGGAACCTTGTCCTGACTGTCAGTATCGAGAAGCTCACCTTCCAGACATCATTGTTCAACTACAAGTGGGGTAGGCCTCATTACAGCAACCCCATAGCCATGCAGATCATGTGTATTCTACTAAACAGACAATCAATTTTTAAGTTTTTGTTACCAGCAGTAGAGTGTTTTGGCAATTGGTAGGCCTCATTTCAGCAACACTACTGCTCAACACAATGCTTATTTTGAACAGAACTGTATGTATCGGGACACAGTTTCATTTCTTGATGGACTTTTTGTCATTACGAAAACACGCCTTAATCATAGCTCTCTACCGTAAATACATTAAATAAATGAACCTTTAGAGGCAGGCATACCTGGCTGAAAATCTATATTTGATTGCAATTTCTAACATTTCATTATTTTGATAATGATTTGCAGGTGAATGGGACTATTTCAACCTCAATGGTGTGGTTAGATTAAGGTGAGTTGCGTGACATATAAACTTATAAATTGTTTGTTAATCGTGTTTCTGTAACGCAACAAATTTCATTCAACAATATCCTCCTACACTTAGCCTTCAATATGCTTATATTGAATTGAGAACATGTGAATCAGCCTAATATGTGGTACAATCGATTCCGTATGTATGGCCAAAACAGTGAGTGTGCTTCATCTTTTCAGTTTCAAGATTGACGACCTTGTACATGCTTGGAAGTACCTGATGAGCCTGAAACTCTCGCTGTGCTTTGAAGCAGACTCTCCCTGTGCTCTCAGCCTTCCTGTCCTCACAGATATCAGCTTCCCTAAACTGAAGTGGAACTGGGACAACCCTCTTTCCTGGCCTGATAACGGTAGGGCACAAACCTCTCATACAACTTAGACTGAACTCATAAAAGTGGCGGATGCTGCCAGTAGGGCGTGACAAGCCTACCCTTTAGCGAACATCTGGTGTCATTACTGATTTTCAGTGGTCCATTTAATAAATATTAAAACCTATTGTCGTAACTGGCGTTTGGGTGGTAGTAAACCCTACCCCAGTTACCTATTAATTATGGTCGTTCCACATTGTTCGGGGAGATGGTAGCTCTGGCGCTCCACACGCTTGGTCCGTTGCAGGATGCTAAATCAAGGAGTGAGGGTTCGGACGACCGTGACTCCTAATTAACCACATAACATTCATGTACTGGTACACATGTATTCAAAGATAAACGCAACACCACGTTTATACTCGCATAGTTTTTACTCTGTCTCAGTCCATCTCTCTAACTACAACTTCAACATCAGACAGGGCAGGTTCGTACCACACGGGGCAACTGAGTGGCGTGGACTGGCTTCCGTCACTAAAAAGCGCGCACCACTCGCTCAGTGCCCAACCTGTCTTTTATATATGGTTCGAGCCTGGCCTGATCTTGATCACATGTTTCAACTAATCATTTTGATTCGGTTAGCCTGTATCCGACCTTGCACTCATGAATGTTACGATTGGAAAAGTACCGGTAAGAATCGTTCGGTCACTCACCCCTTTGTTGTTTGTTTCAATATAAGATTAATCTGTTATGTCTTTCAACAGAATGTGTTCTGACTCTCTTTCCATAGCCTACGGCTAAACTAAACGCCATTCTATGGAAACTTTCCGTCCCCATACCGTGCCTAACCGTTATGACTCATGAGCAAACTGCAAATCTAAATACGAATCTGATGTAATTCTCTCATGGTTTAGGGGATGCATTTTTACCTTATAACACTATTTTGCCCTTTAGACCAAAATGGAAGTTTTATACTTGTTGATGCAATACCGACATTGGACAATGTCCTTATGTCCTTTTGATCATGTGCATGTGTTTTCACACAGAGACAACGTCATACATTACAGAGTATAGTTGTGTGTCATTTGTTACAGGGTTCTCTTTGAAAAAATGGCTGTCTGATGTGAAACTTCCATCCGGTAAGAAACTGGCCACTGTCGCTGTCTCCCAGCTCCTGGACGTACTGGGTGTCGCGGGATTCCTGACTGACCCCCAGTGTAACAGGACCCTTGCCCCCTATGATGGAGCTGTTGGGGACTGGAAGAAGGGTAAACTCCTTCTACATTCCCTATGAACAGTGATCCTTGTGATAAATCTGAATTTCATGGAATCTTAATGTAAAGACCGACACATTATTATCAGTGGCACAAGCAAAAATGTCTCGTTGTTAACGTGGGGAAACCTAAATAGTTTATGACCTTAATGTAAATCCGAACACTTCTTGAATGATAACAAATCCGGGCGTGGATTATGGTTAAACATCTCTGCAATGTAGGCTGATGTAATGCGGTTAATAGGTCTCCAAGTCCATATAAAATGTGTAGAGCTAATTCACTGTGTTTAATCAGCATTTTTCATTGATTCAACTGGGAAACAATAGCATACACTGGTATCTGTGAAAGGCCGTGTGCTTTACAGCAGACTCAGAAATGTGTCTTCATTAATATGTGCGATTCATAAATACATGTCCGTTACCTTGTAGAAGTATTCTGAGCTCATAGAATACGGTGCTGTTTTGTTGAAGCAAATGCAACGGGAAGTTTGGGCTATTGTTTCCAATGTTGTAATGAATATAACAACTTAGATGCCATACAGTTTCATAGTGTATAAAAAACAGATTCACAGATGTTTTATGTTTTCAGATTGCCCTGCCAGTCTCACCCTGCCAACACTACCAGACTCCGTCACCTGTCATCTGTCGGACCCGTGTGGCTCCATACAGTGTTGTATTGATGTGGACTTTATCGGAAGATCCTTCAACGTCCAGGTTGGAATAGACCCGTGCACCTACACCTTCACCATGGGCATAGAGAAGCTGGTCTTTACCAGGATCTTATCCAACTACAAATGGGGTGAGCAGGGTGCTGTTTACCATTTGTGAAAAGTAATACACTTCTAAGTTTGACAGAATAAAGAGCAATTGTGATTTGAGGGGACATGAGAAGAACGTTACAGTATTGTTGATTTCACTGTTCTGGATGTCCGGAAAATCGAGGAATTTCTGAAGGTTTTTGTACGTGTATTTCAACTGTCTTAAATATTGTTTTCTTTACAGGAAACGTGGAACACTTCAGCTTGAAGAACGTTATCCGTGTCGAGTAAGCATTGCTTTGATTTTGCTACTACTACTCTGATAAAATACTAGTGCTGGGAATTGGTTGAAATCTCACAATTGATGATTGCTTCATTACCAACGAACAATCATCGACAAAAATTGGTTAGCGTCATTTTTCAGATTTTCCTATCCAGGTTGTTATTGCAGATATGTATAACATGATGCAACTTGCTACTTTAAAGTGATGACTAATATATCATGAACATAAACTTCCCGGAGTCTTCAAGAAATATTCAGTAATGGTTTTTCAGTTAGTGAAGTGAGTTTTCTAAGAATTAAAGACGTTTTCAGGCCCTGACAACTTCAACGATATGTTCCATTGTCAAGTATTTCAAAGACTAAAACAGTAGTTCCAAAATCGTTCATGTTCGATTATGAGAAAATGTGATCGATTGCTTGGTCGTTTGGTCACTGTAATCGGAACACCACTATAAAATACCTGTCTGTCCATCTTCAGATCTGTACTATTTCACAGTCTTTCCAGGTGTGATGTTCTGTATGTACAGAATGTTTTGCCTTATTCTCCTTTGTTTTGTCGTTTTAGTTTCATGATCGATGACCTGTTCGGGGAAAAGAAGTTCCTGATCAACCTCAACATCAGTGTCTGTTTCGAGGAGGATTCTTGTCTGATTTCCTTCCCAGCTCTGAAAAATGTCAAGATTCCCAAGTTGGTCTGTGACTGGGACAGTACAGCTGCTATTGCAGGTCAGTGATGTGGATAAGTGTTCTTTGTGGGAGACATTGTGAATTCAACATATGTTTAACATGTTCTATGTGGGAGACATTGTGAATTCAACATATGTTTAACATGTTTCACCTTTGTTTTCGATAATGGTTTTCTTGATGATAGACAATATATGAATACCTTTGCTGATGATCGGTGAAGCAGAGACATGCAATGTAAAACATACATTAGATTGAATAATGAAGGCAATGTAAACATTAGTCCTCTTTTTCTTTCATCATATGTTTTACTAAAGTTTATCATAGTTGATAACAGTTCATCTTTAGCTTATTCTGTCTTAGTTGTCATAAAAATGAAAACCGTTTCTTTTTTTATGGAAGGTTTTCATTTTAGTGAAACCTATGTTCTGAATCAACGTACACAAGAAGATTCAGGCAATGTTTATACACTCGTAAGATGCACAGCTATCTTTCATACTTGACATGTAATAGCCCATCACAATTCATGATTATGCATGTTATTTTCCAGACTTTTCTTTGTCTGACTTCCTGTCCGAGATGAATTCTAATGGGTCTGAGAGTCTCACTTCAGTTATCACAGACAAACTGTTTGAGAGGCTGGAAATAGCAGGATATCTGAAGACAGCACAGTGTCAAAATACAAGTTGTCCTTATGTACCTACAATCAATGGATGGAACAACGGTAGGACCCGGATTAACTTATTCGATTCTTATGCTGAACCAGCATGTATATATAGTATATATTCTAATGACCAATATCCCTTATAAGTTGTGTTGGTAAAGTATTTGAAAGAGTTGTCTTCAAACACCTGTTTAATTATTTTCATGCTAACAAGCTCCTGTATAAATATCAGTCTGGTTTTCAACCAGGACATTCCACTGTACATCAGTTATATGAAATATAACATCGGTTTTGTGAATCACTGGACAAAAAAGAACATTTTGTATGGTATTTTGCGATATATCAAACGCTTTTGATCGTGTCTGGCACAGAGGATTACTGTTGAAACTATGGTGTAAGCGGACAGCTGTTGGGATGGTTAGCTAGTTATAGCAGTCACAGTGTATTTGTGCATTGGTCAGTTTCCAAGCGGAGGACTCTAAGCGCTGGTGTCCCGCAGGGGTCAGTGCTTGGCCCTTTTTTATTCATTGTATACATTAATGATATAGCAGATGAAATAGATTGCTTAACGTGCCTATTTGCTGATGACTCGTCTTTGGGTTACTCTTCACCAGATAACAAGATTATTGAAATGAATCTAAATGCTAATTTATGTAAGTTAAATATTTGGGGTAAAAGATGGCTAATTAAGTACAACCTAGGAAAGACGGAAGCTGTCCTATTCTCGATGAACAATGATATCAATATACCACATCTTTACTTTGATGGTGTTGATAATCATAAACATCTTGGAGTTAACCTTACCCACAATGGAAAATGGGCTGGCCACATATATGTATGTACAAATATGATACAAAAAGTTTCAAAAGTGGTTACCTCCATGCGACTATTATAATATGTATTGTGTAGGGATACCCTTAATAAGATCTATACCATGTTCATTCGGCCGCATCGTGAATACGCATGTGAAGTCTGGGACTGGTGGACTCTTGAACAAATGAATAACTTAGAACAGATTCTATTACAAGCAGCGAGAATAGCTAGTGGTTTACCAAAATATACATCACGTGAATTTCTTTATTTTGAAACTGGATGGGAAACATTACAAGATCGTCGTAGAAAACGAAAACTATGTTTGATGTATAAAATTTAAAATGAAATGGCTCCTCCATACCTAAAAGAACTGCTTCCCTTGAATGTTGGTTCTAAATCAAAGTATGATCTACGCAGTTCTCTGAATATATCGATTCCTATTCCAAGACTTAAACATTCAAAAGAATCCTTCTTTCCATCTACAATATGGTCTTGGAACAATTTACCAACCACCGTTTGTAATTCAAAAAGTGTTTCAACTTTTAAATCATGTATAACTGATAACCATACAAATGCACCTCAGTATTATTCGTGTGGTAAAATCAAAATCAAAATTATTCATACCAAGTTGCGTTATTCTGTTAGTTGTTTGGACCTTGATTTGTACAGAGTTGGAATGAAACTGATCCTATTTGTATATGTGGTGATTTTATTGAGAACTCGTATCATTTTCTGTTTGAATGTCCATTGTACAAACAACAAAGAGTTAACTTCATGTTATCAGTTAAGCGCATTTGTTCATCAGCAGGTATTTCAGTCGACCTTAAACATTTGTTAGAAGGAAGTGCAGACCTATCATCATGTGAAAATACAAAAGTACTCAAGTTAGTGCAATCGTTCATTAGTGAGACAAAACGATGTGTATAGCATACTGATATTATTCTGTTTAAGCTCTATCTCTTTTTACTTATTCTACTTTCTTGTCCACTATCTGTCATCTTACTTGCGGAAATCTAAATTACCTATGTACAAACCAAGGAGAGGGTATTCTAAGTTGGAGAACTTGTTCCTAATCCTTTTCTCAGTGAATAAAATATGTTTAAAACAAACCAGCATGTATATGTAGTATATATTCTAATGATTTTATTGACTGACTGAAAATAATGTCTAAGTCCAAAACTGAAAACAGTAATGGATTGATCACATTAAACCACTTTCCATGATGATGACACCTGAAGCTATTTCCTCCCTGACCAAAATGTAACAGAAGCCTATTGATGGTGATGTTTGACTTCGATGTCTTCAGAGTGTCCAATTCATGGGCTTGACCAGTACCTCCTAGACCTCCCTGATTCCATGGCATGTCACGTCCCCGACATCTGTACCGCCGTTGACTGCTGCATCTACATCGACTTCCTGTCACGTGCCTTCAACGTCTTCCTGACAGTGGACATGTGCACCTATCAGCTGAGAGTGGGCGTGGAAAATCTGGTCTACAAACGGATGTTGTTGGACTATCAGTGGGGTATGGGTAGATGTGACCTATTTTATCACAGTTGGATTTGTTTGTGTATTTGTTAGTTGTTTAACGCCGCAAGCTGTCACAGGTATATTCCACTTGTATGACGGCGGTCTGTAAACTTTGGACCAGACAATTCCCTGTATGATATTATCAGCTCCGAATTATGCAATTGCGAAATATCATCTAGATCTGTACAGGTCCATTTAAGATGGTACTGTATCTATTAGTGACTAAGGGACATTGTTAAAGATATGTCTTTCAGAAGTACATCTAATGTTTTTATGCTTTCTTCCAGGCACCGAAGATCACTTCTATGTGAAAGGTGTCATTCGAGTAAAGTAAGTTTTGATGTTGCCTTGATGGGAGCGGCTAGCGTTCAAATTAAAGATTTCAGTTATAGCATATTCCTATTTTGTTTGAAAAACCAAATCAAATTGGATCAAATCTACATGCATTCACGAAGTTATTCAATGAAGAGTTGACTATATATCTGAACATGTACATGTATGCAACTGTTTCAGTTACATCATCAACCGACTTATGTCTGACAAGAAACTGGAAGTGACAGCATCTGTCAGTGTGTGTCTGAAACAAAACGAGTGTCTGTTCTCCAAAACTTTCCTTGACAAAGCCAAGATACCACAACCCCTGTGTGACTGGGAGGCCAGGCTGCAACAGAGAAGTGAGGCTTTGAAATGTCTATCTAAGTTCATGAGTCTACAAAGTCATCATGAGTAACCAAAACGGTCCTTTGTCTTCAGATCTATTTGTATTGTTGCGATGTCAACAGGAGGGGTCTTTGACACTTAAGATGGTTACAAAGTCAGTAATGTATTTGTAGCCTTTCCTTGATGTGGAGAATGTATCAGTTACTCTGTTGGTTAATAACATATCATTATTTAAAATTCCACGCCCTTTCGAATCGGCATATAGTAATGATAAACAGTATATAATTATACTAAGTTCAATCACCAAGTGGTTGCTCCCTTCCTTCACACAGAAATATGAAGTACAATGCATAATACCAAATCCTGTTTCAGTTATCAACGAATTGTAACGCGTCCATTGCCAGTCTTTCGAAAGAAATGCTAATTTCTTGATTAAAACAAATTATAATCGTGCCAGAAACTATATTTATATATATATTTTTCAGATTTCTCATTGACCAACTGGGTATCAGGCAAGGGTCTGTCCTCCACCGTGTCGACTCTCACGGAAACACTCATATCTCAGCTCATGGATGATCTCGGGGTGTCTCAGTACCTCGTCAGTTCGGCCTGTGATCAGTCGGCAAGTCCATATTCCCCTGCTGGGATAAACAACTGGAATAAAGGTGTGTAACTTCTTCATCTTATTGTATTTACTCAAACAGCCTTATGTAGTTGTACAAGTATGTGTCCTCTTACTCAAACAGCCTTATGTAGTTGTACAAGTATATGTCCTCTTACTCAAACAGCCTTATGTAGTTGTACAAGTATGTGTCCTCTTACTCAAACAGCCTTATGTAGTTGTACAAGTATGTGTCCTCTTACTCAAACAGCCTTATGTAGTTGTACAAGTATATGTCCTCTTACTCAAACAGCCTTATGTAGTTGTACAAGTATATGTCCTCTTACTCAAACAGCCTTATGTAGTTGTACAAGTATATGTCCTCTTACTCAAACAGCCTTATGTAGTTGTACAAGTATATGTCCTCTTACTCAAACAGCCTTATGTAGTTGTACAAGTATATGTCCTCTTACTCAAACAGCCTTATGTAGTTGTACAAGTATATGTCCTCTTACTCAAACAGCCTTATGTAGTTGTACAAGTATGTGTCCTCTTACTCAAACAGCCTTATGTAGTTGTACAAGTATGTGTCCTCTTACTCAAACAGCCTTATGTAGTTGTACAAGTATGTGTCCTCTTACTCAAACAGCCTTATGTAGTTGTACAAGTATATGTCCTCTTACTCAAACAGCCTTATGTAGTTGTACAAGTATATGTCCCTCTTACTCAAACAGCCTTATGTAGTTGTACAAGTATATGTCCTCTTACTCAAACAGCCTTATGTAGTTGTACAAGTATATGTCCTCTTACTCAAACAGCCTTATGTAGTTGTACAAGTATATGTCCTCTTACTCAAACAGCCTTATGTAGTTGTACAAGTATATGTCCTCTTACTCAAACAGCCTTATGTAGTTGTACAAGTATGTGTCCTCTTAGGAAACTGTAGTTCTATAAGGAAGGTCCATTATCCAGTAGCTGTCCGAAAGCGTCCTTACCCCCTAAATGTACAAGAGTTAACCCAAGTGGAGGTTAACGAACAGTCAGTTTATGGCATCGTCAATCTACGTCGTCCACTGTGTATTACAACATGGCTTCAACATTGTACATGAGAGTAAAAGAACAGTTTCAGTCAATGTATATTTCTGTGTTTCCAGAATGCAGCAGCCGAGCAGTACCATCTCTACCTGACTCTGTGCGATGTCACCTGACCTCCAACTGTTCCACGGTAGACTGTTGTGTCGATGTTTCCCTTATCAATAGGACCATCCAGGCCAAGTTTGATGTGGATATTTGTAACCTACAGATCACAATGACGATAGAAAAACTATCCTACACTGTGTCACTCATGGAGTACGAATGGGGTAAATATCTACATGGTCGATCAACAGTATTTTAAAGATCTTTGTTAGAGTCTTTCCTATACCAAGGCGCTTGTGTATGTATTTGCCAGTTATATTGGCAGAGGATTAGATAGTTGTCCAAGATACTGCAATCAAGTATTGTTAACTGTCGAACAGAATGTATACATTGAATATACCCACCGTTATCCAAACGCCGAAACACTGGAAAACAAATAATGTCCAAAACACAAATATCATACCCCTATCGAATATATAAGTCTCGAAAAACATTTCCTTTCAGTCATCATCATATAATGGTATTTACATTTCTTTCCTGGATGTAGTAATGAGAGTTACCAAAACAAATCCAAATAATGGTCCATACACTGATAACGCGATTACGTTGATATATGCCTCCTCAATAATTGTAGACATCAGAGACCTGCGTAACTTTAGGGTGTTTCCAACTTGAAGGTGATGTACTGACCAAAGCCCATTTATAATATGGATATATTGTTTTTCAAAATTGAGTTGTTCTCAAATCAAATGCAATTATGTTCCAGGTACAGAAGGACATTTCATCCTGGGCGACATGACACGACTGTCGTGAGTATCAGATAGCACTTTTCTCGAGTGACTGAAGCTGCTGTGATACATTAAACATCTGTGCCCCTGGGTCTTGTTTTTGTCCCGAATCAGGAATAACAAATCACGTTCGTGTTTTTCTAATGGTTGCCTATAACGTTAAGGATGGTTAAACTGCAAGCGTGTATCTGTGTCAACTGAGTCCAGAAAAAACTCCAATGTGTCCTATATACATCTCAATTCAATTTAAATTGAAAGTTGCTGATCAGAATCTACTTCACTGATTACCGACTTAATGATAATATACAATATTTACATCAGTGGTGTGTCAACTGTCACCACAGGTACAAACTAGAGCACATCCCCGCATCCCAGAAGCTGATAATGGACCTGAACATCAAGATGTGTTTTGAGGACGACACGTGTGTGCTTGAAGTCATAATCTTCTCACAGTCGGAACTGGTCTATTCTCCATGTAGCCCGACTCTACCGGTGCCATTTAATGGTATGTAAGTCCAAGCACTCTGATAGTTAGGTTGATGAAGTATGTTTATAGTCCGTGTGTTTGTTGCAGAAATTAAGACAATGTATTTGAGAACTGTTTCAGGAGAAGACACTGGATATGTCAATGATTTGGGTTTAATTGCTTCGTAAACTAAAGCATAGGGTTATACTGACGGATTCATCGATCCAGGAGCTATGTTCCCGATACAGATTCCTCTACAAAAGTGCATATTCAATGATTTGTCTTCAATTGTTTCGTAAACTAAAGTATATGGTTATAGCGTCGGATCCATTGATCCATGATCTAAGGTCTCGATACAGAATCCTCTACAACAGTGCATATGTATTAATGTATTTATCTACATGCCATTGCATCTTGACGTTCGATATATTTCTGCAGCATGCAGTTATACACGTGTTCTTGAACGAGTGGTCTTTGTTGTTTAAGAATCATAAATAAAGGACACTTAAAATGTTAAATGTCTTTTTAATTGCATTGCAGGTGTCTCCTTTGATTTCTGGAAGTCTGGAAAATGTGCTCTGCAAACTTCCGGTAGGCGTCAATACTTCACCATTTAATTATTCTGCCTAACGTTTTTGTCTATACTTGACCAAGCAACGTACAATAATCAGGCAAAAGAGCGTTATGAATTACCAATTACTGGAAACAATGGTTTTAGCATTTGATAATACTGTACTAAAAACACGCTTCGGTTTTGGTCTCGTGCAGTGGGCGTTGCATGAACTATGGTTTCAATTCATAGACCAAGCTTGTCCGGCATCCCTCCCTGTCGCTATCTCGAGCACCTGCCGCCTGACTGACAACTGCATGGGCATCACGTGTTGTGAGGACGTTGACCTCAACTACCTCGGTATCTACTCCATCACTGCCGGCATCGAGGTTGACCACTGCAATGACCAGCTTGTGTATCATATAGAGAACAAGGAGTGGAAAAAGAAGCTTCAGGCTGTGGACTATGGTGAGAAGGGATGGGTAGCACTACCTGATAAAACATCCACTCAACATCAATTTTGTACAGGAAACATGTTTTAAATAACACCCTTTTGGACTGCCGCCTTTCGCTTTTACATCTCATTAGACATTGAGATGGAAATTTTATAACTGACGGGGACTTATCACACATGACTGCAAAGAATAGACGTATTTCAATATCATCCATCTTTAGAAGTATATTCGACTCTATTCTTTAAGAATATTATGACAACTGACATTTTAGCATGTTGAGGGATTTAATGACTTCATACAGTAACACCTACGTGTAAATGCTGTAAGAAGTACTAAAGTCCAGGTTAGAGATTTGTTTTTCTAATGTATTAATGCACATCACTCAAATAAGTGAGTGGGGGGGGGGGGGGGGACCAATCTGACTACATATTTTGTTGTTTGTTTGTACCATAAAAAAACTAAAGACTGTTATGTGGACAGAATGGTTATTTTGCTCGTGGAATCTTACTGTTCTGCTAGATAAAAACCACACTGTCTCAATTGGCAACGCCATCACCGTGAGCTACGTGATCAGCAAAACCGCATCCTCTTATGAAGTGTCATTCCACGTAAAGCTCTGTGTCATGAACGTGCACGACCTCATCAACAACTGCTACTACTACGAACTCCTTGATGAAAAGATGTTCCAGATGCCGTCTTCATGTTCACCTGTTGGACGAAGAAGGAAAAGAAGAAGTCCTTTAGACCTGTGAGTATTGCATAATACTTTGCTGAGGACGCAAAGCGGTTCCTTTTGCCTGTATTGTTTTAATAGTTACTTTCAAAGAATTTGTGTTAGAATTTGTTTTAAAAATATACCTTTCTTTTTCATACATATTATAGTCTAAATGTATTCATATCAAAATAACAAATGACAATATTCAGATAGAAGTATTTTATGAAACGTCTAAACAATGGATTGAACCGTTTATTAACGACCATCTTCATTTTCATTAAATAATATGCTAATTGTTATGATGTAGAGACGTAGCTAAACATTTGACTAGAGGTTCTTGTGACAGCTGAACTTATATGGTCTGTGTCTTATTCAGAATACACACGGGCGATACCAAACGGATCCTCAATGAAGCTTTGAACCAGAACTTTACAAATGAAGAAATCAAGGATCTGTTTGAAAGACTAAAGGATGAAGCAGTAAGATATTGATTTCTATGACATGATCAATACATTAGTTAGATTAATATAGCAGGAGACTGTATGTGTTGCAGCAAGTTTGGAAATAAATAATAGTTATCAAAACGAGAGAGGAAAAGGTCATGAACCAGAGAAAGTACATCAACTTAGTAGAGGTTTTGAGATTTTCAGTTATGGTATTGAAATAAAAAATTGTCAAAGGTGAATGCTTATTTAATGATAACAACTTATATATTGCAAAATTAACCGCTTGAAGTTTCTGAAAAATCCTTCTAGTGGATTCGAAGAAAATTTACGCCATACTCAAAACATATCAATGCTGTGACCGCGTGTTCCTGGCGAACCTGTTTTAGTATGGCAAGAGTAAACTTTAATCTCGACATACCGGTCTTATTACCGTCGGAGAACTAAAAAGACCCTTTTTCTATGAGGTTTGTGTGTACTTGAATGGCTCCATATATCCTTGATCTCACATACAGCCGTCTCTGTCTTTCAGATAAGAGACAGGTCACTGATGATATCACGCACTGATGAATATGGCACAGCCACCAACACTAAGAGCGCCATCAGAAAGATGGGTATGGCCAACCCAGGAACCATTCTGTACTCAGGGGAGGTCGGCGGTGGCAACTTGGTGCTCGGCATGGAAGGAGGTCTGTTGTTTGCAAATGATAATTTAGCCATGTATTCTTTGATGAAATACAAGCATTGATAGTACTAGTCCGTTGACGAACATTTTCGTTTTAACAGATATTGCTCTGTATCATAAGTTTAGTTTTCCTTGCTGCTACAACTATGCTGTTAATTTCGTTCTTCACATTTTTGTATTATTGTGTGTGCCAACATGTACCGCTAAGTACCCGGTACATAGTCTTTGATAGTGATGATTATCTCATGGCTGTGCGTGGGTGTGATTTGTATTGGTACGTCGTTCCAATTGATAAATTGCATCCCTTAGCTATCTATTGATATTATTCATAGTAATTACAATGTGAATGTCGTAGCCTTACGAAATCGCCTTTCGACTACTCGGTGTAATGTTACAAATATAGATCCTTTCGCGGCTACTGGCAGTGTGGATGGAGTTTTTGCTTCGAGTCACCCCTTGTGGCGCCGCCGTAATGCGTCATGAATATTACTAAAATAAGCAGTTAGACACAAAAATTAAATCCGAATCCAGATCAAACTATTGAGTGTGTGAGCGACAATGGTTTTACACAGCTTTTAGCAATATTCAAACAATATCGCTTAAACAAAGAAGGGCTTAAGACAGTGTACCCATGTGGGGAATCGAACTCGGGTCTTTGGCATTGGTTTTGACCATGAGGCTACCCCACCGCCCAGATCCAGCTACTGAACAGCTACAAATTTGGAAGGAAATTAATTGGCTTAACCCAGCTTTATTTATTTCTGCAAAGATGCTAAGAATCTATTTTTTCAAACCACTTTTTGTTGTATAATTGATGATCTCAGGCGAGAAGATCATGAAGGTCCTGGGTCAGGTCACCGACATCCTGGGTCGCGGGGACCAGGCCTACACTGTGGGGAAAGGTCTGACTGGGAAAGGACTGGAGCTGCTTGGTGCTAAACTAGCCAACATGAGTATTGGGGAGATCATAGCCATGTTTGATGCCAAGAACATCGACCCTGAACTTGCTCTTCGACTGACGAGACAACTGAGAGATCTATGTCTGGCACTGGTATGACATATTGTAACATAATCTTTAAAAGTTGTGGGTTTTTTTATCTATCGATCGAATTGTTGTCTTTGGCACACATATTGCATTATATGCATTATACACAAATTTACATTCACTTGTCAAAGTTACAGGAACATTTATTATTATATTATTGATAAAACTAGGAAGAAGAATAGCCTCCTTCTAAAGCGCCTAACCTCACGGCCAATGTTTGATGGAAACGTATTTTTATTAACAGTCATCACGTTGCCATCTCATCTTACCGGGTACCCATTTATTGCTGGGTGAAACTTGTCTCATTGTATTACATTACCCATAGCATTGTCATTGTTATTGGTTTTCTCTGTACCCATTCTACAAATCTAATTTCAGTATTCAGACATCATACAAGCCATCGTCAATGGCGATGGAGGCGACATATTCAGCTCATTTGACCTTACCCTTCAAGGAGACTTTTCCCTACCTAGAAGACACGTCGTCTTCTTCAGATATAGGTATTTCATCGTGGTTGGAGGAATTGTACCTTTAACCATTGGTGAGTATTGATTTAATTATACTATAATTGTGTTATAAAAAGCAAATCCTTATATCATGTTTGCAGCGAAAGGTATTTTATTCTGATAATATATTTTGTGCGTACACATCAAGATTATGATTGTTGTCATAGTAATATGAATGATACACGTGGGTGGAATCCTGATTAACGAGAACTACAACCAACTCACTCACTCACTTATCTTTCATCAACATTCATCTTCCCTATACTACATGCATATATACAGACACAGCACAGAGCGTCCAGTAGTCAAAGCACCCGTAAAATAGTACGGAGAAATACCACCCGTGAAAAATATGGTAAAACACTGTGTAACACAATCACGTGAAGCTACTCTCGTCTTAGAGTCAGTCTTTTCTCAAAACCCATTTGTATTAAACGTAATTAATAATGAAACTCATACGTATCATACGTGAAGCATTTTATCATGAAATTTGTCACTATTACTCTGAAACCATACTTTGCCACTTCAAACATCATATTTAACTATTTAAACATTATATTTACCTTTGCAATTTCAGAATATGGGGCCGGAGCTACGTTTGGAATGAGAGTAGGTGTGGGAGCGAAGATCCTCGGCATGACTGTGTTTGGCGAGGTGGCACCCTTAGGAAGCGCCCTTATATACGGGGAGATGAGCGTTGGCGCTGTACTGTATGCCAAGCTGAGATTTGATGGCTACTTGTTGAACCTTGCATTCCCATCTAGGGCTGAGATAGGATTCTACAAGTTTCCACTTGACTTAAGGTCAGTATTGGATCTCACCACACCAATTTACTCTGCAGATTTCATTTGTATCGATTTTCCTCATGCATTCGAAGTATCGTCCATGTAAAGGGTATTGCATTGACGGCATGCGTTCAGTCAAATGTGACCATCCAATGTGTTTGCAGCGCCACAGCACCCCTACAACCTCCTCGAACACGGGGCTATGGGGTAGCCTAGTAGTTAATGCGTCCGCTCGTCACGCCGAAGTCCCGGGTTCGATTCCCAACATGGGTACAATGTGCGAAGCCCATTTCTGGTGTCCCCCGCCGTGATGTTGCTGGAATATTGCTAAAAGCGGCGTAAGACCAAACACACAACTCCTCGAACACAGATCTACTGCCCATGAGATTGTCCTCAGGCTCTGAATGTCGCTGGGGCGCATTTTCAATGAGTAATTTGGTTATGAACATTGAACATTTTCACAGACTAAGTGTCAATCTAGTACGCTCATGTATATCGCAATGTACGTGCAATAATATCTAACCCAATTCACCTGTTCTCAACTGTCGCAATTGTTTTGCAACAAGTAAAACAAAGTCAATTGCAGACCAAATTTATAATACTACTTAACTGCAAGAAACCATTTATCACCAGACTAATTATGGACATGGAGCTGACCCCTCTGCAGCTGACCCTGCGGGGGAAGGTGACCCTGGAAATCAATCTGGGGAAGTGGATAGGCAAGATCAGGAAAACTCTCTACAACGCTGTCATCTGGCGATATTCCACTTCCTCGACCAGGAAAAGACTGATAGACACAGGCAAGAAGGAGGAGGACAAGTCCCCACCACAGTTCCTCAACTACGTGGACAATACAGTACGTTTTAAATATTGAATATAGTGTAGAACAAAGGCAATCGTAGATGTCACATATATACTCTTCAAACAAGGTTTAAGAATGCGCACAATCTGAACCCTGTATAGAAATACCAACTAGCCATACCAAGTGCTCATTAACTTGTTTTAAGTATCATTTTCAAAGAAGAAATGCAGATATTGAAAAACAAGTGATGAAAAGGAAATTAAATAAAAATATCTGTATATGTACTACTCACATTTTGCTAAGGATCACACAAATTCCAAACTTGACTTAAACATAGACTTATGATTTAAATTGTATCCATTTAAAACTAGATAAATAATTACATGGTAACCCCTCTTAAGGCAAACAGCCGCTTTAATCTAATCTTATGCACGTGATACATGAGTAACCATAAAAATGGTTTTTATGACACTAATCAACCATTTTGCAAATCATGGAACGAGTCACTGACAAGTACACACCACCCTGTCAATAGCAGATATGGGATCCACAAGATGCAGTGACATACTGAAACCTAGGATCCATGCTTACAATAAGCTTAGATATTTAAATCAAATTAGACCCCACATCATAGTTTTCTGTTGAATCAATGGTTTGATCCTTAGCAAAGTGTAAATAGTATAATACAATATCATATTTATAACATGTGATTCTGGTGTATTTAAATGTTAAGAATAATTGGTATTTGTAATGTGGCTGGATGATTTGTTGTTTAACGCCGCACTCAGTATTATTCAAGCTGTATGGCGGTGGTCTGTAAATAATCGAGTCTGGACAAGACAATCGGGTGATCAACATCTTGAGCATCGATCTACGCAATTTGCATACATGGACATGTGTCAATCAGGTCAGCGAGCCTGACTGCCCGATGCCGTTAGTTGCTTCTTACGACAAGCATGGGTTGTTGAAGACCAATTCTAACCCGGATCTTCACGGGAAGACAAACATGGGTTGCTGGAAACCAATTCTAACCCGGATCTTTGCGCATCTAATGTCGCCTGGACAATGCCGCAAGAATTCAAAGGGTAAAAGTAATATACAGAAAGGCATACGTCTTTTTTCCATCAGGGAGGTTCTGGCAGACAGAAGAGAGCAGTGTCCACATCACGGAGCTGCTTAGTGAGACAACTTCCCAATAGAGACTACACAGAACCGGCTGTAGAGATAGCCATAGCTGCCCAGGATGACCGGAGTCAGGTCCAGATCTTTGTGGATGCTGGGACCAAACCTGGACTCAGTGATGTACTCAGACAATCCAGCCTTGGTGGACCATCTGCAATTATCACTCAGGTATGCAGTCGAAGAAGGGGGATATCTGAATCATCATAACATACACAATCAAAATCTCTTTGGTATATTAAAAACTAGTCTGTCATACAGATCCTGAAACAAATAGATCCGAGAAAGCCCATGCAGGTCTACAATATTTGGGAAGTCTAGATTACCACAGTTTCTGAAAATATAGAAAGTCTCTGGGCTCCCTTTCATTATACCACAGGCAAACTGTACCGCAAACAGGGTTGCGCAACAAAGAGAAAATGACAAGTCTTCGTATAATGCGCGCGAAGCACAGGCAAACTGTAGCGCAAACAGGGTTGCGCAACAAAGAGAAAATGACCAGTCTTCGTATAATGCGAGCGAATGCTCGCTTCGCTCGCATATACGAAGACTGGTCATTTTCTCTGTGTTGCGCAACCCTGTTTGCGCTACAATTTGCCTATGAGTATATGAACTGTTGTTTTCTGTAAAATATGTTCATTTCAGAGACTAGATGTTAGTCTAGTTAGAAACGATCAATGGACTAAATACCAATACTCTAATCTATGCATTGGTCTTATTTCCCAACTGGGTGTTGTCTGATAAGCCCCGACCTTACGTACAACACTACCCCCCTCCACCGTGTAGGACTGAAGAGTCCAGACCTTGAACATTATACAATTATAGAATGGTGACGCGGTCAATACCTGGTTTTATGGGCCCGCGAAAAGCAATATTGACCGAGGACGAAGTAATATTGCTTTTCGCTGGTCCATAAAAACAGGTATTGACCGAATTCACTAGTCCATAATTGTTTTATTTTGTAATTACCGAAAAAATCTTCTAAAAACCAAAAAAATTTCCATTTAGTCAAGAAAAGAAATTTTATTTTCGCCGAAAACCAATAACGTTATGTAAACAACACTGTGACATAGCTTGACGTCAAAATCTATTTTTAGTAACTCAAGTCAATAATTTTGGTTGGACCTTGGTTGGAGTCAATATGCTTTTCTGTCGACGGTCACATGACCGCCTCTAGACCAATCAGGTAGCAGAAAAATATGCTTACATAATAAGAGCTCGTGTTCTTTCCCGTTTTTAGCCTAAAGGGACCAAGCCTTGGACTCGACACTACGTTTTACCAATTGGCCTAAAGAGAATTAGTCATTGACACAACACATCGTGTTACAACCTGTTGGTCTAAAGCTGCTTCGCCCTCTCTTGGGAAAAGGAAATCATTTGTACTTAATCAATTTTGTCACAATTAAAAGATGCCATACTGTGTTAAGTTGTGTTCTCAAATGCAAACCATTTTCCTGGGAAACTGGGCTTTAACCTGCGCATCATTTTCATCACTTGAGTGTGTACTTATCAGAGTCACTTTTCAGAGATTTCCCAGCAACGGTCACGGCGTTCCTGTTTTCTTCACGGTGTATGGCGAGAATAGCGCAGGCGCGAGAACCGCCGTGACTTGCAGCATCCCCACCTATGACGTCACGCCCCCTGGTGGCAGATTGACAGCGGAATTTAGTTCAACCAGTAACCCAGCTGAGCTGATGGGGAACGTGGTTGTGTATGAAGATTCCGATCTGATTAAATCCTCATTGGGTGTCGGACTGGGAAGGGGAATCTACGCAGATGAAACAATAGCCTACAACTCGGTCAATCTCAAGGACAGAAACAAAGCACATTATGATCGTAAGGAAAATACACATATATATAGAATATCTCTAACAAGTTTACGCTGAAAATCTCCTGTTTAGACAGGCCATGTATAATCCAATAATCGACAAACTCCAACGTCTAAAATACATATATGGGTGACTAAATAATCACGTGCAGTGACAGATACAAAGTTAGAATTATTATCACAATGACATAAAGTTCTTTGACGAATGTAACTGGAAATCAAAATATGGCGAAACGCGTCCGAAGGGACGTCAACTGATCAGAAATCAGCCGTCCTGGTCAGATCGTATTTCTAATAAGGAAATATAACGTTTTCGGGAAATGTATAATTTCCAAATGATGGCATTAAATGTAGGCTCTATTTACAGTATTTAAAAGTAGTTCGCCCTTTTATCTTAACGAATTAAATATTGTCATCTAAAATATTGTGTTCTGTGATCTACTGTGAGTTGTGTATATTTGTTACAGTAGCTGTGGTCTAAGTGATGAAGATCAATGTGACATCGCTGTCAATCAAAGGAATGCTCAATCATTTTATGTGCATTATTAATGAAACGTCCAAGCCACCCAATAAACAGTGCATTCTAGAGGAGAAATGCTTGAGGATTATGACTGGCAGTAAATATTGTAATTCTATTTTTAAAGTAAGGCGGTGATCTCTCCGAATATCGTCATGTCAAACTGTTCAATATGTACGATGTGCTTCCTGCTACTGTTCACAGCTGCATCTGATTATTTCGGCCATGAAGGGTTGAAACATTTCACGGGTCTCAAGGATGGTCGGCTGATTGGCCCAGTGTTTGCCGAGTTCTCCAGGATGAACCACGCCGGGTCGTGTGTGAAGGAGTGTATGAAGTTCCCGGAGACCAAATGTTTGAGCGTCAACTATGACTACGGGCCTAGTGGACATTGTGAACTGTTAGAAGGCATTGAAGGACACGACCATAAAATCTTCATTGTAGGTTGTCAGATGAGGCATTCTTTTAGGATAAACAACTGACGAATGTTATGTTATATATGAAGTGACTGACCCAAATATACTTAACACTGAGCTTTTTATCAGGATCTTCTTCTCCATACTCATAAACAAGCAGAATAAAATTAACCTAGGTCACACATTCTGACCGCCGAACCTAACTTTTGTTGGATTGTTCAAAAGAGTGACCAATACTGACCATATTGACGGCCTTTCATATTTAAGATGTCGTATCACTATACTGATTTTACGAATGACCGATATTTCAGTTTTGAATTTAACGTTTCTAAACACCCACATGGTTGGCCATTCATCTATCGGGGTAGTTCCGTCCCATTACATGTTCTTCTTATCCATTATCTAAGCGGCATGTATTTTTTCCATGTATTGTGACCAAATGTTATTTTCTATCATCACAGTCTGATCAGTTTGCTCACTTTGAGAGGCTTGGAGTTGGTCTTGCCCACGAGTTCATCTTCAACGATCTGTCTCTAATGCATAGGGCCATGTACTATTTCAACATACACCTTGTCAACGATCTCCAGTTTGAGTCCATGCTCCATAGCAAGGGTGTTGTGGTGGATATAACGCCTCCCGAACCAGGTAGGATTTAACCTTGACCTTGTTCAGTTACAACTGACCAGACGAGTATATATTCCTGGTGCGTCTGCATATATGTTGACGCAGCACCTGTCACCATCACTGTTTGATTCATAAATACATGTTTGTTACGATTTTCGGAATGGTACAATGAATTCCTATTTTATCAAAAGTTCTTTTTAAATGGAAAAGTTATTTATCGCTTCCATTTATACATCTCATGATTCAGGTCCACTGGCTAATGTGAGTCTGGATGTCCTGGAGGTGACTTCGTGTGTGAGTGTGGTTCCCGATGACCGACCAGACTGGAAAGACAGGTGTCGAGGTGTCAACAGTGAGATTAAAAACCACAGGTGAGTGTTGGATAGCAATTAAATAGGCGACATTACAGTGAGAAGGTATTTGTTTGCAAGAATGTCTTATTGCACCTTTACGATGTAAATTAGGACATTGTATTCATCTACATGTCTTTATGTATTAATGTGATGAAAAATCACCTCCATCTCATTTCTCCGGGTCACTGTGATATATCTGGGGAAAAGGATCTTTTATGTATGTGATTTAATAATAATAATAAGGTCTTCCTTGGCACAAACAGTAGTATATACAATGGGGAGAAAAACCGGTATAGGTGCACCTTGCTCAGAAGCTTCTCAGAAGCTTTCCCCAGTCGGTGAATCGAGTAGCAGCAACAGCCGGTTCTTCCCTTCGTATCTCGCTACAGCAAACTTTTTGCACATGTAGACTCCTTCTGGGACGTTCGCGGCTTTTCGGTGTTCGCTGCACGGAGGGGGTGCTACTTCCATATCCTTGGGTCCGCCATAGTTGGGCAATGGGGTATGCCAAATATTGCCCCGTCCCTGTGGTACCTCTGCTTTCCCCGATAGCTGCCGGAAGATACAAGACTCTTTCTTCTTGCACGGACAATGGTCCACCAATTTGCTGGCAAGGAGTACGTACCGTATGCTCCAGAAAGCGCAGGCATTGTCATATAGGTTCTCTACATTCGCGAAACAGCTGTCGACCACAATCTCTTCTGGAACCTCGAGTGGGAGTCGCTCCTGGGGTGTGTAGTCTATCGCTTTCTTTTCCCAGAGAACACATTTCTTGCTGTCGATGCAGTCGTCGATGGCACCACACTTGCATGTAGAGTTGTCGGGTCCTAAGAGAGCAGGCAGTTCCGATAGAGTGGCAAGGCAGTCGGTGCATCAGTTGTGTCTGTCCTTGGGGCCCGGATAGCAGTCGTCGGCGAGAATGTTCGGAGTTTGCCCGCCGAGGGTCGAAATTGGTGGGGTGGTTAAATGTAGACAAAATCGACTATTTTGCCAGCTTCTACTAGTGGGCAAAAGCACAGCAAATAGAGTTAGAGAAACTGGTGGGGGATCTGGTAGCGCTCGTAGAACGTGTGCCCCGATTGCCCCAGGATTTGTTTCTCTCGGTCGGAAAGCAACATGGGGCGACACTTCTGCAGCAGGGCCTCGAAGACTTCGGCCATGTCAGGAGTTGTCGTCGTCTGTGGCTTGTCTATACCACCTCGGATTCGCGTGTATCGGTCTTGCGGTATGTGGTACTTCCTCTTCGCTTTCTGAAGGGACAAACGACCCGATCAGATCTCGGTATAGGCTTCACGCGAGAGCTTGGTTCCTGGCATTTTTCTATCTCCATGCACCCACATAGCTCTAACTGGGAGTGCACTGCGTTGGGAGCAGCCGAAAGTGGTCTTGTCGAAGGGTTTGGGCAAACACTCATTTTCACTAGGCTGGTAGCAGAATTAGCCCGTATGGAAGCTTCTGAGCAAGGTGCACCTATACCGGTTTTTCTCCCGTTTGTATATACTACTCAAACATCATATCTTAAACGACATACCGTCCCCGACATGCCTGTGGCTTTGACTCCGAGGTCCATCCATGGTATGACCCTGAACAAGTCCAGGGCGTCATGGAAAATGATGCTTTCAAACTTCTCTGGAATAGGCCCATATACAGCCTCAAAAGAATTCCAGCCAACAAACCTGATCTTGTCCTTTATGATAAAGCCAATGAATGTATTTATATCATTGAATTTTCTGTCCCTTTTGACACCAATGTGATTGTCAAGATTAAGGAAAAGCATGATAAATATGCGGACCTCGCCTTTGAAATGTCTCGCTTGCATCCCAAGTACACTGTCGTCAGGCTCCCCATTATTCTCGGTGCCCTTGGTTTAGTACCTCCTGATCTCTTGGCCATTATCTACGGTGACCCGTAGCTTCTGCACCGTTAATATAATCGTTCTGTGTTTAGGATCATTCATGATGGCGAGGGGTCAAAAACTGTTTTCAATGGAGACGAACCCCTCACTAATCTCCTATACACCAGAGCCAACAGATACGTATCAGGTTGGTGAAACATAAAAATGTTTCAATTATGTGAGATTATTTTCCGAGATATGGCTATAATCATTATTTTGACATTGAAACTTTAACGTGTGTCTAAAATATTACTGATATTGTATCCTTATGCTCTTACGTAAGCATCAATATGTATATTCGTTTACAGAAGGGTGTATTTGTTCTTTGTTCTGTCACCAATAGGTATTGAAATAAGTGTGTACTTAATATGTACAATATATTTGATAATGTGAATATTTTACTATTTGCCCGTGTGCTGCATTAGTGTATGCCAATGTTTCATTTTGGCATGTGATGGACCCGTCTCATTTATGTGTGTCCTTGTTCCAGCTAACTGGGACGGCATCATGGACAAAGAGACGGGCATACTGGGCTACTCCTTGACTGTAGGGACACAAATCTGTGAGGAGCTGATTCACCCCCATCATGACCCTCACAGGCACCTGTTTGACGAATCAGAGTGGACCCACACTGGACTAATCTCCCCCATACCGGCTCCATACGACCCTCTCCCTGGTACAACATCTTCCAAAACGTCTTGCTGCCATATTGACAGCCTGGTTTATTCACTTAAAAAGCTTGCAATATCTACAGTTGTGAACTTAACACGATCCTGAAGGTTTTCTCATACAGGAGCAAAAAAAGATGCCGAATGTTTAAGATAACATGGATATTCTGGACAAATCATCGAAAGTCTTTCTTCATGAGGTGGCTTCGATATAACATTTAGCTGATTGTGGGTCGTGTTATGTTCATTCACTATACCACTGATTATTTGTGGTTAAGTAGTTGACTCTTTATAACGAAAACTAAAAATGCTATCCTTATATGACGCAGTGTTTAAGAGATAGGAATAGGTTATTAACTGACTCTCGCAGATTGATATTTAACATATCGTTTGAGATTGTGGTTTTTACAAATAACAATATTGGTCAAATATCGGCCAGTATAGATGTTTCAGGAGCACTGAATAGGGCCCATGGTCCATGTGTATCACATCATGGGATTTTGTTTCAGATGGGAAATACTACATCACACTGAGGGCCTTGAACAAGGTTGACTATGGAGGTCCACTTGTGACAACAATCTGCCACACCACGCCGCTCGTGGTGGACAACTCACCACCACTCCTGTATGAAATCTATAACGTCTCCTACAACGAAGATACCTTCTTCATTAATGCACAGTACAACGCCAGGTAATATTGTGTTATATTTGAACTATTGTTTGTATATTTGAAATGTTGTCAATCTCTGTATCAAATAAAACTCATATCAATATATTGTTGATGACAATTACTCTTTGGTACATACATTCACAGTGACCCAGATTCAGACATCAGAGAAGCAGACTTGTGTCTTGGACGGACCACACGTGACTGTCATCACATGGACTGGCAGAGGTCCTCCCACAATGATGGCGACATCACCCGCCAGTTCCAGATACCGGGTGGGATTCCTGTCTGGATTAAAGTCCGGGTAATTAACAATGGTGAGTTATAACTTAGAAGTCTGGAACATTGATGGCGACATCACCCGCCAGTTCCAGATACCGGGTGGAACTCCTGTCTGGATTAAAGTCCGGGTAATTAACAATGGTGAGTTATAACTTAGAAGTCTGGAACATTGATGGCGACATCACCCGCCAGTTCCAGATACCGGGTGGAACTCCTGTCTGGATTAAAGTCCGGGTAATCAACAATGGTGAGTTATAACTGAGAAGTTCGGAACATTGATGGCGACATCACCCGCCAGTTCCAGATACCGGGTGGAACTCCTGTCTGGATTAAAGTCCGGGTAATTAACAATGGTGAGTTATAACTTAGACGTCTGGAACATTGATGGCGACGTCGCCACGTATTTCAGAACCCAGATGGAAGTCATGTGTGGATTAAATATTACTGGCCCCAATTTCTGAAACAAACTTAACTTTTTACTCAGATTTCAAACTGAGTTTGACAATTTGAAACAGCTGAATTTTTAAATCAGCTGCATGTTTAAAATAGAGCCCAAACAACTTAAGTATTCTATTCAACAAACTCAAATTGTCTACTATGTTTGAGTTTAATATCGATTTCAGTTCATTCTGAGAAATGCGTTTTTCTCAAATTTAAGTGAAAATTCTAACTTAAGTCAGACTTAAGTTTGTTTCGAGAAATAGGGGTCTGATGACCAAAATTAAAAAGTCATAGTAACAGATCACAGTGTCAGAGACGTCATCCCTTGCTTCTAGTACTAGGTGGAACGCGGTATCAATTGAAGGTTCAACTGAGCGGGTAAAGCAAATGCACTCCTGTTGACTACACCTTCTGTCACTATGTTGGTGGTTGAGGTCTGTATATGGAACTAAACAGTTTGTTTTGTTGTCACCATTCCGTGTCTTTGTCAGTCAACAGCCAGATATGCTACTAATGTATCAAGGCAGGCTGTAAAGAACCAAGTCTGGCCAAGACAAACGAGGACGTAGTCAACAACTGGGTCCCGATCCACAAAGCGTTCGTAACGTTACGACATGTCGGAACTCTATAGTTTACCATAGACTTACGAATGTGAATGTCGTAAGGCTACGAATGCTTTGTGGGTCGGACCCTGTACCGGAGATTCCACGTAGAGAGGCTATTTAAAACATAAAGAGCTATTATTTATTGTTTTAGTTGAGTTGATGACAGTGGGCGTGTCTGACCACCCGATCATTCTGGACACATCCCCACCAGAACCAGGCATTGTGTATGACGGACCCGTCTTCAGAGTTGATCTCAACTTTACCAAGGATGCTGATAAGGTAGATATATACTATTGAATGAACTTAATAAGGATATGTTTATTCAATTTAACCAGATATACATTCCCCATAAGCTGTAGTCATCAGCATTCACCCCACGGCAAAACAATTATATTTCCATCTCTAATGACACCTGATCGCTATATTCCAGATCTGTGCTACCTGATTTGGATTCTCTGTCCTCGAGTATGGTATTTCATCTAAACTGAGACCTGATCTCTATATTCCAGATCTGCGCAAACTGGTTTGGGTTCTATGATCCTGAGTCGGGTATTTCCCACTACGGGGTATCGGTTCTGGATGACACAAACGCAACGATCTCCGAGCCGGTCAGTCTTGACCATAAGACACACGAGGCCTGTGTGGAGGTGGACTCTGACCAGAGGCTCGTACACGGCAAGGCCTACAAATTCTACATCACAGCATACAACGCTGCCCATAAACAGCTGAACGTCTCGGCAATGTCAGATGGAGGTAAAGTTGCTGCTTTGCAATTTTGTTTAGCTGAAACATCTGACACCGAAAGGACTCAAAACATTTCCTACTTGTTCCCCAGACCGTTACCGTTTTCCCTTACCACTCTTCAAAGCGTTGGCTCGTCACGCCGAAGACCCGGGTTCGAATCCCCACATGGGTACAATGTGTGAAGCCCATTTCTGGTGTCCCCCGCAGTGATGTTGCTGGAATATTGCTAAAAGCGGCGTAAAAACCAAACTCAGTCAGTCAGCCTTACCACTGTCGTGATTCACATGATGACGATTCATGTTTAGCTGTCACATTACCTCCTCTCCTGTCACAGACCTTCCTCATACATGAATCTCACACGCCTGAATACTGACTATCATTTACAGCAGTGTTAAACCATGGTGTCTGTAAATTGACAGAATCTACCAGTGACTTTTTTTTACTGGAAAGTGAATAACATAAACATAATAGAGATGTTATATTACGAAATCAGAGATAAATTAATTCATGATAATGAGTGAGTGAGTATGGTTTATCACGGCGGGGGACACCAGAAATGGGCTTCACACATTGTACCCGTGTGGGGAATCGAACCCTCATGACAATGTAATAAAACCATGTACACCGTGTTCAGGAGAGGGTCTGGCTTAAGACAGACCTTGAGCAAACCAAGCTTGTCGTGAGAAGCACCTGGTGGGATCTGGTGGTCAGGATCGCTCACTTGTACATCACTGTTGCTGCAGTCATAGAGTTGCGATATTGCGGCATTGACTGACAGCAACATGGACTGAAATATTCTTAAACGTACTTTTATTAGTTTATATCATCATTCTGTCCCAATTCCAGTGATCGTGGATCTGACTGCCCCTGTGCCGGGTGACGTTGTTGACGGTATACGGGACAGCTTTGTCGACGTTGAGTTCAGTACCCACGTTGCCACAGTTGGAACCCAGTGGAGGAATCAAAGTGATCCCGAGTCCGACATAAGAGAGTATGCTGTACAGATACTAAGAGCAAAGTAAGTCGTACAGAAATTACTAAGGAAATTGAGGCTATAATGCTACATTGACTAAAGCATTCGCTTATGAAATTTCATGCATTAATATGAATAACATAGTGTGTACATGTATGATCAAATATTGAAAGATTGAAGGAACATAAACACTCAGTCTTTCACAGTATACTCACTCCTTTCAAAGTAATGATGGGACCCGTGAAGATCCGGGGTAGAATAGGTCTTCAGCAACCCATTCTTGTCATAAAAGGCGACTATACTTGTCGTAACAGGCGACTAACGGGATCGGGTGGTCAGGCTCGCTGACTTGGTTGACACATGTCATCGGTTCCCAATTGCGAAGATTGATGCTCATGCTGTTGATCACTGGATTGTCTGGTCCAGACTCGATTATTTACAGACCGCCGCCATATAGCTGGAATATTGCTGAGTGCATCGTAAAACTCAACTCACTCACTCAAAGTAATGATGGCATGTCATTTATATGTACATACATGTGCGTTTGTTCTGTTTTCCAGAGAGTTGTCTCCTGACTTTGAGGTATTAAGAGACTGGAACACGCTGGGCAAAGACGTCAGACAGATCGAGTGGCACAACTTCCACCTGAACCATCAGGACATTGTCAAGACGAAGCTGAAGACCATCAACAACGCCCTGGGTTCTGTAGAACAGACAACAGATGGGTTTGTGGTGGATCTCACTCCGCCCAGGATGGTGTTCCTAGGTGATGGACGTGAACAGAACAAAGACACGGAGTTCCAGGTGAGGTCGAGATGTCATGTGTAATGACAACTTGGGGCTATACACATTCAATCATTTACCATCCAGTAAAGTGTTAAATGTGTCTATGTATTATTAGGTTAAACGCCAATGGCATGGTCTGAATCTGTTGGTGACATGAAGAGAACACAGATAAAGCGATAGGCTGACTGACTGACTGACTGAGTTTGGTTTTACGCCGCTTTTAGCAATATTCCAGCAACATCACGGCGGGGGACACCAGAAATGGGCTTCACACATTGTACCCATGTGGGGATTCGAACTCGGGTATTCAGCGTGACGAGCCAACGCTTTAACCATTAGTCTACCCCACCGCCCCATAAAGCGATAGGCCTTAAGATAGTATGTCTATGAATTGACACCTCACAAGCTGGAAACGTCTAGCGAAAATATTTCACAACTGAAAATTGTCCACTGTATTCCAAAATAATGTTAGGATACACAAATAATAATAGTGGATGTCGTGTATGCTGTCCATGATGTTTCTGAAATACTCAGTCTCGGGAGTACTTGGTGCTATCATTTATTCGTTAGTTCCTAAACATTTATCTTGTCTGTATGCTTTGAACAGGGGCACAAGTGTGAAGATATCAGTGGCTTTGACCTTTATGGAATCATGTCATTTGCCTGCATTGTCATGTATAGTAAAGGCTGCTTAATAGTATAAATATCACCGTGTCCCGAATTGAAGAGTATTTAGTTAATTATACATTTTATGACATTTACTTGCAGACATCCAGCACTACTGTTGAAGCCAACTTCCAGTTTAAGGACGACGAATCTGGACTGGATCATTATAAATACCAGGTGTATGAGCTTTACCATGGGGCAAAACGTCAAGTATATCCAGGTTTGTAATCCTCTTGCCAAACTTGAACACACCCTTTCTATATGGAATACGTCCAACAGTATTGTAAAGGAATACGTCCAACAGTATTGTAAAGGAATACTCCAACAGTATTGTAAAGGAATACGTCCAACAGAATTGTAAAGGAATACTCCAACAGTATTGTAAAGGAATACGTCCAATACGCCAACAGTATTGTAAAGGAATACTCCAACAGTATTGTAAAGGAATACGCCAACAGTATTGTAAAGGAATACTCCAACAGTGTTGTAAAGGAATACGTCCAACAGTATTGTAAAGGAATACTACAACAGTATTGTAAAGGAATACGTCCAACAGTATTGTAAAGGGTTCTCGAGCTCAGAATATATTTATCAAGGTTATGATGGCGATTTTAGGACATCATTTGTAAGTGATGGGCAGTCTTCCACACTGTTTGAGTATTATCAGGGATTGTCAGTTTAATAATAGAGGAGGTCCAATTTAACCCCACAAGCACGTGTATATCGCTGAGGATCCTGCAGACCTCGTCAAGCCTCTGACACGCGGATCATGGCGCGGATAACGGACGTACTCTGCACTTTTGATTGTGGTGCTTATGTTCATGCAAATACTTTTGTAACAGAAAGTCGTGGTACTTCATTTGAAAATACCTGTCTGAAGCATGTTCGAGTCTAACTGTCATTACTCCTCAACAGACTCTGCAGGATGGGAGACCTCCAGCGACCCCAGCACCATCAGTCAGTCGGGCTTGAGTCTCCGGCCGGGCGCACAGTACAGTGTGAGAGTCGGGGCCGTCAACAGAGCCGGGGCCGTGGCCACCTACGACACAAACGGCGTCCTTCTTGATAATACTCCACCTCGGGTAAGAAATGTAGCGTACATATGGAAACATATGAGTATAGCGGAGTATTTGTAATCAGTTGGTCTTCAGGGTGACAAGTGATGTACTAGCCTTCCACCCTACAGATCCTACACAAATATGCAATAATTAAGTTGAATAATTAATGTAGGGATAATATACTACTTTCTTGGTATTTAGGGCATAATTTCTTCTGTGTTTCACGTAGCCACCAAATTCTGAGGTGAGGTGAGGTGAAATTGGGTTTATCGTCGTGCTTGAGAATATTTCGCTCATATGACGACGTGCATGCGTGTGTATGTGTATGTGCGGCTGCTTGTACTAGCCCAGACTTAAGCTGGTTTTATAGTGCTAGCCCACTGAGATACCATGCCGCTCTGAAGCATGAATACCCCACTCAGACACATTATACTGCCTTCGAGCCGACCAGTCCTTGTTGTACCCATAAATGCCGAGCGCCAGGCAGGGGACCAACAAGTACCATGTTTTAACGTCTTTTGGTATGACGCGGTCGGGGCTCGAACCCGGGGGGGTGGGGGGTGGACTTAATAAACCCACAATTGTCCGAATAATGTTCTTGATTCTCATTTATTATCATTCTTAATATACTTTCTCGCGTTCTTTGGACTTGTGGCAGCAACTGATTAAAACATTTTAGATAGCTAAACATTTTATATGACGAGGCAGTACAGTTTAGGTTCGAATTGGCGGTGTAGGAGTGAAACAAGTTTTGTTTCGGGTTTTGGTTTGTTTTTGTTGTTTTTTTTGTTTTGTTTTGTTTGGGGTTTTTTTGGGGTGTGTGTTTTGTTTTGGGTTTTTTCTGTGGGGAAGGGTCGGCAATAAAATTGGAAAGGTCGGTCGGGCGATGAGAAGAACGAAAAATGAAAATGCTGCCCTTAGGTGGAATACTTAATGGTAACATATTATCTGTCATCTCAAGATGAAGCAGGTATTTGTATGCATCTTGGGATTCCCGTTTTTAGTAACATGTTCCTGGCGAATGGAAGGACATGTTTAAACATCAAGTTAAGCAGAATATCATTACTTTGTGATGGTCTCATTCTTATAATTAGTGTCGAAAGACATGTACAGCTCACGTAAATGTATCTTTAGTATAGTGCTGACCGACCAATTATCATAGTATATAGTCCAACAAACCTGATCCTGGGCCTGATTAGGGTCTCGTATGTCTGCAATGTGTCGCAGAAAATAGGTCCTCTCTGGACCTTGAACTATTGTCTGCTGTTCATTTAACCCTGAACAAGTTTTAATTTTAAATATCTGATCTGATCCCATAACTCATCGGATAGGTTGCCGGAAAGGCGGAAACCACATACGACTTTTCATGGGAACAGCTCCACTGAGTCGAGTTTCAGATCAACAACCTGTTTCGTTTCAGATGAAATGGGTCGACGTTGGCACTTTGTCTGGCAGTGAAGAAGAGTTAACTGACGGTTACGTTATCCAGTCTGATACCACCGGTATCAAGGCCACCTGGTCTGCCAAGGACAGTGAGAGCGGCATCAAGTCGTACATGGTTGCAGTTGGAACCACTAAAGGTTAGCAGGCAAGGCCATCTATGGCCGACAAGTGAGTATGATTGCCGATGGTTTTGGAAAGAGTGCCTGCTTACTGTCGAGAAAATAATTTGTAGATGTTGAAATAAATTTTTAGACCCGTGGAATGCCGCTGCCGATCGAATCAAGCCCTACTTAGGTGCTGTCAACGTGGCTGGAATTAATAAACGAATTTAAAAGATGAGTTTTCGCTGTCTTGGGTGATCCATGATTTTGGCTTGGAATTGCGGAGGTAGCTGTTTTCGGTGAGTCGTGGCGTATAACTTTTGAAATAATGATCCGATTGTGACCATTTATAGCTCATTTAGTAGGGAAATCATCTCGCTTTCGATCCGTAGGCCTCGACGGGGCCTTAAAAATAGTTTACCTGGTGGAATCTAACTTTGAGTGAGGAGGGGGTGGTTCCGTCGTTACATTCCTTTCCTTTTATATAGTACTAGGGTAGGGTCTATATACCTAGATGTCTTTCTAACGCTGTTTCTTAGCGTGACACGCCCCTGTGACAGGCACCAGACATGAAGAACACAGTGTTGTCATCAAGACCAGCCACCCTCTCAACCTAGATTCCTTCATCAGATTGGAGTCAATCTGTCATGGCGCGAGGCGGTGTGGTAGCCTAGTGGTGAAAACGTTCGCTCGTCACGCCGAAGACCCGGGTTCGATTCCCGACATGGGTACAATGTGTGAGGCCCATTCCTGGTGTCCCCAGCCGTGATAATGATGGAATATTGCTAAAAGCGGAGTAAAACTAAGCTCACTCACTGTGGTGTTGCGACATATTGTATGAAAGAGCAGTTTGATCCTTGCCTTTTTGTCATAGTATTTTGACTTCCAGACATTGGACCATTGCCTTTAAAATCATAAAATTGCGAAATCATGTATTTGAAATTATGAAATATGTTTTTCAGGTGGAACTGATATCCTAAACTGGAAGGACTTTGGTTCTGACAAAGACAAATACATGGACGGGTTGACATTGACCGTGACTGACCCTGACACGATGACCCCTGTTTACTATGTGTCTGTAAAGGCGAGCAATGGAGCTGATCTGACCAGTGACGTCATCACGTCAAACCCCATCCGGGTCGTTGACCAGGACAAAGCAGGTATGTATCGTCATTTGTGTATGTTTGTCATCAGCATCATCGTCGTTATTATCATAAACATCATCGTAATTACCAACGACCAGTAAAAGAATAAGATTAATGTATATGACATCGTTTGCATCATATCAGATATGAACACTGAATTAAATCTTTATACAAAAGGTATTGTCATCGACGGCGCCGACTCCACCGAGAGAACTGATTTCATTGGCATTGGTAGCGACATGGACTACCAGAAAGACACGGGGGTTGTGACGGTACAGTTTGCCGGGTTTGAGAGCCACGAGCACGGTGTGACGTACTATGACTGGGCGGTAGGGACGACACCTGGTGGCGAGGAGGTGCAACCGTTCATCATGGCGGGTCTCATACATGAAGAAGCAGAGACCAAGGTTCCTGGAAATGGTGGGTTGAACACACTAACAGACACCCAACAGTTTTGCTCTTTTTTCCCATTATTACATGAAATAGAACTTACGCTACGAATTGATTTTCCAACTGCAGCTCAGAAACTGGTACTTGCAGAACTACACCGTAAAACAAGAACATTAACCCCAAAATGATATATTATGAACTAATTTTGTTGAATCACATGGTATTACGTCTTCATTGGCAATCCATTGGGTCAAACAGGCGGCCTTAGATTAAATGTAACTTTCTTTAATGAATAATGTGTAACTGCCCATGTTCTTGAATCTGAAGTTGGCAGTATTCGGTGTGTCCAGATAGGTAACGATAATTAGACCCAAATAAGGTCATAAAGGACCTCGGGTCGCATTCGCTCTTATATGGGTACAGCCACATCACGAGTCTTCTCCAACGGTCAAGCTTATATTGTTCACAACAACCAGGGGTGGTAACTCTATTCATACTTCCTGTTACAAGCTGGCCAGTATGACAGTCATATCTCTACTGACCCGAAACAACTATCATTCTTCACCACTGATATTATCTCTGGATACTTCAAAAAGCATCCTTATACTTATAATTTATGTATGGTATTTTATTAGAATATTTTGGAATATACGTAAGCTAAAGTAGTGTTTTCTTAAATGTGATTATATTGTTCATACATTCAGTTTGTGTCTCTGTATACTGTCCAGGTATCGCCAGCATGGGCTTTGGTCAGGCTGTCCTCCCGCTGTCATCCGGCACGACATACTACACCACAGTCCGCGGCATCACCAACGTCGGCAACATTCTGGAATCCACGTCAGATGGATTTACTGTTGATATCACTCCTCCTGACGTCCTCGTGGAAAGGTAAACATCAATGTATACAAATCGTTATTCGGTAGATATTTATCTTGTTAATGTCCAACAATTTCCCTATTGTGAGTACATGTATATGATACTTTCTTCAACCCATTGTTATGTTACCATCGGAATTGTGTACAAGGGTCCCTGTATTTCAGTGGAACATTCTTATTCCATCTCGTCAGTTATTGTATCTAAAAGCAGCAACACTAATTTACATAGTGCTGTTGTCCATGGTAAGCTACATGTCTGTAGAACATGGTTCTGAAAACGACCAGAGCAACCCCTGTTTATATTATACCCCTGACCTTCTGATAGGTATATCATCTATTGGTTGGATTGTTTTCAAATTTGGGGACCAACTTTGTCTAAAGGAGAAGTTTTTTTATTATGGTATTTTAATTGTTTTTCAAGAATAAGAGCAATTTAAACATTCGCACATACAAACGTTTGTTCAACCAATAACTTGAAAAGTACTGGTTAAAATGCAAATTTGAGAAAACAGCTTCTTGGTCGAAAGTAGAGGTGAAGTGAAATGTTTTGTTTCGATTTTCTCATTTTTTGAAAACTTGTTTCAATTTAAATATTTGGAACTTTAAAAGCCCAAGCAAATGTTTATTCAACCAATAACTTGAACACATTTGAATGAATTGTTATATAGATTTGGAGCATCACCCTCAATATCTATAGGTGAGGTACATTGCATAGTTATATATTGATATTTGTAATTTATCGAGAGTCATAAATTACATCCCTTGAACTCAGGAATACGCTACACATCCAGTTTGTTCAACCAATAACTTAATGGACGTTTTATAGGTTTAGGAAATGGCTTCGGTGGTAAAGGTCGTGGGTATTAATGTGCCATGCTCACACTTTTTGCTTCTTCACATTTCTCCAACAGCTATAGTAGTTAGAGCGTCCGCCCGGAGAGCGGAAGGTCGCGGGTTCGATCCCCGACCGCGTCATACCAAAATACGTTAAAACATGGTACCTGTTGGTCCCTGCCTGGCGCTCGGCATTAATGGGTACAACAAGGACTGGTCGGCTCGGAGTCAGTATACTGTGTCTGAGTGGGGTATTCATGCTTCACTATAAAATCAGCTAGCACTACAAAACCAGCTGGGCTAGTACAAGCAGGCGCACATACACATACATGCACGTCGTCATATGAGCGAAATATTCTCAAGCACGACGTAAAACCCAATTTCACCTCACCTCCAAGAGCTATATCTCTTTGATCAACCAGGACAAACTGTACGTCATCTAAGCTTTGTTATTCTTGTTCCCTTACAGCTATGGCTCTGAGAGCAACCAGAGCAGGCTGACCTCCACCACGACACTGTACCAGACTGAGGTGGACTCCATCTCCTCTTCCTGGAGGGTTGCAGACAGTGAGAGTCCAGTCAAGAAGATGTACTACTCTGTGGGGACCTACCCCCCACGGGGAGGATGTCCAGCCCACGACTGAGGTGGACATCCTGCTGACCGGCGAGGGGGCGCTACCCACTGGCATCAAACCTACAACTGATGGTGAGAATTGGCAGTGAACAGCATAAATTTATTTGAACGCCTTGCAATTCGTATTATTATGATAAAAATTGTGAGAGAAATATCTAGTGGTGTTCCGATGATCGAAAAAAAATCGAATATCGATCGAAAGAAGGATTAAAAATGATTATCGATTGTAAAAAAATATTGTTGATTTTGTTGGTTTTGTGTAACACCCTTGAATTAAATATACTAACCATTTAATTTGATGAATATTCACGAATAAACATGCGCTCAACAGCGTAAAGCTATGCGCATTGTAGAATTTTAACCATTTTTATTGTTTAATTACAATTCCAGTGTCTTACTTGCATGCATGCATTTCTTTGCATGACAGTATTAGTTATAAAAAAACATTAATTAGAAAAAAACTTGGGGAAAAACCGTTAAAATTGATGATTACATTTAAAATGTATATATTTCGATTATAATCGATAATCGTTCGCCACAAGTCCTCTGATTATCGATAGTGGATTTGCTTTCCGATTCCCAACACTAGAATTATCGTACTGACCATATGATGTTAAGCCTATACGTTCGCAATCATTGATGGTTCCAATGAAACAGAATACAAGATTAACTGAAAGTTGAAAATATGCTAAGACATCAAGTGACGTGGAATGAGTTTTAGACAAAACCTATGTCCTGCTCCTATGGCTGGCGTTGTCTTTTCTATTTTTATTTGATGAAGTTCATGAGTTCTACGTGCTGAGAAATCAAAACATTTGTTCCGAATTTATGTTTCAGGAAAACCGAACATTCTGACTCTTACAGCCGAAAATGAACTCGGATTATCCGCTAGCATTATCTCCCCTAATCTTGTGATCGACACCTCAGCACCAACAAGGGGCGTATTGACGTGTCCGAGCTTCATTCAGGTATAATTATGACCACAGGTCGGTTTACCCATCGGGGTCGGTTTACATCAAAATACATCATACTGAAATGGGTGGTCGGACTTGATTTCATCATGGTACCATGCTCATGCTATCGATCGCTGGTTTGGTTGACTCAGGCATAATAACATACAGGATGCCATGATATAAATAGAAAAGTGAGGACTTGTAAATCCTTAATCGGTCACTCAGAAAATACAGATGTTAGAATTTTTCGACATTAGTCGGTGTTTCCAACTTTCTGTAATTTCAACTTGACCATGAAGAGTTTGCATACAATTGCTTGTATGCCTTTAATACATATTGGTTATAAACATATAGGTTGAGCTAAATAAGGAGATAAACATCATGTGTTGGCCAATTTCCGGGTGTTATTGAGTATTTGAAGCACGGAAATTCATTTGGAACCGACGGCGTTAGAAATATTCCCGTGCTTCAAATACTCAATAACACCCGGAAATTGGCCAACACATGACGTTTATCGACATTGTAAACACAAAAGTAAACCATGGGTTTTACTGTCCGCAGTCATTGACATCGAGTACGGGTACAGCAGTGAAGTGTCATAAGCTGGCCGTTTCAGCTGGTTCCCATAGTAGCATCTGAAACTGCTCATTTGTGACGTCATTCCGACTTTACGTCACAATATGATTTGAATGACGTCACCACTGCTGACGACGCATCAATGCGTGCTAATACGCAGTGAATAGTCTTGCAATTTCCGGGAATCGAATACCATTGGATCATGTTTTCCAACCAATCAGATGAAAGAATACGGTGACTTTGGGTTTACAATTGTGCTTTGATGTGTCATGAGTTAATGTTTCCTCATGTCCATGGATTATCCATGCAGTGATACATTGTTTGACCCCCACTGTTAATCATTAAGGCTTAACAATGCAATGGTATATTGTTGGACTCCCACTGTTAATCATGTGAAATGAATTAACCACGCAATGATATTTTGTTCCCATGTATGTTGACAGCCGAGGTCTGCAGTGGAGTGCACATGGACAGGGTTCTACGACGCAGAGAGTCTGGTTGTAGAGTTTGAGTTTGCTGTTGGCTCTCATGAGGGGCTGGAGGATGTCATCACTCCTGTCAAGCTGCCGGGACATGCTGCAAAGTATCTGATTTCAGGTAGAACATAACTAACTGTGCATGTATGTCTAAACTTTAGTTAGATTCAGTTCCGCAACAACAAGTCTGGCCAACACTCTCAGTTTCCCCACGATTCTCAACGCAAGAAATATTCTTGTGGTCAAGAATACGAGAGACGAAAATCAGATGTAGGTGTTTGATACTGTGATGAAGAGGACGACAGTTGGTAATGAAGAGGTGACGTTTTTATGTTCAGGTTTAGCTGATAAAGTGATCCATGGTGAAAGATACTATGCTAAGGTCAAGGCCATCAACCAAGTGGGATTGACGTCATCAAGCATCTCCAACGCAATCAACGTGGACACCACACCCCCGCTGCCGGGCACTGTGGTGGAGCTGAAGTCTGTCTACATCATCAACGTCACCGACGAGATCATCACAGAGAAACTGAACACCTACAGGTGTGACACAGAGGAAGGTGGGTACCACCATTATGTCATTATGTACCTGTACAGTTATATGCGTTGTAGCTTGGTGGGACAGCATGTACGGGATAAATTTACAGACACTGTACACAAGCATCTTTATACAAAGAATGGCTTCCCTTTACTCTTTACATCATTGATCTATGAAATATACAAATGACCAGAATGGTCGCTCTTGTTGGTAAGGTGATGTCTGTCGCCCTAAAATTATGTTTCTATGCTTTGTTTATGTCATGAAATTACCATATTTTATCGAAGCTAATCGCAATTTCTTGATTTATAAACGTTATGAAATATTCCCCTTAAACAAATGAATGAGCGGATGTAAGATGGTTAGATTTCATTCAATATCTTCAAGTTGTATCAATACTTTGGTTTGTTCTGCAAGAGTTGCATACAAGTCAAGTATCCCTGTTTTCACGATCAGTTACAAGTTTACATCCTATACAACTGTCTCCTCAGACTGCCTGGCTATAGACGCTGTGTGTCAGGAGTCTCTGTCTGCTGTCAACGTGGCGTGGCAGACCTTCAACGATAAAGAGACAGATATTGTCAAGTACGGCATGATGGCAGTCATGTTCCTCTTCAAAAAGGGATAACCTAGTGGTTAAAGCGTTGGCTCGTCACGGTGAAGACCCGGGTTCGATTCCCCACATGGGTGCAATGTGTGAAGCCCATTTAATGGTGTCTCCAGTCGTGATATTGCTGGAACATTGCTAAAAGCAGTGTCTAAAGATGGCAGTACATACATTTAGCATAATCCAAGTGTTAAGAAATTAGATGAATGATAGCAACACTGCACTGTCAAGATGGCAGTACATACATTTAGCATAATCCAAGTGTTAAGAAATTAGGTAAACGACAAGAGCACTGCACAATGTACTTTTATAGAGGTGTGATAATGTGAGAGGTACATGCCCTTTTCTATGATTCTACTGTAGAGAGGTAGTATCTACTTTGCAAGGATAAATATAAATCTTCAAATAATCACCAGATTTGTATATTTATTGGGACCGTTGTCGTGTGTTCTGATTTTGCTATTTTGGCTTCTTTAGGTACGAGATAGCTGTTGGCACTTCACCTGGAGGGGGACAACTGAGGGGGTTCTTTGAGACTGATGACGTCACAAAGAGATACCTATCGGTCACAGGCCTGATCCTGAAGGGAGTGAGACAGGTGTGATAACGCTTGAATACTGTGTGTGCCTGTTTTTCTAAAATACATGTGCAATGTTTTGAAGAACACATTGTTTACGTTCCAACACCATTAAGTCAAACATATGACCCTACCGGGAACGCAGTTTCGCTTTTAATCTTTATGCGTAATTAAGGAGTTTACCCATTTTTATTGAGTTACAATTTACCTAAGTTAAAGCCTAAGAATAACAACGAAAAATGATAAAAACATGATAGGTAGAATGAATGTTATAAGCCTAATAAGACCACGCTCAAAACAGAATGAGAGAGCAATGCTTTAACTGAAGGCAATATTTGTCAAGAACAAGTTTAAGATTCCAACGAACACAAACTAATATCGCTGTTACGCGTATATATATATATATATATACGCACAAAATTTCCAAAATAGTACAGGTGTTCAGTCATAAATATTACATAGATAAATAAAAACAGAATGCCTTTTTCTCCAACATGTTTCGTTCTATACTCTTCAGGGAGAAAGTGATGAGTGGTTACAGAGCTGTAACCGCTACAATCTATATGAAAGAATCACACGAACATGTTGGAGAAATGGCATTCTGTCTTTTATTTCTTTATTTATCTATGTAATATATATATATATATATATATATATATATATATATATATATATATATAGAGAGAGAGAGAGAGAGAGAGAGAGAGAGAGAGAGAGAGAGAGAGAGAGAGAGAGATAGGTAGATATATATGTTTTGGACGCTTCCAATAATGGATTTCACATTACAGATATTTGTGACGGTGAAAGCTACCAATGAAGCTGGTCTCAGCACAATATCCACGTCTAACGGTATCTACATGTCCTACCTCAGTCAGGGCTTGGAACCACTCACTCATGTTGGAATCTGGGACGGTGAAAGCCATGATGGTGATCTGTGAGTATTGATTTTGTACATATTGCAAAGCTGCATGCATCAGCTTCTGAACCAAGGCACCGAAACACGGCTATTTGAAAAATCACCCATTGTAAATAAATATCATCCGCTTCATATAAAGCGTCTCTATACCTAATTAGTATTGGACTATGTTTCTCACTACAGTGATTTCCAGACAAGTCTGTCCCGTATGGGGGCCAAGTGGGACGTGTCAGGTGACCCGTGTCCGGTGGTCAAGTACGAGTGGGCAATACAAAGGGCTGACGGGCTGAGGGTGCAGGAATACTTCAATACAGAAGGTTAGCAAAAATGGCAGCTGGAACTATTTTCAAAATATACGGCCGGTGGTCGAGGTGAAAATTAACATTTTTCGTTTCTGAAATTAGTATATGTCATATACGTTATATAACATATATGGCCGATTCGTAAACTAAATAGCCAATCAAGTATTGAAAGTTTGTAGAAATATGCTTTGGCTTTATTGGAACTAATCATTCCTACAATTTCAGGAAGAACTCTTGGAGTCAACGACCAGCTGGTCATGCATAACATGGAACGCTACTACCAATATCTACGGGTGACCAACGCCATGGACTTCACCTACACCATCAGATCGAACGGCATCACCATCGAGGATGACCCCCCTGGTGCCTGGACAGGTCAATGATGGCGATGTCGTGGGATTTGACCTTGAGTTCCTCAGAACTAAGAGTAAAGTCAGCGCCAATTGGGACAAGTTTGGTAGCGATGGCAACGCTGACGAGGTATCAACTGGAATAAAAGCAGGTTAGGTTATGTTGCCTAATTTGTTTAAGAAACAAATGTTAGCGTTTGTATAGTGTTCACATCGCACAGACCAATTGTTTCGTGGCATTTGATGGTGGCCTCAAACCCAAAGACGATCAGTACTTCATAAAAGGCTGCTGTGTACTATCAAATATGAATCTATTTATGTGTGCGTGACATGCAGGAGTTCCTCAAAGATAAATCTTTGTGAAATTTGGACAACTTAGAATAACAGGAATATCCATGGGCCTAACTGTGTATGCTTGTTGTTTGCCTGTTTGGCAATAATGAGACCAGTAGAGCAGCCTTTAGTTTGTTCATATCAAAGTCTAAACAAGAGACATTCAGAGGGACAAAAGCATCCACAAGGCTGTGATACAAGTGACCAAAGTTATGTCTGGGGCAGTTCCATATTATTGTGTTTGTTCGGGTGAACAATTGACTTGCCTGTGCACGTGTTTGTCTCTTGCGCTAACCGTCGTGCAGTGTACTCTTCCCTTTTGTCGAATATGTGGTATAATAACTGTTTATAGTTTTCAATGAATGTTTCCAACAATTATACAAAATGGCCTTGTGGCTGTTTTTTAATGGAAAAGAGGATGTTTTTGATTTTGTCAGAGAACCTTGTTAGTGAGGACGAGGAGAAATCTTCCAACCAAGAAGTCGCTTTCTATGAGGTGGCCCTTGGAACCGACCGCCGTTTCCCCAAAACACGTGACAACATTGTGCCGTTTGTCAACGTTGGCCTCAACAAAACTGTGACCTTCTACGACCTTGACCTCACCCCAGTCACGGCAATATATTACTTCACTGTCAGAGCACATAGCCGTTCCGGGTCCAAGACGGACGTCACGTCCAATGGCTTCTCTGTTGGCTTTGATGGAGGCGTGTCAGGTGAGATCCTAACTTTTCCAGGACTTAAAAGTGAAACATATATTATATAAATTAACCAAATGTAAATTACGATCTGCACACCGCATGTACGATATATGAGTGCGTGACATGGGTTTTACGCTGCTTTTGGCAATATTCTAGCAATACTATGGTTTTGGACACCGGAAATCGGTTTAACATACCCCGGTGGAGAAACCGAACGCGGAATTTTGGTATGAAGAGCGAACGCTTTAACCACTGGGCTGCCCCAACGCCCCTGCTATGTTACGATCCAGCTTAGTAACCACAGTTTGCCTTGTGCTTCAGCTGGCATCATCGATATGAAGGAATTTGTCAACACTGATAACTATGTAGGTGTACCCTGGGACGGGTTCGAATCCAAGATTGGCATGATGATGTACTATGTCGGTCTCTCCAACAACACGGAGGCGAACAACTACACATGTGGACAGTTTGTGAGTATCTTAGCAACTCAGAGTACCTTAGCAACTCTGTACTATGTATCTACTATTCACTTAATGTGGTCAGGGTAACTTCCGATTTGAGATTCGTCAATTCGCTGATGTGGGTGATGTGTTTCAGACAGAAAGAGGCTCCATCAGTGACGACGAGCGACGAGGAATCTTCAACGTTGTGGACCTCCAAAATGTGGGGAAGGACACTTTCATGGCGTTTGAAAATCTGTCTCTGGAACAAAATGGAATCTACTATGCTTGGGTTATTGGTATGTTATGGTGTGATGCCAAAACTAGCAGTAGCAGAACTGATTTAGGGCTGGTATGCGAATTGTCATCACTGGATCACCGTTAGTTATGAGACACTTCAGAACGATGTACAAATCTTAAAATTAAAGTTCATTAGTGGTAATTGTCAGGAGGTGTGTGTCGTTTACACTGCATTATGTTGGATTGCTTGGAAATTTGGATATCTTAATAAGTTCACTGAGGAATTATTCATTACGTTGTTTTGTGTACTTTGACTGAGAAACAACATTTCGACATTAACGACATTCTGTATTCACCTCTGTGTTATTTTGAATGTATTTGTTGTTGTTTGTTTTCTAAAATCCTCAAGATCTCATGTCCGGAAATCTCAGAATACCCATTCGTGATATCTCATCTCTTCTTCATCGTTTCAAACATTTTTGCCATCCATGAATCCTTCTGTCTCGTCATCCCTACACATCACTACGTGTGATTTCTTATATATGCTCCATATCCCAGGTGCTGACAAGGCTGGAGAGTGCAACGTGACAAGTCACATGTTCCAGGTGGACGTCACACCTCCAGTCAAAGGCAAGATCAGAACAGGGCCCTATTATGACATGGTAGGTGACCAGGAAAACTTAGTTGAATCAAGCACCTTCAATCAATGCTTCTTCGTCCAGCTCATCTTCATGTTTACCTCAAGCCATTCTGTACAGTGAATTCTCACTGACCCGCCCCGCAGAACCGATACATGTCGTTCAATCAGTTGTTGAAGACAAGCGGAGTAGAATTACACATTCTGCCGCCGCATATAATTTCAATTTTGGACATGGCACATGTCTATAAAATTTTGGACACATGCTTTGCACATATATGATTTACATACTTCATTTAATTCTTACTAGATTTTCAAATCTAGAATAATTCATATTTTATTGTTTTCTAATAAAGAAATATATCACACTAAAGCTCTGAAATAGTCCCATATTCTAAGAAAAGGTTATGTCACCCTAATTTATTATGTGAAGAAAATGAATTTCATATACTTCATTGTCATGAGCGGACCTGTATTTGGTGTCTAATTTACTGTTCCACTTGTCAGAAACTAAGTTACTCGGCCAGCAGTGAGAGTCTTCAGACCTACTGGACAGGCTTCAGTGATGAGGACTCGGGCATCCGATGCTATTACGCAGCCCTGCTGAAGAGAGCCTCCTGTGACGAAGACTCGGAGGAAGAAACTGTCGTAGAATCCATAGAGATTGATGTCAACTACACGTCCTATAGATTCATGGACATCACTATACAGGTGAGTTATCTCCACGTCAAATAAGTCCTAATGAGTAAAGGTATCGTTATCTGGTTATCTGGGTTACTGTTACAAGAGCTACAACAAAGCTTTCTATGTTGTTTTTCTCTGAAGGCCAACACGCCTTACTTTGTGCGTCTCGTGGCGGAGAACTTTGCCGGACTCAAGTCGACATTAGACTCCCCACCAGTCATGTATGACAACTCCATCCCCTCCCCAGGCCTCGTCATCGACGGGCACGACTTCACTCACGACATCAGCTGGAGCGGCTCCGCCACCACTGTTACAGGTAATCCATTCATTTAGGTTTAATTTAGATACGTATGTACCTGTCCTCGGATACAGTTAACAGTACAGCGCTGCAATGAGGCCGATACCACAGACGAAACACACATTACATTTAGATTTGACATTGGCCTTTATTGTATATTCTGAGTTTCTGAAGCATATACCCAATAGTTGTTCTTATGGATCTGAGCGAATAACACATGAGCCGGTGATACTTTTTAACATTATTTCATTTTATAATCTAAACAAAATGATTCAGAGGGACAAAAGTTATGTCATTGGGGCAGTTTCATAATACTTTGTTTGTTCGGGTGAACAATTGACTTGCCTTTGCATGTATTTGTGTCATGTACTAACCATCGTGCAGTATACACATCCCTTTTTGAGAATACGATTATGTAATGAGGTTCAGGTATTTCCATTGTGTAACCTGGCTGACTGCAGCTACTCATTGCGGGGAACAACCCCAAGGTTGCCCTCTTCATGATAGATTATGTATAGGCCACAGTGCCATAACTACACCATCAGGTGATGCGTCCATTCACCAGATCACCAGTTCGTGAAAGGGGTACACATGTCCTGCCCAACAATTCATTTTAAGTATCTTTTCCGTAGGCACCTTCCTACACCACCCTGTGCCCGACGGGTCTCCATGTCCTGTCAGAAAAATCAGATTTGATGACTCGGAGTGGATGTACCTGGAGTCTGACCGGAACCATGACAGCAACAACCGCAGCTTGACCTTGACCTACAGATCAGCCAACGTCCACCCGGAGTCCGGCAAAGTGGACATCAAACTGGCCAGAGATACCAAGACTGACGCCATGTTTTCTGGAAGCTACTTCAGAGATGCCGACCTTGTCAATGGCGGAGAGTATAAGGTATTGTGATGCAAAGTGTCACTTAACTCTTGCAGATAGCCCAAGTTATGTTTTTCCTGTCTTTACTCAAACGCAAAAAACATTTTGACCAGGTTAATAGCTGCATCAATATTTTAGCTGTGTCATGACAGCCTGTAGGTACTCAAGGAGTACTCAGTCAACCGATGGTTGATAATATGAGCAAAGATAGGTCAAGGTAGGAATCACAATTTCCAAGCCTTGCCACAGAGTATGTTGCAGAAAGGAATGTATATAAAATGAAAGTGAAATTCAAGTTCAGTATTCATTTACTTTACATCAAGAAAATCTTAACGTTGTGTCTTGCGAGTTATCCTTTACCTCATATGCTGCGTTAGTTTTGTTTTGTCTTTCAATTATTGATCGTATCAAGATTCCATGTACTTCAATGGAAACTACTGGTAGCTACTGAGCTACGTCACAGTAGAATATATGTATCAAGTTTTAGTTTTTAGATATGATCCGTAACCCTCTGACGTGGACCGCGAGATGTATTATTAACGACGAAGTCTTCACTTTACATCACTGTGGCAGCACTACCTTAACACTGTGTCTCTAAGATTACTACTTATGTCTATCCCACTTACGACTGTGTTGCAGCTCTCTATCCGAGCTGCAGCAGGTGACGGTCAAGCGGTCACCACTGTCCTGTTCTGGGACGGCCCAGATGACTACATCCTGGACTACGACTACACACCGTCACCGGACTGGACCGAGTCTATCTGTGCCTGTTGCAGGGTGGAACCTGTGAATGCAGTATGTAGCCTATTCATCCCACATCAAAAAGTATTAAAACATGAAACTTGTCCTTACCCTGCCTGACGCTTGGTAGTAAAAGGATGAACCGGCTCTGAGTAGGGAATTCAAGTTAATTTACGTTCAAAATGGCATCCCAATGGTACGATAAAACCGGCATTTGTGCGTACACACACACACACACACACACACACTAGCATAAAAGCTTAAGCCATGGTTTGTCTTGTCAATGGGCAATATGTATGAAGATCATTCTGTCTGCAGAGAGAACCGTGACTAATCCTCACCTATCCTACATTTCACTGCAGTAGACCACACCATATGACGTCACACACGCCCCTTCCCTATGCTCTCTACAACAGATGCAAAATGTTAATAATTATTCGGTGCAGGCTACAAGATGCTTCATGACTGTGACTCTAGCTTTATCACCGCCATACCTGTACTGACTGGTCTCACTACACGTTCTTCCCACATGACGTGAACAAGATATGGTATTAAAATATTCTTCAAAGCTGCGTTCAACCGAACTTGCTCACCTATGATTTCAGGTGCCAGTTTTAATACTATATCTCTTACAGTCTTGCACCTGCAACTGTGAATCCTACCTACAAGCAGAGAGGTACTACAAGAACATCAGCAAGAGGTCTGTGGATCAGGATGATCCTGGCTACGAGGTGAAGAAGCTGACGGAGGATGAAAAGAAGAAGCTGCAAGAGACAGGCTCCATCACCGACAAGACTGAAATCGGGAATCCTAATCTCCATCCCAGGAAGGCCTGTGGAGTACAGTTATTTGCAGGTTCGTGGAAATGGCTTCCCCTTGCTTGAATACGGTTCTTTGTAATAAGATATGTTTTGGTTGATCTTTAGCCATATTGCAAACGGCCAGCGTGAACTGAGCAACATACAAAGTACAGCATTGTAGTTTTAGTCACAGATCGTTAAGGTGAAGGTCAGTTGCCTGTACCATTTTAAAATAATAGATGGTATTACGTTTCTTTGTAATAAGATATGTTTTGGTTGATCTTTAGCCGTGTTGCCAAACGGCCAGCGTGAACTGAGCAGTATACAAAGTACAGCATTGTAGTTTTAGTCACAGATCGTTAAGGTGAAGGTCAGTTGCCTGTACCATTTTAAAATAATAGATGGTATTACGTTTCTTTGTAATAAGATATGTTTTGGTTGATCTTTAGCCATGTTGTCAAACGGCCAGCGTGAACTGAGCAACATACAAAGTACAGCATTGTAGTTTTAGTCACAGATCATTAAGGTGAAGGTCAGTTGCCTGTACCGTTTTGAAATAATAGATGGTATTACGTTTCTTTGTAATAAGATATGTTTTGGTTGATCTTTAGCCATGTTGTCAAACGGCCAGCGTGAACTGAGCAACATACAAAGTACAGCATTGTAGTTTTAGTCACAGATCATTAAGGTGAAGGTCAGTTGCCTGTACCGTTTTGAAATAATAGATGGTATTAGTCCTCTTATATTCTTATGGCGTGACGTAAGGTGAAGGTCACATGGCACCGTTATTGTAGTAGCACTGATGATTTTCCGCCTTATCGTGTACAGGTGCAGCAGCCAAGTTGGTGTCATGGTGTAGTTACGGGGATAACCTCATGGAACCTGTAGCAGCAGTGAGAGACCTCCTACAAGACCCTTCCAGAGATTACCATCAGTACATGGTCAAGTTCACTACTCAGAGAGACGAAGCAAGAAGCTCACAGGTGAGTCATTCAAATAAGGCAGGTGTGTATAGTTTTACGACGCCTTTAGCAAAGTTCCTGCGGGGAACACCAGCAAAGGCATTCAGACATGTGGAGAACTGAACCCGGGTCTTCGGCTAGCCAACCGCCCGTCATTTTAAGAGAGAGTAGACAAGGTATTCAGATGTTGATCGGCAGATGAGAAGTTCTTTAGTTTCTCATATCCTGAACTGAATAAATACATGACTGGGGTGAAGATTCAAAGTAGTCAGGACGTAACATTTTTAACTTCAATAAACTCTTGGAGATCATCATCTTCGGCCAAGCTAAGGAACATAACTCTTTAATGTCCAATCAGACTAGGAAATATGAACTTTGTTGATACAGCTCAGCAGCAATATCCTTACATCTTAAAGATGTGTTACACTGGTTTTAGTATTATGTCAGGCTAACTAGCACAAAGCATGGAATCATCATCGTTTCTTTTTACTGTCGCAGGTTACCTGGTGCATGTCAGTCTTCATGGACGACGATCTGATGACGGAGCAGTGTGGAATACCGCGTCTCTCTCCCGACACCAAACTCTTCCTGGGAGTCTGGAATCACAAGAACTATATTCCTGACACTGAACGAGATGCGGAAGGACATCTAAAGGTTTTGAGTGCTACGGCTTCATTCCGTGACCTAGTGATGCCTGCCCAGAAGGAGAACCTGTGTCGCTATGGCAACCCTTTCCAAGGAGGTAACAACGCCATCGTTCGGTATGAGGCTGGAATCGGGTCAGCTTCCGGTCTCTCTGATGTCGAGCCGTACCAGCAGGTGAGTTGTGGTGCACATACATAGCACTTACAGTCAGTACGGTTACATTATACACGGAAGAATATAGCAATATACGTGTGTAGAGGACAACATACATATTGGTTTCAATAAATAGTGCAGATGATCAAACAGCACTGATTGTTTAAGAAGTCTCTCTTGAAAACTATGAGGGTTGTTTATAATCAGGTCATTGTTAGTGTTTGTCACCTGTCACGGAGATGAGACGGTGGTCTTGAGAACTACTACATCCAGCGTGTTCTATGTGTTGCTAGGTACATACACCGTGTATCCTCTGTCGGACGCCCTGTGACGTTACGTCAGCTTACTGTGACGTGTTTAGTGTGTTGCTAGGTACATATACCGTGTATCCCCTGTCGGACGCCCTGTGACGTTACGTCAGCTTACCGTGACGTGTTCTATGTGTCGCTAGGTACATGCACCGTGTATCCCCTGTATGGCTCCCTGTGACGTTACGTCAGCTTACTGTGACGTGTTCTATATGTTGCTAGGTACATACACCGTGTATCCCCTGTCTGACTCCCTCGGACGTTACGTCTGCTTACTGTGACGTGTTCTATATGTTGCTAGGTACATACACCGTGTATCCCCTGTCTGACTCCCTGTGACGTCTACACATGTGACGCATCATGTGACAGCGCATCAACAGACCAGGTCAAGATCACCCTCAACGACCTCAACCTAACAGAATCGACAGTCGTGGAGGGGGAAGTAGTTCCTGTAATGTACTACCTCACAGGTAAGAAACAGAATTGTTAAAACATAAAAAGAGAAGTATGGCATTTGTGAAAATGTTATCGATATCTGATGTGTGCATACATCGAAGCAACACAGTAAACTCTATGTCATTATCTTCGTACACTCCTCTCCCTATTTGTATTACCTGTAAATCTGATTGTTCCAGTGAAAGCTGTACTCGGGTCTGGAACAGAGGCGGTATCGTCATCTGACGGCTTCAACATCGACACGTCACCACCACTGTTTGACACCGACGTCATGCTGTACATCGACGTCACTCAGGGCAACTTCACCCCTGTGACGTACCAGGGATCCAACGACACCATTAAGGCTGTGTGGAAGTGCAATGACAACGAGAGCGAAATTGTGGTAACAAGGAGCTTCTGCACGAGTATATGTCAAACATAAATCAAATACCTCGAAATACGTATGGATAATACGTGTAAATTACCTGTATTACCTTTAGACTATGGAATCAAATGGTGTGTGGTGAGCATATATATTACTGGGTGGAGTGGCCCCATGGTTAAAGTGGCTCGTCACACTGAACACTCGGGTTTGATTCCACATATCTGAAAGACCTATTTTTCCCACGATATCGCTATATAGTTTTCCTGAAAATGGAGTTAAACAATGTTCACTCACGATTCCTATACAACTGCGCGGCCATGAGAAATGATACCCCGTGCGTATGCCTTTAGCATATAACTGAATTGCTGAAGGTGAATGGAAAGTCTGGTAAATATCAAGCTACCAGAATACATGTGTGACTTTACAGAACTACGAGTGGGCGATAGGCACAGCGCCAGGGGGAGAGGAGTTGCAGACATTTGTATCAACTCGGGAGTATCCTGGATCTGTGAACTCCGGACTTGGAGGCCTCCTGGAACACAACACGACGTACTACGTGACCGTCAGATGTACCAACGGGGGTGGGCTGGTCACAACATACGCTGATCCCAGAGGTGTGTACCCTTATACATCAAACAGTGAATTACAGTATTTTTAGAGGTGCTTACCTTAACACATCATAGACTAGAGTATTACGCTATTTCTAGAGGTTTTACCTGTTCTTAAAAGTTCCAAACTTGTGATATTTATCAATTGGATTGTCAGAAATGACGATATCTATTTTAGAAGAATCTGATTCCATCCTTAATGGATTTATCAATAAAGCCAAGTGTGTGACTTAGGTGTGACCGTTCTTCTCGAGCCTCCCATTGTCGATGACGTCAACACAACAATAGTGGGTGCTGAATCTCTTGGAGAGAAAGTGGTGCCGCCAAACTCCATGAAAACCACAGACAGACACACCGTCGGTGCTTCCTGGACGGTCTCTGCAGATGAAAGTGTCAGGCGATATGGTAATGTAATATATTTCATATCAATCTTTACTTTAATGACTTAAGGTGAGGTGAGGTGTTGAATTATAACCACTGATTGGTTAGACATACTGGTGTATTCTCTAATGTACAGGTATTGGAAACAGTAACTGGAATTCTTCAGATTTGACTTTGGAACGTTTGATCGGTCTGGAACACATACTGAGTCACAGGTCTCGGTCCTGTAAATCACGAGGGGGGCCAACTGTCGACTGGGTTGCCCAGTAGTTTAAGCGTTTACTTTACTGTTTCGAAAGGTTTTGCTGCTGCGATACGAGGAGAATGTTACTAAAATAAACTCACCTTCTATGGTAAAAGAGCTAGATATAAGGCTTCCCAGTTTACGAAAGAAAGAAAAAGTGTCAATACTTCATATTCAGATTTCTGTGTGGGGAGTTCCGAGGCCAGCATCGATGACATCTTCCCCTGCACCTGGGTCGGCTACAACACGTCGGGGACGGTTACAGTGGCGGATGGTTACCTCAAAATTGACGACTACAACATATACATGCTGAGTCAGTACAAGGCCGACTACAACTCCTCGGTGCACGGTACCACAGACAGGTCAGCCTTCACCATCGCTCCAGGCACAGAGATGTTCATCTTCATGAAGATGTGTAATGAGGCTCAACTGTGCACCACCAAGTTGCTGGGCTCTACTATAGTGGAGACAGACAAGTCCACGATGGCGACGTCGTCAAATGGTTCTGCTGTTACTGTAGATGTTGGTGGTGGTGCCAGAAGAAAAAGGGATCTTTCAGGAGTAACTGTATCAACACCAGATGGTTAGTGTACAAAATAACAGGATATTGTCATCTTTGCTTCATAACGTAAGTGTGAAAGGCCGTTCTCTTTACTTCCAAAGGACAACATAGATTCGATATTCATCCACTCTTTCACTGCATTATTGCTTGATATAATCAACAGCATCAAATGACATTCTCTTTGGAAACAATACAGAAGATGCATCCTGTAGCTCATGGTTACAGTGCCGTTTAATATGGGTGTCGGACGTATGACTGGTTCTGTTCATCCTATCAGTGTTAGCAACGTTCACGGGCGGTGGGGTGGCCTAGTGGTTAAAGCGTTGGCTCGTCACGCAGAGGACCCGGGTTCGAATTCCCACATGGGTACAATGTGTGAAGCCTATTTCTGGTGTCCCCCGCCGTGATGTTGCTGGAATATTGCTAAAAGCGGCGTAAAACCCAAACTCAGTTAGTCAGTAACGTTCACAATGAAAGCTGCTGATGCAGTTGGCAACTGGTCTGTCTGGTCCAGGCTCGAACGTATGCAGGCAACAGCTGTAGTGGCGGTATATTTACGCTAAAGCAACACACACAAACGCACGCAAACATTGCTCTTATTTGCTTGTCTATGATCCAGGACTACAGCCCGGGCAAAGCATCGTTGTCACTCAGCTCACAAAGCTGGATCTAGAGACGGAATACAAGTCTGACGCCTCGGTGGAGTTCGTCCCATACATCACTGACCCATCTAAGTCAACCACAGAAGATGCCTTCACGGACAGAATCCTCAGAAAGAGGCTCAGCTACCAGGAAACTGACCTCTCGTTCTCTCTGACCAGCGTTGGTAATCTGCCCATGCCAGGACCGGTGAAGGTCACCTTCACTTATGATCCCACGGTGACCAATACAACGTTGATGCTGCTTCACTGGAATGTTGGTAGGTGATTTGCGTGTAGATACTTTATGTATGTATTTCAATAAAGATCGGCATCACATCGGACTTTTCTTTCCTCGTGAAGCTGTGATAGAGCTGCTATAGATGCGTTCTAGTCATTCGGAACGTCGATGACCCACAAGGGTTTTGGTGACGAAATTGGAAACGTTAAAGGAACTTACTCATGAATGAATAGAAATCCATAAAGTTGACTGACGATACCATCTGGATTGACAAGGCTTCGGTCTTTTCGTAAGAAGAAGTCACGTGACAACAGATCATTCCTGTTCGCTACTGTTCCAGACGCGCTGTGTTATTTTCTGTTGTGACGTATAGTCATCTAGTCAGTTCTGATGTTACATCTGACTTTACCAGCTGTATTTGCTGAGCAAATCAGTCAGTCGGCCCAGCCATATAAAGATAAAATTAAATACATAACATGGCAGCGCTTAAAATCCCAGCTGTTTAGACAATGTGAAGTACTACAGTAGAAGGGTGGTACTAGTCAAAATGGTGTTTGTGTGATAGATGCCAGACAGTGGCAACAGAGCAACAAGACCTGTCAACATGAAACCGACACGGAGGTCAGAGACCAGGCGACCTCTCGGGTCACAGTCAAGGTGAGTGGTATACTGTACTTTAACATGTCTTATAATAAACCCCGATATTTTCTGAAGCTAGGATTGTTCCGCTCATTATACTACGTCTGAGTAGAACCGGTGCAGACTGTAACAAGCAGCCACGCACGCACGCACATACGCACGCACACACGCACACGTCTCTATAAGTGCAATAATTAGTTCTCATCTGTTGTACATATTGTTGTCTGACCACATCAACACTTCACCTCTGTCGAGTTTGTCTGATAAGAAGAAATCTATGAACTACTAAATCTTTCGCTATTTTGCTGATTCCCACCATTAACATGTACTGACGTTGTACAGGTTGATCATGTCCGGCACATGCAACCTTTTTCTCTTCACAATGTTTAATTTTTGCATATCAGTGAGTATCTATTGGGACTGTGTCTGATGTGTTGTGTTTAGGTGTGCAACACAAGGTCAACACAAGGCAGCAGTTCCAGACGTCGGCGTTCTGTGTCAGACACGTACTTCAGACACCCGACCCAGTTCCTGCTGACTTCAGCTCTGACAGAGATACCCAACTCACCCCCTCAGCTCACCAGCACCACGTCTCTTGTCATGCAGGAAGACCAGGGTATGTGTCTCTTATATGGTGTATCTTGTCATGCAGGCAGACCATGTTATCTGTATCTTAGTTTGTGTCTCTTGTCATGCAGGAAGACCAGGGTATCTGTCTCTTAGATTGTGTCTCCTGTCATGCAGGAAGACCAGGGTATGTGTCTCTTAGATTGTGTTTCTTGTCATGCAGGAAGACCATGGTATGTGTCTCTTAGATTGTTAGATTGTGTCTTTTCATGCAGAAAGACCAGGGTATCTGTCTCTGAGATTGTGTCTCTTGTCATGCAGGATGACAAGGTATGTGTCTCTTAGATGGTGTCTTGTCGTGCAGAAAGACCAGGGTATGCGTCTCTTAGATTGTGTCTCTTGTCATGCAGGAAGACCTTGGTATGTATCTCTTAGATGGTGTTTTTGTCATGCAGGAAGACCAAGGTATGTGTCTCTTACCCTGTGTCTCTTGTCATTCACAAAGTCCAGGGTATGTGTCTCTAAGATTGTGTCTCTTGTCATGCAGGAAGACCAAGGTATATGTCTCTTACCTTGTGTCTCTTGTCATGTGGGAAGACCAGGGCTTGTGTCTCTTGTCTTATCTCTCATACGTCACCAAGTGTTATCGTTATTTTCCAGGTACCATGATATACCAGATGACATCCACAGACGCTAATGGAGACGTGATCAAATACAAGATGCGTGACGACTTTGTTGTTGGTGATTTAGACTTGACGCTGTCAGAGTATGGATTGTAAGTTGTTTCGTGAAACAACCTCACGGTTGTATTCTTATGTAGTATGTTTACAGGTTTGTTGGTCTGCCACATGGCAAACCAGCCTTTAATGCTTTGAATGGGTGCACTATTGACATGTACAGACAAAGTAAAATACGCATAGCCAAAAAAAAACTCGACACCTTTCTATAAGATGCATGTAACCCTAGATGGACAAATTCACAAATATAAGCATCTGTTAACCAACATGTTCTTTCTGCATATATTTCAGGATGACATATACACCTGCCAGAGACTTCTACGGATCACTAGATGTCCCGATAAGTCTGTATGAGGTGCCCCTAGCTGAGATACCACCTGCTGAAACCGCAGTGAACATCAGCATCATCGTCACCCCAGTCAACGACGCCCCCAGCGCCTTCGTATTCAGTGACGGCGTCAGCTTCCTCCATGCAGATCCAGCACACCCTGTTCAGGTAGGTCGCATTTCAGCATGCTACAGCGATCATATTATGTGGAGTTAGAGTGAGTGAGTGAGTGAGTGAACATAATGTTCAGCGTGACAAGCGAACGCTTTAACCACATGCCTACCCCACCGCCCCGTACCATATACTGATACTGACATCGATTCTACGTTAGGGGCTTAATATTTATTATTACATTTAGTTCAACAGATGAGGTTTGTGCTGCATAAATAACCTGATTCAGTTTTACTTTTGAGGAGAGCCTTCCAGCATAGGAGAGTCATATCAGATATTTTATTCACCAGGCCAATGGGATGTATTGTTCATTGACAAATTGTTTGTTTATAATCTGGTATCTTGACTTATTTTCACTGATCGATTCATACCATCGTCTTATATGCCCAATATGGAATATATTTCGGTTGATAATCTAGATTGATTTATATGTATTTCAGATTCTGCTGGAGCAGGTTCAAGTCAATGACAGCAACCCCACGACGTACAGATGGGAGTTTGGGGCGTACGACGTTGACGTTGGCGACAACATGACCATCTACCACACTCAGCCGACAAGCGGGAACCTTATCGTCGGTGACGTGAATACCACGGACCCCTGTTCATACAACACGGTCAGTGCTGAGTAACAATGCATGCAAGAATATGAAAAAAATACAAAACACTCAGCGTAATCATTACAAACCTTTTCTGAAAACATTCGCCAATTGCTAGACAATAATATACACACGAAATTGACTGACTGACTGACTGAGTTTGGTTTTACGCCGCTTTTAGCAATATTCCAGCAACATCACGGCGGGGGACACCAGAAAAGGGCTTCACACATTGTACCCATGTGAGGATTCGAACCCGGGTCCTCGGCGTCACGAGCCAACGCTTTAACCACTAGGCTACCCCATCGCCCCACATGAAATTGATTTATGGTTATGGTTAAACTACATTTCTTAAAGGAAGCTAATGACCTGTTTTCATATTTGTGAACAAAGGTTTCACAATACGTGATATAGATAATATATGCGTTTTGTTTATTTGTTAGTTGCTTAAAACCGCCCACAGCAATATTCCAGCTACATAGCGGTGGTCCTTGAATAATCGTCTCTGGACTAGACAATCCAATGATCAACAGCATGAGCATCGATCTACGCTATTTCACTGCTTGTTTGCTTGTTAAGTCCATTGGAATCCGTTTGGGTGGATAATCGAGACTGGTTATTTTCTGGCCTTGCTGGTTAATGTTAACTAACTAATGATCAAAATAACGTCCCACTGGAAGCTTGCAGGGATTGTAATATATTTATCATAGCTCAAACCAATTCGCGATTAAGCTAATGTTTGAGCTGGAGTTGTGTTCATGCTTTGATTCTTGTGGAAGAGACACAAGCTAAGAGACACATACCCTGGTCTTCCTAAGAGACTTATACCCTGGTCCATATGGGTACAATGTGTGAATCCCATTTCTGGTGTCCCCCGCCGTGATATTTGCTGGAATTTTGCAAAAAGCGGCGTAAAATCAAACTCACTCACTCACTTATACCCTGGTCCTCCTCCATGACAAGAGAGACACAAGAAATGAACACAATATTTGAATTAAATGCGATTCAGTGGTTTGAATTATTAAAGTCGTCATAACAGAAGTCTGCAATCCAGACAAAACCATGATGTCTTCGGTTAGCATGTAGATAATAACAGCTGTGCGTGGTCATTGTGTAGTTCAGTGGCAGAGGTGCTCACTTGTTCATGCCAGTCCGGGTTCGATGCTAGGGTCATGTTTGTGATACACTAGTGTGCTAATACCTCATTGGCCCCCTTACTCACCCATGAATTGTACGCATGATAAACTTATTTCAGAGCGGCATTCCCTGTGAGAAGCTCCACCTCCCCCACCCCGCCGACTCCCTCAACTGGGTCTACACGACCTTCCAGTACCAACCTGACCCTGGTTACTATGGTTACGATGAGGTCCGGGTATACGCCCAGGACCAGGCAGGGACATACTCTGACGTCATCACGATCAAACCAACTGTGATGGAGATGCCATGCAAGAATGGAGGAGCATGCAGAAGTAAGTACTGCTATGTGTTTGTCCGCTAGTGATTCGGAACTGAGTGAGTGAGTGAGTTTAGTTTTACACCGCACTCGGCAATATTCCATCTATATGGCAGCGGTCTGTAAATAATCGAGTCTGGACAATCCAGTGATCAACAGTATTAGGACCGGTCTACGTTATTGGCATACAATGACATGGGTCAACCAAGTCAGCGAGCCTGACCACCCGGTCTGTTAGTCACCTCTTACAACAAGCATGGGTTACTGAAGACAAATTCTAACGGGTATCGTCATGGGTCGATTCTGAAACAGAAGCGGGGCGGTGGAGTGGCCTAGTGGTTAAAGCTTTCGCTCTTCACGCCAAAGACCCGGTTTCGATTCACCACATGGGCACAATGGGTGAAGCATAATTTCTGGTGTCCCCCCTCTATGATATTGCTGGAATATTGTTAGCGCGGCATAAAACTAATCGCACTCACTCTGAACTGAGGTAGCGGGTTACAGCCCGCGTTCATTACGCAAGCAGTAACAAAGTTGAAAACAGAATATGGAAGACACAATCCCAAATAAAATACATGGAGTGCGTACTGAAACTGATTGAACAGCGACGTGTTGGCGCCGTTTTGCGTTTTAAGATACATCATTTCACTAACATTTGGGTATACCGTACGTATATAACGAACCGATGTCACTTGCTGTATATTTTATTTGAAATGCGTTCAACGAGCTACTGTTATAACGAAGGATTAGAGGTCCCTTTGACTTCGATATAACCGTAGTTTACTGTACATAATAAGGAAGGGCAATTACTATTAGACTTTACAGATACATTATCGACAGGAAATACCCAGGCATGTATAATACTGGTTACTGTAAAAGAAACAGTTCTATCCTCAAGGCGACTAGCGGGATCGGGTGGTCAGGCTGACTGACTTGATGCATGTCAATTCAACACATTGATTACACAACAGTCTCGTTTCCTGCTGACTGGGTTCCGTCCTATTGCGCAACTTAGTGCAATAACCTGTCCAGAATTTTGAGACCAACTCATACAACTGGATACATAAATATTAATCAGTATAATTTGATACATCTAATCTCTTGTATATTGCAACACTACGCTCCTTCTGATCCTTGCAAACACGTCGTGCAGCGTGTTCTGACAAACGGAAATCTGGAATTTGTGGAATAAGCGCAAAGAACACATAACGGGTGTAACCAGTGAGCCAGATGAATTGTTAATCATTTTACGACCTCATCTGTGACGTCTTAGTTAAGGTCATGCTGCCTAAATCTCGTTATAAATTATAGAAATACGATTTTATTAAAGTTTAAATTAAAATTTATTTGTAAATACCATTTTCTTATGAAACAAGAAATTGAAATTAAGTTTAACCATATTTGTTTGTAGTGTCTCTTTTCACTTTCACACGAGCAAATTCGGATCGGCTGAAAAGTAGGTCATTGTCTGAATTGGTTAATGTTTCGGTATGCATCGTATCTCAATTCTGTAGATAGATGCTCAGGATGTCGATCACTTGGTTATCTGGTCCAGACTCGATTATGTACAGACTAGTGTCATATAGATGGAATATTGCTGGGTGCGACATTGAACAACAACAAAAACACCTGTTAAATTAAAGTTAAGTCTTTCTTCGCAAATCATTTTCACTGTGTGCCTCGACATATATAATTCCAGGCAAAAATGAAAGCTTGTACAACTGCACCAACTACCGCCGTGCTGAAGGCTTTGACCTTTACTATGAGTGTGCGTGCGCATCAGGCTGGACCGGCATGCACTGCGAGGATGACGTCAACGAGTGTGGCAGTTCACCATGTTCCTGGCCGTACGTCTGCTACGACGACGTCAACAGATACTACTGCGCATGTGCAAAAGAAAATCCGAACTGTGATGGGTGGCAGGCATGGATGATCGGGCTGGTGGTGTTGGCGGGAATATTGATAATCATCTTATCCGTGCTGGCTTGGTATCTGTGCATGCTCAAACGAGGGTAGGTACTGCACTTAGAAGCAGCAAAAAAGAACCTCGTAAGAAGTTCTAAAGACAACATTCGGGTCCCAAACATGTATGTGTCGTGGGCAGATTAATATATTTCTTCCAGGTTTTTAAGGAAGTGTAATCCCCTTTATATGTAAGTTTATTTCATCTGTGGATAAAACAGAGTTAGTTTTGCAACTTGTCCCCCGACAAACTTGAAAGTTGTAGGGGCAGGGATTGTGTGCTGCTACTTATTACAAGATGTTCCAGCCGCTGTGTTTGGTCAGACACTTTCAGATATATCACTGTGATGACGTGCTACAAGTGTCCACATTAGTAGAGATTATCACTGTCATTATGACTGCCAAGTTCCTCAAGGTATTATTGTATTGTTTTCCAGACGGATGCACTTGTCCTTGATATGGTACAAGCTATTCAGGATCCGACCGGAAGGATCTAGAACTCCCTTTGTCAACGAAGGCTTCAGTGATGTAAGAATGTTTGGAAACTATAGGGGTTTTTCACGAAGGTACCAATATTACAACAAAAATTCAGTAGAAACCAAGACATCAGAAGGAGATAGTGATATGTTGGGAACTGAATATTGTTTTTTTTTTCAGAAACGGGAGAACACTTCAACGACTATACTATGACACTTTCCCGTTAGGCTTCAGCCGGTTCCAGTTAATTTGAAATATTATCGTTATCAGTCCTCACAATAATATGTATTTATTCCTACTTAACCTGGGCTCCGTATCCTTCACCTAATATAAAGTATATAAATTCACATGAATTCGTGTCCTTTGTTCTCACCATTGATGATGGCTGGTTATTATGCGGGCGTCCTCGCATATATTGTGGCCTGGTTCCATGTTTACAAATCAAGCACTGGGTTGTTTATTCTGGGTTCGACTAGAACTCATCCAACATTTTTTGTCTGTGACTTTTTAACATGTTGTGAATATATTACAATGCTCATGAGAAGAAGAATTCAAAATGATAAACCTGTTTCTTGTAGGACTTGTCTGGAAATGGGAAAAGTCATAAGGTAAAATCAGTGTTCACTTATTCAGAAACCTAAACTCACCAACACATCGCTTCAATAGAACACAACTCACTTTAAATTTCACAATAAAACTCACAATCAAAATTCCTGAACTTAAAGAATTGACAAACCTTTTCTTAAATCTTAATAGATCCCAATATGAAAGGGTGACTGAAACTGTAATTTAGTAAAATCCTTAGAAAGATTAACCAGTATACAATACGTATCTTGTGGACGCGCTGCCTGAAGCACACTTCGACCAACTGTGTACTTGCAGAACTAAGTTTCCGTTTAATTATATTCAAATTAAACTGTTGACAGTCCCGTGCTTCGTCGGGAGCGTCCGGCGTGTTCATGTCCAGTGTGCGGCCAGATGACCCCACAACTCCTGTTAGGTCAGGACTATTCTTCCGACTGGTACCAAGTCTTGCTGACCACCTTTCCGTGAGTAGTTCCAGAGTACTTCCTTGGTGTATTGTATTGCGATTTGGGTGTATGCCTAAGCCTCTTCGTATTCATAGAATATCAACTCGAAGTCTCAATTGTTTACTCCAGAACTCCACTGTTACAACACGGTTCCAACACATAGATGATAGTAAGGTGCGACTTGATGAAACGTTCATGAGAAATAGATGTAACTGCGTTGAAACTCAAGCATAACATTCGCGAGTCCAAGATTAAAGTGATTTGAAACGTTTCTTGGCGAATACAGACTTTAACCTGCCTTTTCTGCAAAACAAACCTTCAGAATTATCACTTCGTGACGCAGAACGCGTGGCTTTTTCTAAACCCTCAACATCCGCACATAAAGTCCCCCAATTAGAGTTATCCCCCTTGATACCAAATTGCTGTGAGCAGCGAGTTGCACGCAACTTAATAAAACTTAATTTCTCTGACTATCTGATTCCAATACACTTAGATACAGTAGCATAATATGCTATGTCGTCATTTTGATTCTCAGAGTTGAATCCAACGCGCTTCACATGTACATGCATGTCAATGATATCACGAATCCGTGAAGATCTGGGTTAATATTTGGTCTTCAGCAGCCCGGCAAACGGGATCGAGATTGGGATGGTTGACACATGACATCGTATCCCATTTGCGCAGATCGATCCTAATGCTGTTGATCACTGGATTGTCTGGTCCAGACTCGATTATTTACAGACCGCCGACAAATAGGTGGAATATAGCTGAGTGCGGCGTAAACAACAAACTAACAAATAACAATGACAATGACATCACGGCATGTCACTGTCAAGTGAAGCTTGAGTACGTCATCAAAAGACCAAGAGTCATAATCACTGCGATTATGGATTTGAACAGTTTGTCTGTGAGGGAAATGTGGTTTTCACTTTTCAGTGTGACATTAATATGTTATTATTGTTATTATTTCTACAGGCAAAACTTCCACCCAGTGATGCATATCCGGGAGAGTCGAACCTTCGCTTTGAAGGCTCCAGATATCCATGGACTCGTCCTGACGTTACGAGTGCAGCAAAGGACCGGCCCATTACACCAGTGGAAGATTACGAAGAAAGACCAAGCAGTTCATCCTCTCTTATCAGGGGAAAATCACCGGTCAGAAGCGACTTGTTGGAACTGGAACCGTATCCAGACTATGATTTGTGAAGAACCCCAGAACCCTTTATGCCGTAGATGTCTGTCTTCCAGAAAACACTCAAATTATGTCTCTTACTTTCCCCTCTGTTAATCTATAAGTCCTGCAAATGGTTGGTTTGATATATATGTTGATGTAGTTACAGTTGATCAAATAAGTAATGTTTAAAATATCCAATCTAATCACAAGAGCTTTAATTGATGGAAACTACCGATAGGATGTCATCTATAATTGATATGTGAATGTTGGCCGTGTGTTTCCATTGATTAAATCTCACAGATTAATCTGCTTTTGTAACAATGTTGAAATTAGCGTCAAAATACAAGCATGTGTCTCGAACAAGGAATGGAAACTTAAATATGAATTTGAAACATATATATGAAAAATGTTAACCGTTCGAGAAGATTATTGTTTGCATTCACCTCAAATATAATAACGTTTCATATTTTGACGGCAGATATCACTACCAAACAAGCAAAGGACATCACTAATACAGTAATGAATCGTATAATTGTACTTTTTTCATGAAGTTAGTAAACATTCAAGGTGTTTATTTGCAAATAAACGTTCTTCAGCAGATGTAAACTTGTTTTCGTTAGTACTTTCAACCCCGACCGTGTCATACCAAAAGACGTTAAAATATGGTACTCGTTGGTCCCTGCCTGGCGCTCGGCATTAATGGGTACAACAAGGACTGGTCGGCTCGGAGTCAGTATAATTTGTCTGAGTAGGGTATTCATGCTTAACTGCAGCATGGTATCTTAGTGAGCAAGAACTATAAAACCAGCTAGTACAAGCAGCCACACATTCACACGCATGAGCGAAATATTCTTAAGTGCGACGTTAAACCCAATTTCATCTCACCTCACCGACCGTGATGAAGTCGGGGGTTAGGAGTCAAGAGACATGAAAATGAGGGAGTTTAGTTTTATGCCGCTTTCAGCAATATTCCACTAATATCAAGGCAGGGGACACCAGAAATGCGCTTCACACATTGTACCCATGTGGGGGAATCGAACCCGTGTCTGCAACGTGACAAGTGAACGCATTAACCACTGCCGCCCCTCTTTAAAATTCATCAATTATGGGAGGTTATTAATTGATGGTCTTCGAACTTAATCATTATGAACGGTCATTATCATAAACCCAGGAGGTTCTGGTGATGGTTTTGTGGAGGTTATCTGAGTGAATGTAGCTGTGCGCGTAGAGCATGCTGATGCATGGAATACAGCGCTATATACATACACTTATTATTATTATTATTACATTGTTTTCAGTAGTACTCCACCAATTCCACGGCAAGGGGCCCCCGTACATGGGTTTCACACATTGTACCTACACTGACGATTTGGTCGCTTTGGTTTGAGATGTGTACATATTTTGATTATCCTCTTGAATGTTAAAGTGGGGGAAGCCAAGAATTGAGGCCGATCTTTGACGGATACTGAAATAACCAGGGGCCGTAACTCTGCACTATCCAGCTGAAAACCTACTGCAATGTGTTTGCGTAAACCTAAAATCATCATCGTACTTGTCTTCAGTGCTTGAATAAAAACACCGTCGTAAGACACACACACGCCCCACCTACCCCCTATCAGTGTGGCCATTTAATTTGATCTATTTAAAGGAAAGGATTTATTCCTTACACAAAACATTTTCATATTCAAACGATCATAATAATTGCTGACGAGTCGAACGCGGGTATTGGCGAGACGAACGGACACAAACTACTGGACTGCAAAACGTTCGCTATTTATCAATATGAGTGAATATGTAAGACGTAGTACACACACAGCTCACCCGAAACAAAGCCTGTAAGTGTCAGCCTGAATAAGACGCGTACGTGATAATCCACAGGTAAATACACAATGACACGCACAATCTGATCGTACGCATTCAGTGTTTGTTACCTCGTCAGCTTCATGATCGGTCCGTTCGTCTTAGTCACTTTCCGTAAACAGAGGTGAGCTACGGGAGTTGACAGTAATAGACCTGACATTAATTAAACGTTATCAAGAAAAAGTAAATTTACTGAACCTCCTTCATGTAAAGCAATACATAAGCTTGTGAAGTACAAATTATATATACCTGAATATTCTTCAAGTGCGCATGTACTGGTACAGCTTATTGTACTCTTATATACCTCAGCGCTATAAATATAACATGCATATGATTCATGGTCGTCTCAACGTGTAGATACTTATTATATGTAAGTATGACACGAGGTTATTATTATGTTTTCGTTGAACCTTTAAATGATTGTTGCTGACATGCTTCTGTTTTAAACCGCTGAACGTACGTGTCTCTGTATATATTTGATTCGTGAATCGTCTATGTACAACTTACATGCAAACTGCATGGAATGACTTATCTGATGATGATGTGGTCACTGTAATAAGACATGACTCATCGATTGTAAAATCTGATTGAACGATTATTGATTTGTTATCTTAGTTTATTCATTTGTTCATAGTTTATTGTAAAATCTGATTGAACGATTATTGATTTGTTATCTTAGTTTATTCATTTGTTCATAGTTTATTGTAAAATCTGATTGAACGATTATTGATTCTTATTCATTCGCCTCGGTATATAATCCTTCATTGGTAAAGCGCCCGGTAAAAGCAGGTCCCCTTGCATACCACCATCGGTGATTTTTAATATTTTAGAAAAGATACGTGTTTTTGAACGAATGTCAATACAAATACAAAAAAGTACTGATTCAAGTATTTGAAGTAATTTACATTGTTAGCAATTTAAACATCATTTTGATAAATGTTTATTATATTATCCATATTGTACAAGTAATTGAAATAACATACTTACAAACACAATATGATAACAATGTGTATCTAGAAAATGATTCAGCGTACAATAATAGTATTGCAGCGACGTTGAAGGAGTTACAATTACCTAGCTGTATCTGCATATGTTACTACGTGATACCCATGTGACCAAACATGACGACATGGAAAGTAAGACCACTTCGCTGGGTTTATCAATACCGTTGGACATACAGATAAATAAGCCGCTTACTTGCTACCAAAATACCTCTGACATTGACATCATCATTGAAATACTAACCTATACAAATTACGACGCACTTTAAAGCAGTATGTTACTGAGAAGGAACTTGTATATGGAATTATTTCACTGAAAAGTTCAGATCCAGGTTTCAATTCACTGAAATCTCAGTATCACTCTGCTATATGAATATGATGACAGGTAAGGGAGACTTTGACGAGTGTGTTGTACTGTTATTCTTACTTCCGTTCACACGAGGAAGTTTATTGACAAGTATAATCATTGCTCGTCTATCAACATTAACGTTTGTTAATACATAATTACACAAATTTAATGTTGAAACCAAAATGTTTAAATATTCTCCCATTGTCAATATTTCCGAAGTCAAATTTATTTATTTATTTATTTATTTATTTATTTATTTATTCCTGCATTTATTTATGTATCTATTTGCCACCATATAGCTTAGTGAGGCGTAAAACTAAACTCACTCACTCATTTATTCATTCATTCATTCATACGTTCATTTATTTACATGTGTCGTGTTTACTCCTATGTATATATTTATGTAGGTCGTGCGCATGTGTGTGTGTGTATGTGTGTTCATTTTCACATATGTTTCTTTGATTCCATTTCATTTGCTGTCATCTTTGCTTGTATTGTTGACATATACGCATTATACACCTGTTCAAACAAAAAATGAAAAAGGTGGCATTAAGACATCTGACTTACATTTTCGTTGAGAAGCTGTTTTTGTGTGGGGGTGGGGTTTTTGTTTTGTTTTGTTTTTTTTTTTTGTTTTTTGTTTGTTTGTTTGTTGTTGTGTTTGTTTTTTTTTTTTGTTTTGTTTTGTTTTGTGTGGGTTTTTTTTTTTTTTGGGGGCGGGATATTGGAGGTATCAATATCGCTTCAAGGCATGTAATATGGTGTCGTTTAAGTTTTTTAAACACTGGTGGCAAAACCACCGTTAAAGCTTTAAATAGAGACTATCATATGCTTTTATCCTGCAACACTGTGAAATATGCCGTCCGAAATTAGTGATTTATATGAATTGTCGGGCACACGAAAGTACAATTTGAGTATCTGATTTGACAAACTTGTTACTGGACTTGACAGTCGCCTGCAAACATATGATGCCATCACACATCACACATTGTTTGTTTGTATATTTTGTAGACACCATCAAACACAGGTATATTCACTTCTGCTAGGGCTGTCAACCCAGAAACGTACTCCAGTCACTGTGAGGGTATATACTATTTTTTTCATTACATTTATGCGCCTATTAGCTTTAAACTTTAGTTAACATAGTGGAATAACTTTCATGGTGGCAAATTTATCGACAGCTCATGGCACAAAGATAACGTTATGTGATCATTCCCGCCGTATCCTGGATAACAATGTCAGCCTGAGCCTCGTCATTCTACTGACCTTCACACTGACGGATTCTAAACCGGTGAGTTCTTGAATTCTAGAAACACGAACAAATCTTAACGCCTACAACGCTATTTATATAATTCAAATATGAATATACAGGCCCTGTGTCATGTATTCATATTCTTCGGTGACATGGGTGGTCCGGTTGTCGAAGGCGATGCAATTTGGTGTGCAGAGTTGTCTCCCTTAGTTGGGCCAGACACCAGTCTTTAAGTTTCGAAAACCGGATTCGCTCTGATTTTTCAACACCGCTCCTGTGCATGGAGTTTCAGAGGCGTTGTAAGCACCTATAACTTGCATCACGTAAAGCTGTCCAACATGAAGCTGGCAATGTGACACCATGATATAAGTAGAACAATTTTTAGCGGCGTAAAACCTGCTCACTCATTGGGTTATGTCCTTTCGTTTACAGACAGACGCAACAACATATGATCACAATAGAGTCACGTGTTTCAAGTGTCCACGTGGAACCCACGTGTCCAGACACTGTACCGAGTCCTTCACTCATTCTAACTGCACACCATGTGAACAAGGCACCTTCCAGTCCCAGACCGTCACACAACTGGAGAAATGTGGGCAGTGCGACAACGTCTGCCAAGACCACAACGCCATCGTTGTCGACAACTGCTCACCTACACACAACCTCCGTTGCCGGTGTCGTGATCGCTACTACAACGTGCACCATGGTCAAGGTGTCATGGCCTGTGTCCGGCATACAGCTTGTCTGCCCGGACAGGTGATTGTAGAAAGAGGTAAGCGTGTCTTGACGTTTTTAATGGGAGTTAAGGGTAGTAGTGTCATACGTCAGGGACCGTTAGTCTTGGGTTCGAGTCGCAGTGCCAGAAGTATGATTTTACCCTGCTTTCAGGATTTTATTGCTGCAGGAACAAGTACATGGGTTTCGTGTAGAACCAGGGTCTTCGGTGTGACGAGCAAATGGTTTTAATCACTAAGCAACACCTTTAAAGAAATGATCCTTGGTCAACATAGATTTCCTGCCGTAGGACGTACGATTGAGGGTTCGAATCCCGGCTCCCGCCGATTATGTGTCAAGGTTTCTCAGCACCATAACACCTGCCTGAGTTTGGTTTTACGCCGCTTTTAGCAATATTCCAGCAACATCACGTCGGGGGACACCAGAAATGGGCTTCACACATTGTACCCATGTGGGGATTCGAACCCGGGTCTTTGGCGTGACGAGCCAACGCTTTAACCACTAGGCTACCCCACCGCCCCAGCAGCACCATAACAGCGCACTTGTGTATCACCAGACTGGGAAGTGTCCAAGTCCTACACAACCTTAGTCTCTCCCCACGCATAGCACTGACGCTTTTAACTGAAATACTGTGTCAGAGCAGGTTCAACGTTAATGCTCTGAATTCGGTGCGATAGACTAGCCTCGTGGTGTAAGCGGTCGCTGATCTCGACGAAGACCCGGGTTCGATTCCTAACCTGGGTGCAATGTGTATATTGCTGGGATATTACAAAAGCGGCGTAAAATCCAACTTTCTCACTCATCCGAGTATTAGATTCATGCGGACATCAGAATTATTTTCGATGAATTGATAAAACAAATATATTCCAGTCGGAACGAAAGCAGAAACGGAAATGCCATGTACAGACTGTCGTAGAAATTCATGAACAGATACGAACATAGTATCATTCCACAAAGCCAATCATTACTGTTCGGATATATCCCTGAATGAGGCGGTGATTCCCCCGTTTGTTTATAGAATGGTTTGACATTACAATATCCCTGTGATCGACAGGTGACTCTCAGCAAGATGCGAAGTGTGACTGGTGTCCGACTGGTCAATACTACAAGGCAGACGCTGACCGGTGTAATGTGTGCTCCGTCTGTGGTTACAACGAAGCTGTGATACACCAATGTACCAAGACTAACAATACTGTGTGTGGAGAACAAGATGTAGGAGGTGAGCTTGTGCTGTGCCTTTATATAGGTAAAGTTTTATTTATTGGTGGTATAATGCCGCACTCTGTGAATAATCGAGACTGGGCCAGACAACCCAGTGATCTATACATAGATAAAGACTATTATTAGGTGAAATGAACATGAACGAAAACCACCTTGTTGTCACTATTGTAGCAACGTACACACGTTCAACCATTGGCACTTCCTTACACCCAGTTGGGTTTGTTGTATCAGAAGTACGTGAACTCCCCAGTTGAGGCTTGAGGTGAGCCTGCCTGGTATCTGGATGTCGAATGCAGAATGTGTGTTAGCCTCTTAGCGGAGTAAACATGCAGTTAGAGAAGTCCCCATGTTTTGCCTATTTTTTGCAATATTCCAACTATATAACGTCGGTTTGCAAATAATGCTTCCAAGACCAGACAAACCGATGGTTGACGCCAAAGCATCGACCTGCGGACACGGGCGAGCCTCCCGTCGCCTCTTAAGGCAAGCACGTGTTGCTAAAGACGATTTCTAACCGGGATTTGCGCGATGTAGACAAGCAACGCAACTTGATATCTAAAGAACCGATGTGGATTTACTTGTCAGTGGCGGAGGCAGTGTTTGCAATACTTTTATTTGCCAGTTGGCCATCAGGGCCTGCTGCCGCATGCAGGCTTTAAAATCTACAGGCCCTGAATGAAATCTGCAGGCCCATTTTGTTAAAGTCAAACCAATAAAAACTAAATAGACAACACTGTACACAGTTTTACACTGTTTATTTCTGTCATTATATGGAATGACATCAAATTCCTGTTAAAAAAAATAAAATGACAGATAGTTTACTGAAGGCCACAAATATTTGAAACTGCTGGCCCGATACAATAACAACCAGCGCTGGGCCTCCGGGCCGGCGATTATTTCGAACGCTGGGCGGAGGGCACGGTGCATGGGATATGTCAAGACACCTGGTCTCACGACAGGATACCTAACTGTTAAATGTTAGTTTGCCTGCACCAGACTCAATCTCCCCTTACGTAACCGTGACTTATGTGTAAAAAAAAATATCTCTTCTAACAGGTACATGGTTGTATATTTCAGTAACTCCAACAGCTACGTCCACAGGGCTGTCGAATACCGTGGTCGGTGTGACGACAGCGGTGGCGGTAGTGGTTGTTGCTGTTGCTGCATTGGCTACTGCATTGTGTTGGTACTTGCACAAGGCAAGGACAAGGGAGAGGTAAGTAGGGAGGCAATTCATCATCCTTTTTTGGGTAGGAAAGTATCTATGAATTGACGTGGACGACTGTACCAAGATAAGTACGAGAGAGACACAGAGAGTGACTGAATGCAAATCAAGGCAATAACGATGTGAGTTTTGATTACATAGTGTCATTTAGAAAGTGGTCAAATGTAACATATGTTATATTTGGGATTACACTTTCTTAGTAAAGTACAGATCCTAGTACCTCTGTTGGGTTGAGTCCCATCCGGGATTAGGTGCCTGACTCTGAGGGTGTGGGTTCGAATCCCGGATTGGACTCAACCTATGAAAGGTACTAGAATCTGTACTTTACTAAGAAAGTGTAAACCCAAATATAACATATGTTAGGTTTGAGTTTTGCGGAAACAAGTTTTACACCATATCACCACCAAGATGACACACTGTATCAATGTGCAGAATCCAACCTGCTGGTCCTCTGAGTAACGAAAGAACACTTTACCGATAGGCTTTCATTATGCTATTCAGAACGACCTATAAATGATGTATTGCCTAGATTGGTGTGTGTATAAGACCGTTATCGTCACAACGTCGAACTGGGACTGTATTCCCAGGAGCCCATCAATCTGTATACATTAGTATTTAATAGTCGTCCGTCCCCATATTAATCATATCATCATCTTTTAAGCAGGAACCAGTCACATGAAAGGATAGATCTTCTGGACGTTCCCCAGGACATCCATGCTGGTATGTTGCTTCAGAGTGAATGAGTGAGTGAGTGAGTGAGTGAGGGAGTGAGTGGGTGAGGGAGGGAGGGAGGGAGCGAGTGAGTCTCATCTTACGCCCAGCTCAAATGGACCACTAGTGATAGATACAACTATTTAGATGAAATAAACAGCAAGTAGCTGAGACCACAAAGAAACAGCCCATTATATCTGTCAGCTGATTATAAGCATGTTTGTCATATCATTCAGTTCCTTATTACCGTGTTAGATATAAATGTAGCCACTTCTTTAGTATAAACAAAAGTTAAAGAAGTATAACTTCGTGCTTTTATTTTCTAGAAATATGGGCGAAGGATGTATTTTTTTACCTGAAAAATAGACTTAGCAAGTGGGAGGACTTCCTTCGCTGCCTGCCACACGGAAATAGAGGTACGTTGGTAAATCTCTGCCATTTGTGACTGTTACTACCATTCTATTCATTACTGAAATAGTAGAGATCACTGCAATTATGCAATTATACTTTTTTTAAATATGTCATATCCCCTCTTTATTGCCATCTTATGTGTTTTTGGTTTATCCACCAAAGATGGAAATAGTGCGATTTCTAGCTGTGAAATAGTGGTAGTACTTGAAACCGCTGTTGTGTTTACACTGCATAATTTGGTTCTCAAACTTGCGGGAGAACTTAGGGTCGTTATGTATTAACGAGGAAGAGGAAATCGGTGCTGTGCTGTGTTTCTGAAATAATTCTGTGACAGTTCCTCCAGTATTTTGCTGATACATTACCATGCATGTTTTGTTTAAAATGGTTATTTCCCCTTTAGATTTCGAAGCTGACTTGGAAATCGATAGAAATACAGAGAAAAAAACTGATATGAAGATTTATGATATTCTACTGACATGGTACACTGCATGCTTCGACCACGTTACCATCGGCAACATCGTGCAGGCGCTGGTTAAATCAAACAACACAAATCTCATTGCTGGTGTAATAAAAGAGTACAAACTACTTATCAGTCGTCAACGCATTCAGGAATCAGTTAAAGAAGATGGCGCTAGTTCGGCAGACGAGAACGAGGCTGCCCTCGTGGAAGGTGTTGAAACACCGTTGATGCCAACAGCGGACAGACAGGTTGAAGGGGGTAATTATCCGACAACAGATTTTGAGGATATCGCATTGACCAAGAAGAAAAAGCATCTGACAAACGTGAAGGAAATAGATTTAGCAGCTGAAGATCAGGAACTAACACAAGTGTTGTGTGATCTCGATGAAAGACAACAGACTCGTGTAAAAGAAGTTTAGAGTGTCCCTGGACACCCGGTGTCTTGTTTTAAGTGTGATATATCGCCCTCAATACTTCACGGGTGTGTGTACACTGTGTTCACCCATGGCAACGTTGCTGTTGAAACTGAAACAAACGAGAGCCCTGGCTAATGACCACGTTATTTTGCTCAGACATTCTACACACATATATTAATATTAGTAGATATTTAAAGTTTTCGTCTTCCACAGATGTGTTCATGTCATTGACTGTTGAGACTGGACAGGGAACACCTCTGACCGAACTCTGACACCTCGACCGTGTTGCCAAAGACGCTGTTCGATCTTGGTTCAAGCATAATCAGGACGGTGGGGTAGCCTAGTGGCTAAAGCGTTCGCTCGTCAGGACGAAGGCCCGGGTTCAATTCCCCACATGAGTACAATGTGTGAAGCCCATTTCTGGTGTCCCCCGCCGTGATGTTGATGGAATATTGCTAAAAGCGGCGTAAAACCACATCCACTCACTCACTCACTCAAGCATAATCCATTCGTTGATCTTGAACTACCCTTGCTTATGTCGATACAGTTTGTCAGCCGAGGTTTATCTGGTCCCTGGTATCCTGGTATACAGTGACCTGTCCCGATGAAACATGATACCATATTTATACCGCGCTTGTAACTTTCTCACAGCATTTTAGGTCAATGAAATCTCATTATCACTAACTTCTTCTAAGACGATGTGACCATGCCCCAGGTAGAATCCGTACGCACTATAGTCTCGAACTCCGATACCTCGATGTATTTTCTATTGAGATTCGAGTTAAAGATGAAAATGTTCCTGTCTTGTTCACATATGACATTTTTTACTAAAGTACTGTCGGAAATAGAAAAAAACCCTGTTTTTAGCGTGTTACTCTGTGTCCCTATAATTTACACAACTGCAAATAGCATATGTCGAAATAGCCCACATCGGCCTAACTGGGCGTTCAGTGGGATGCGTAATAGGATATCCAGAAAAGCATGTTTACTCGTAAAATCGGGCAAAACTTAGAAAAAATACGAATAGCTGCTGAAAACAATAGATCAGACTATAGATGGCAATTAGGTCGCTCAGCCAGGTATGACGAGGGACCGTTGGGTCACCTGGCATGAAATGCATGTGCTGCCCACAGGCACAGGGGGTCATCTCAAAGATATTTTAGGCTTTTCATGTGTATTGAATATGTCTCTATTGATTAACATCTGACGTGTTTTCTTTTATAAGGTTTATGTTGAGATATGTAAAAGAGTATGATACCCATAGAAAAGCTTAAATCAGCCATCGTATTAAATGTCTCAAATATATAGGTGGCAAGACCATCCGAAGATCGACAGGACTGGATATTATTTGTAAATGGTTGTGGCATGTTGTTTACTTAACCAGTTTAATTCACCCTAAGGAATATCTTATCTTAGCTGATATCTCTATCCTCAAGTCCGACCCAGCCACCGTCTGCGATCCCCATCCTGGTTTTGCTTTTGAGACGACCCCTCTTACCTGTTTCTTTTTATAGTGATAGTGAGACTCCATGCCAGCTACATCCTTAATAGTTTCAGTATTAAAGTTATTATTTTTTACGTCAGCTACCGTTTATAATGAAGCTAAGTCTAATTTCAAAATGGGCATTTAAAAAGTGTCCTTTGGATAACAATATCATCGCACGCTAATTTGCATAAAGCCATGGTCTGTTCTAAATAAGTCGCTAAGGACTTTGAAAAAACCGCATTGCTCTTTTCTGCACTAATCTCTCCTCAGTAAAGTCTATTTTTCACGTTTCCTGTCTCTCTACCACTGAGACTGTAGTTAGGCCGAACTTAGTTTAACAGATATTTCACACTTTCACATACTAACTACCAAAATTGTAGATATAAAAGTGAAATTATTTTTTGTTTTCTATTTCCGACAGTACTTTAGTATACTACTTTTTGGTTAATGAAATCTTATTTAAACATGGCAATATATCTATATTGTACACCATTAGTCATGAACTAACAGGGTATTTGTAAACATTTTAAAGGAATACCTTTTTGGTCCAGTGGTCTTCATACCACAGTCACATAACGTTATGTCGAAGATTGATGAGTCGAATGTATGGTTGTCACGGAGTAAATGCTAGCTAACTGCGTATTTCTTTTTAGCCATCATTTTCCGGATGTGTCCACCCTCGGATAACTCGAAGTACGTAGTCCCTTCGTCTTCAACAGAACGGTGTTTAACTACGGCTGTATCCCCATGTGTTCATTACATTTTTAGTTTATGGAGTTGTTTTAACAATGCTATCAACCCGAGCTTTTGTGGTTTTCCATGTTTTTACCATAAATAACATGCGATGTATATTCACAAATCTTGTATATGACAGGTAGCCGTTGTACAAAGTGATCTTAGCACCAAGGTGACCGTAACTCCCATACCTTAACATAGACTTAAGGTAGTCTTAGCGCTAAGGTGACCGTAACTCCCATACCTTAACATAGACCCCCCATGCCTTAATATAGAAGGTTGTTGTGTACAACGGCACCCTGATTAATTTGTAAGTGTGAAAATGAATTACTGTATACATTTTGGAGGCATTTATATAATCAAATCAACTGATTTGTACATCTGATCTGAAACTTCTTGTCCACTACGCACTGTTCTCTGGGTGTTTTTGTGACCTGGTAACTATTCATAAACAGCTCGAACTCCGTTTCTAAGCCTTATACAATAAGCATGTACATCTGGTTATCTCTACCTCGAAATCTGTTTTCTCGACGTTCTCCATACGTTCCTACCTTCCTCCATAGCACTGAGATATGAAAAGAATGATTGCAAATACCTCCTTTGATCGGCAATAAAAAATGAACATAAACGTTATCTCTCTACATGTTTGTCTATTATATCTCGGGTTCCTATTCTGTCTCGTCAGATGACGGGCCGGTGGGGTAGCTCAGTGGTTAAAGCCTCCGCTCGTCGGGACCCGGATTCGGATTCCCATATGGGTACATGTACGTGTGAAGCCCATTTCAGGTGTCCCCCCGCCATGATATTGCTGGAATATTGCTAAAAGCGGCGTAAAACTATACTCACTCACTCTTATAATCTCGGGTTCCTATTCCGTCTCGTCATGATGATGGGGACGGTGTCGTAGCCTAGTGGTAAATGCGTTTGCTCGTCACGCCGAAGACCCGGGTTCGATTCCCCACATGGGTACAATGTGTGAAACACATTTCTCACTCACTCACGTCATGATGATAGTTCAAGGTTGGTCAAATCATACCCAATGTCTACAACATGCAACACTTGGGTCCTTCCTCCAAAATAAGCCTGACCCACCTTGATGTAACTCAAATACTGTAACGGATGCGTCTCAGAAATTCATCACTTTGATAACCCACGGAGACCTGTGCCCCCGATTTCTGGACAGGTGAATTGTGTAGAAGACCAATTAAAGATCATTTAGCAAATACAGAAACATCCTACAGAGTTGCTGTATTGATGACACAGGCTTTGCTTTCTTTACTCTTAACTTGGAAGAGTACCCGACATGCAAACATTGTTTGCTGGCTCTTCTTGGAACCTGTTCAGCTTCAGCGAAACCGACGGTATATGCACCTTGAGTTTAGACCCGTGAAGATCCGGTTTAGAATTGGTCTTCAGTAACCCATGTTTGTCATAAGAGGCAACTAACGGGATCGGGTGGTCAGGCTCGCTGACTTGGTTGACACGTCATCATATCCCAATTGCGTAGATCGATGCTCATGCTGTTGATCCGTGGATTGTCTGGTCCACACTCGATTATTTACAGACCGGCGCCATAGCTGGACTGTGGCTGAGTGCGCGTAAAACAAAACTCACTCACTTCATCACCTTGAGTTTAGATGAATAAAGACCGATCAAGCAGGTTTAAATCAGGTTTAACTTTCAATCAAAGGGGGGACGCAGTTATACATGGCAGGAATCAATATTCATGATGGAAACTGGCATGCTACACTGATTTGGTACCAAATGGAACGGACACCCCCCACGTCCTCGGCAGTCAAAATGGCGGTTATTTTATTTTGAGACAAAATTCTTTGTTGTATCTAATGTTTTCGTTAAGTTCCGATGAGAGTGAGTGAGTTTAGTTTTACGCCGCACTCAGCAATATTCCAGCTATATGGCGGCGGTCTGTAAATAATCGAATCTGGACACGACAATCCAGTGACCAACAGCATGAGCATCGATCTACGCAATTGGGATACGATGACATGTGTCAACCAAGCCAGCGAGCCTGACCATCCGATCCAGTTAGTCGCCTCGTAGAAGCATGGGTTACTGAAGATTCATTCTAACCCGGACCTTCACGGGTTGTTCCGATATGAGGTGAGGTGAGGTGAAATTGGGTTTAACGTCGTGCTTGAGAATATTTCGCTCATATGACGACGTGCATGCGTGTGTATGTGTATGTGCGGCTGCTTGTACTAGCCCAGACTTAAGCTGGTTTTATAGTGCTAGCCCACTGAGATACCATGCCGCAGTGAAGCATGAATACCCCACTCAGACACATTATACTGACACCGAGCCGACCAGTCCTTGTTGTACCCATTAATGCCGAGCGCCAGGCAGGGACCAACAAGTACCATATTTTAACGTCTTTTGGTATGACGCGGTCGGGGATCGAACCCGCGACCTTCCGCTCTCCGGGCTGTTCCGATATGAACTGTATACGAGTTATATCATGGTAATTTCCCTCAACCTAGCCGACTAGAGATTGCTGGTTGGAATTGGTCTTCAGCAACCACTGAACATATGCTCTCCGTTAGGGGCGCCTATAGGTTTTTTTTTGTTGTTTAACGTCGCACATAGCAATATTCCAGCTATCTGTATGGCAGCTGTCTGTAAATAATCACGTCTGGTCTAGACAATCCAATGACTGAGATCACTGGATTGTCCAGATGTCTTACAGGTCAGCACGTACCTGGAAAATTGTTAAGGGTGTTAAATAACAGCCTTAGCATATGAAAGCCTGCATATCCAGTTGATAAAAGATCATTAAAGATACCACAATCTGGGTGAAGCAGGAACCAGAGACCACCAGAAAATCATGTCATGGCTGAGGGATGTAACTTTGCATACTGAGCGAGTGAATTTAGTTTTAGGCTGCACTCAGCAATATTCCAGGAATATTGCCGGGGCCTGTAAATAATCGACTGACTGACTGAGTTTGGATTTATGCCGCTTTTAGCAATATTCCATCACGGCAGGGGACACCAGAAATGGGCTTCACACATTGTACCCATGTGGGGATTCAAACCCAGGTCTTCGGCGTGACGAGCCAACGCTTCAACCACTAGGCTACCCCACCGCCCCTGTAAATAATCGAATCTGGACCAGACAATCCAGATATCAACAGCATGAGTATCGATCTACGCAATTGGGAAACAATGACATGTGTGCACCCAGTCAGCGAGCCTGACCACCCGATCCCGTTAGTTGCCTCTTACGACAAGCATGGGTTACTGAAGACCAATTCTAACCCGGATCTTCATGGGTACTTTGCATACTGAATCCAGAGGCCAAAGACAAGTAGGGCATCTTGACAGGATGTTGAGTAACTGGGTATGATGTTGACACAAATCCTGTATTCAAGATGTTGACATGTCTCCAGCAAAATCGTCAACCATATTATTATGTTTGAAAACGAATACTTCCGATCTGTCTTTTTGCACTGAAACAATCAGTAGAAACAATACCTCACTTAGCATCTCATGGTAAACAAACACAAAAATTTACACATGATACTTTGCAAAGTAAGTTTTATTCATGCTATTATCATTCAGAATGACAAAATATACATATTCATGAAAAGTGATCTTTAAGCATGAAAATTTTACGCATTTTTTTAAATGACAAATATGATTACTTATTTGATAAAATGTACAATGAAAATGTGTTTTTACATGACCTCTGTGAGAATGACAAATGAAAACATATCAAGGCTGCCTTTAGCAAACTGTCCTTTCCGGCAGGAAAACATCACTCCTTTCCAGTGAAGGAGAAGGCGGGTACATCCATACATACAGTGTTGCACAGCCAAGTGAGGAATCTGAACAGCAGTCAGCATGGCACATCCAACTGTACAATACTGTGAGGTGCAGACCATGTCGTATGTCCATGGCGTGAGATCACAATGATGGTGCTGAGAGCACCCATACCAACACTCCAGTAACTGCAATTGCATTCAGATACAGTCTGGCATCAGTTACTCAATGAATGAATTACCATGCACTGATCTGGTTCAGCACAGTATCACAAAGCTTGTGACTTTAATTTCTTTTTGGGGAAACACACATCCAGATGAACATTCTTGAAAAAAATGTAATTCGTTCCATGGTAGGTTATCTACCTCTGCCTCCCCTGAACCCTCCGTCCCTTCCCCTGAAACCCCCTCCCCCACCTCTACCTTGTGGACTCCCCCTGAACCCGCCTCTTTGTTGGTCCATCCCGCGGTTGTACATCCCACCACTCCCTCCTCCTCCACCTCCACCTTGCATTCCCTGATCCTGCCAATTTGATTCATTTCCTGTCCGGCCAAACTTTGATGCCCTGTCACCTTGGTTCCCACCATACCCCCCCTGTCCCATTCCCTGTCCCCCACCCCGACCAGACATACCCCCAGGACCCTCATCATAGCCCCTCTTCCTCCCTTGGGACATCGGACTATCCTGATCCTGTCTGTCATAAAACCCTTGCCCTCCCCTATCCTGCATTCCCCTATCTTGTCCACTTCTGTCCCCACCCCCACCCCCTCTCCCTCCTTGTTGATTGTCATACATGCCTCCACCCATACGCCCCCCTCCCCTTCCACCCTGCCTCCCTCCTTGGTGCCTCTCATCTACATCACCTCCACCCCTTCGTCCATACCTATCATCAACATCCACGTTCTGCTGCCTCCCTTGAAACTGTCCCCTTCCCTCTTCCGACCTCTGCTGCCGCAAGTCCATATCTCCCTCCCAACTTCCACCACCACCACCACCACCACCCCCAGCACCAGACCAAACCCCAGCCCCACCCCCCACCAGGCCCACCCCCACCAGCACCACTTCCACCCCCACCACTAGCAAACCGACGCTGATCACCACCAAATCCTTCTCTCCTGTCCTGGCCGAACTGCTGCTGCTGGTTGCTTCGCTGACGAAAGTCTTCATCAGCCCCGCCCCTCTGTCCTTGGCCACGCCCACCTGACCATTGACCTCTCAAATCCATGTCTCCATTCCCGTTGTTTTGCTGGCTCCCATACTGTTGTCCTGGACCACCTCTCTGTTGCTGCGAGTCAGGCCGTTGCCGCTGCTGCTGCTGCTGCTGTTGTTGCTGCTGCTGCTGCTGCTGTTGCTGTGGCATTCTAATTCCCTGCTGCATATTTTGACCTCCTGCATACAGATTGAAGGGAGTTAGTAGGGTTTGTAACAGCACTGAATGATATTTGCAGGTATGTCATAACATGTTTTTCATAAAGTCAAAGTGACACAGGTCATAGATATATTTCACAGAAGGTTTGAAACCAGAGAACACACAAATAGTGCTCACAGACAAATAATCATAAACCTTATACAAATCTCCTTTTTAAGTTAATGCAGACTTAAAAGATCCTGGCACAGTTAAGGGAAGCAAATGATTATGTAGCTGGGAAACTGACTGTATAATCTAGAGAAGCCCACATTGCCAAACATAGATTTTTGATGGACTGATGTGTCTGTGCATGGTTCAAACAAAATTAGCTAAAGAAATTTGGTTGGTGAAAAAAATGGCAACTGCACAAGGATTTGGGTCAACAGCAGGATTTACAAAGCATGAGTACCATGAAGCGGGAGTCAACAGATGTTTACCTAATCTTTTAATATGTGTGATCAAGTGGTGTTCAAGAGGCGTACTTCACAAGGTAAGTGAAGTTTAGTTTTACGCCGCACTCAGCAGTATTCCAGCTATATGGCAGCAGTCTGCAAATAATCGAGTCTGGACCAGACAATCCAGTGATCAACAGCATGAGCATCGATCTGCGCAACTGGGAGCCGATGACATGTGTCAACCAAGTCCGGGAGCCTGACCATCGCCGTTAGTCGCCTCTTACGACAAGCATGGGTTACTGAAGATCAATATTCTAACACGGACCTTCACGGGTATCACAAGGTAAGACAATATGGATCTTGCTTATCGATAAATGGGCGGGTAGGCAGGAGAGCGAGCAAGTGATTGAGTGAGTGATGTTTTACACCACTTTTAGCAATACTGCATCCATATCACAGGACACCAGAAATGGGTTTTTTTCTAATATTGTACCAATGTACATATGTAAGAACAGGGAGGCTGGGTGTTGACTGAAAAATAAATGTGGACAAATATAGACGCCACAACTCACCAAACTGCTGTTGCATTCCTCCCATCTGTTGTTGCCCCATGAACTGACCTGGACATGGCAGAAAGCGGTAATTACACTTTTTTCAACATTAATGTAAGCAATATTGCATGAAGTTTTGAATTTTATAAATTAGAAACATTACTCCAGATATACAATGCACACAGTTTACAACAAGAGGATGTAAGAACAGCATTTGTTGACAGGCTATTTCTGGTGCTACATGTTTATGCAATGTCTCAAAAAATAATCCAACGTTTGCATATAACAATAAAGATAAATTCTGTATGTGGTTTTGTGTGTCTATTACAAAAATAAATAAATGTTGTCAAACAATCATGACAAAGATAGGTAAAAAAATATTTTCAAATATGCAGTGGTACTTGCTTAACCATAATTGAACAAACCTCCTTGACCTTGCATCATGCCTGGAGGGCCTTGCATTCCCATCATGCCTTGCATTTGATGGAATCCTGGTCCCTGTCTAAACTGACCTTGACCTTGCATTTGATTCTGCACGAAACCTTGAGATGCACCTTGAAACTGATTGGGTTGCATTTGTTGATTTGGGCCACCTTGATAATTCTGAGGTTGTCCCATGGCGTTCTGCTGCTGCATTTGGTTATGATGACCTTGCAACATTTGACCTTGAGGTCCTTTTTGCATTTGACCTTGAAACTGGTGAGACCTCTGGCCTTGATCTTGACCTTGATCATGATCCCTCCCACCTTGATCACGCCCATGCCTATTTGAACCACGATCCGGACTCCTGTTTCGACCATGCCTTTCTTTTCTGTCCCTTCTCCTTGGGTCATTCCGTGAACTGGGCTTTTCAGGTTGACCCTCTTGCTCTTCAGGGACTAGAACCCCCGACTGTTTATTGCCTTTCCATGCATTCTCAAAAGACTTGGGAATTGGTCTGGCATATGGCACTTTTTTCTTTGGCGCACTGTCACGTTCATACTGCCTCAGGAAAGGCTCATCTGCTGACCAGTCCAGACCAGGTATAGACGGCAGTTCCTCCTCCACATCTGAATCATATGTGGACAATATGAAATATCCCACTCGTCCCAAGTCTGTCATGTACCAAGTCCTTCACACATCAAGTCATTATATACCAAGGCCCATACGCACAAAATATATCGAAAACCAGGTCCCTTACCCAGAAAATCTATTGAACACCAGGTCCTTTACCCACAAAGTCTAACCTACACCAGGACCTTGATCCACCATGTCTAACCTGTACCAGGTCCATTACCCAGCAGGTCCTGGCCAACCAAGTACATCATACACCAAGTCTTTCACCATCTACCCTTATCCATCAAGAAGCGGGAGATAACTCAAAAATGTCAAAGCATGTTTTCACCTCATAAAACTAAATATGCTGAAAAAATATTAACATCCTTTATATCTTACCACCATTCAACATTGGTCATAGTTTCCAATTTTACCTGAATCAGAAAATTTATATTTTCCTACAGTTGCACAACAGGATATTATCCGAAGAAAAGCAACATCATCCTTACTTTCTTTTGGTCTGAGATGTGGTGGAAGACCATGCTCAAGACCCATTCCTGGCAAACTGGGCATCAACTGGGGCTCCAGATCTGGAAGACAGAGAAAAACATATTACACTATATACTGACGATAGTCCCCATAGTCTCAGCTGCATCTTAAGTTACCTGATATAAACTTTATGTTATATTCCAACAAAATTACACTGGAAGAGAAAGAGAGAGAGTATGGTTTTAGGCTGCTTTTAACAATATTCCAGCAATATCACAGCGAGGAACACCAGAAATGGGCTTCACACATTGTACCCATGTGGGGAATACAGTTGAAGAAATGTGGAACGGCATCTCCAAAATATTCAACACATTCAAAGGTTGTTTGCACTGATTGCTTCCAGTATTATATATGTGTTATTGTAGATGCAAAGCTGTACAGTATCAACAAATAATATCAAGTTCAGCCTTAAACATGCCTGACACCTTTAATTCAACAAAGGAGCCTATGGATTTGCCCCTTTAAGTTAAGTTAAAAATCTCAACTTACTTTAACCTTGAAGCATAAAAGATATGAAACACTTTTAAAAAAAAAGACCAGGATTCCATATCAAAACATGTAGTAATGCTCAGTTACCATTGGGTTATATATTCACGTAGGTACTGTGTCTGGTGAAAAACAACAACTCATTAACTGTTTCAATTTTGGATTTGTGGTTTTGAAATTAATTGGCCCAGTTCTCAGAGTGTTGAGTTCATTTCTCTTGTTAATTGAACTTGTTAAGAGTTATGGTACCCAACAGCAAAGTCTGTTATCATTAACCAGGTATCATAATACTCAAAGTTTTATACCCAAAGTTTTTACTCAAAATAGCAAAAAGAAACCTACTGTTGATATTTGTAGCTGGATTAATTCAATTAGAAGGTTTCAGATTCTCACCATATTCAAGAAGCTCCTGCTCTGTGCCACTTGGTAAGTTGTTCAGGTTGTACTTGTCTCTCATCGTGTCACCAGGACGATTTCGAGTCCAGAATTTCCTGTACAAAATGCAGTAAATTTAACAAAAAGTGTGTGTGGAAAATACAAGTCGACAAAACAGAGGTGAGGTGAAATTGGGTTTTACATCGTGCTTGAGAATATTTCGCTCATATGACGACGTGCATGCATGGGTATGTGTACCTGCTTGTACTAGCCTGACTTAAGCTGGTTTTATAGTGCTAGCCCACTGAGATACCATGCCGCAGTGAAGCATGAACACCCCACTCAGACACATTATACTTACTCCGAGCCGACCAGTCCTTGTTGTACCCATTAAAGCTGAGTGCCAGGCAGGGCCAACAAGTACCATATTTTAACGTAATTGGTATGACGCAGTCAGGGATCGAACCCGCGACCTTCCGCTCTCCGGGCAGACGCTTTAACCACTACACCACGGAGGCAGTCCAACAAAACAGAGTGATTGCTTGATGCCACAATCAACAATATTTCAGTGATATGAGGGCAACTTACAAAATAGAAACAAAACACCGAAAATCAAAAATCACAAAATTAACTTTAAACAGTTCAGATAAGCACCATAACCTTGTGCTCATTAGTAATTAGTAGATGCAATCAGAACACTTGAAATGAAGTCAGTCACCGATACAGGCATGTTTGAATGCACCTGAGTCAACTAAATGATACACTGATACTTAATATGGGTGGTCAGCCATTGCTACGGTGTCCGAAACAAAATCTCAGTAGGTGAAATACTGAAGAGTATGGTAACTGATTTTGAGGCTAGTCGCTCCTGCACAACTGCCATTGCCGCTGAAAGAATCTGTACTCAATAAAGAGATCATAGCACCCGGCAGTTGCTTAGTTGTCGAGTTATGATCACCTTAGTGATACTATGACTTTGTATAAGGGACCTTTCATAATTTATCGAAAGGGGTGGGGGGGTTTATGATGATGATTTTTGGGGAGAAGCATGTACAATATGAATGCCCCCTAAATTTATGTACAAAAATAAGTCTCTCTCCATATCATGTAAAAATCAATGACCTTACCCTCCCTTCCCATAATTTCTAAGCATAATCTTAAAAGCATAATACAAAAACATATTTGTGTACAAAATTGCTGACCCCCAGCTCCCGAAGCTCAAAATTGGTGACCCCCCCTTACAATATTCATCACCCCCACTAGCCATACATTATGAATGGTCCCTAATGGGGTTCTGGGTCTACCCATTAGAATAATCCTAGGAGTGCACTGATGGTTGAATATAGACCATCTCAATAACACTCTAAGAAGTTGAACATGGACCTATTACCTCATTGTGTCCATAATGTTATCGTGGGTATTGGACTTACGTGCTGTGGTCATTAGATCCTGATGCCAGGATGTGTCCGAGTGGATGCCAAGCCAAGCTCCACACCATCCCTTCATGAGCTTCCTCCATACTACCTACTTCCCTGTCACATCTGCAACATAGGTACCATCTGTCATTGCTGACCTACATTCAACATCAGCCTTGGCTGACCTACATTCAACATCAGCCTTGGCTGACCTACATTCAACATGAGCCTTGGCTGACCTACATTCAACATCAGCCTTGGCTGATCTACATTCAACATCAGCCTTGGCTGATCTACATTCAACATCAGCCTTGGCTGATCTACATTCAACATCAGCCTTGGCTAGCCTAAATCGACATTGGCCTTGGCTGATCTATATTCAACATCAGCCTTGGCTGATCTACATTCAACATTGGCCTTGGCTGATCTACATTCAACATCAGCCTTGGCTGATCTACATTCAACATCAGCCATTGGCAACCCGCATTCAACCTCAGCCTTGGCTGATCTACATTCAACATCAGAAAATGACCAGTCATTCAACATCAGCCTTGGCTAGACCTAAATTCAACATCAGCTTCCCTCGCCGGTTCTCAAAATATTTTTAATATCAAAATAAAATATCGCCATCATCAAAGGTAGAAACCCATTTTCACCCATTTTTGGCTCAGGGATGCATTGCCACAATTGTTTCGCCGGCTCACATATCGCGAAGACTGGTCATTTTCTCTTTGTTGCGCAACCCTATTTGCGCTACAATTTGCCTGTGATTCAACACTGGTCATTGCTGACCTACATTCAACACTGGTCATTGCCAACCCACATTCAACACAGCTCACTGCTGACCCACATTCAACACTGGTCATTGCCAACCCACATTCAACATTGCTCATTACCAACCCACATTCAACACTGGTCATTGCTGACCTACATTCAACACTGGTCATTGCCAACCCACAATCAACACTGGTCATTGCCAACCCACAATCAACACTGGTCATTGCCAACCCACGTTCAACACTGCTCACTGCTGACCCACATTCAACACTGGTCATTGCCAACCCACATTCAACACAGGTCATTGCTGACCTACATTCAACATTGCTCATTGCTGACCTACATTCAACATTGCTCATTGCTGACCCACATTCAACATTGCTCATTGCTGACCTACATTCAACACTGGTCATTCCTGACCTACATTCAACATTGCTCATTGCTGACCTACATTCAACACTGGTCATTCCTGACCTACATTCAACACTGGTCATTACTGACCTACATTCAACACTGGTCATTGCCAACCCACAATCAACACTGGTCATTGCCAACCCACATTCAACACAGCTCACTGCTGACTCACATTCAACACTGGTCATTGCCAACCAACATTCAACACTGGTCATTGCCAACCTACATTCAACAGTGCTCATTGCTGACCCAGATTCAACACTGGTCATTGCTGACCTACATTCAACATTGCTCATTGCTGACCTACATTCAACACTGGTCATTGCTGACCTACATTCAACACTGGTCATTGCCAACCCACATTCAACACTGCTCACTGCTGACCCACATTCAACACTGGTCATTCCTGACCTACATTTAACATTAAGCAATACCATCCAAGAAAAGGGCTTCACACACATTACCAGATGTGGAGAATCCTGACCAGCTTTTCAGCAGGATGAGCGAACATGAACCACAAGACGCCTCCACTTTGACACCTTGGTTTGAGTCATCCAGGAAATACCCTTTGCCCCACCATGTACATCTTTCTGTTCTATTACTGTACAAACTTACCCAACCATCCAGAACATGAGAGCACCATCTGACCCTCCACTGGCAAACAGGCCTTCATGGATAGGATGCCAGTCAATAGCTGCAACAAACAGTCAGTGGTCATTAGATCCATCAGTTACAGTCAGTGGTTAAAGCATCTGAAGAAAGGGGTGAGAGTCTGCCTGTTTGTCACTTGAACAGCAATTCATAAAAGGCTTGATTCTATGACACACAGCTAGGTAAAACCTCAGAATTTGGTAGCTTTTGGATCGCCATATAAATTCATACATACAAATGACCATCAGGAGATCATTTATAATTTTACTCCACTCATAAACTGAATGTTCACGGGGATACATTGTATTATCCAAATTTGGGCCCCTTTACTGCTGTGTGAACAGGCATATTCATATTCTCTTGCATAAGGAAACACACAATCTGTAACGTGCTTTAGGCTGATGCAGGCCTGAAACCCTCCAAAACCCTCGTGACCACATAATCCATAAAGTCTCTAAGCACCATACCCTCATATTAATGTTTCTGCAGCAACATCATCTGCCATCTTGTCATATTGCCAGCGTTCCCTTATACCTGCTGCCAAGTATACATGATATCGGACCTACCAGTGGCTTCCTTTTTGTGTCCCTTGAACGTGTGGATCTCTTCCTTCATGTTCCGAATGTCAAAAAGTTTGAGCAGATGATCTCGGGATGCTGACAGCAGCCAGTTGCCGTTCCGGTTCCACTTCAGATCCATTACAGTGTTCTTGTGAGCATGACTACACAGATGGGGAAATACAGGCTTTATCACAGTCATGAGACGCTTAATAAATTGCTGATCAAACATTTGCTAACAAATCCATTCATGACCATAACTGAAAATGAGACTTTGTATTTGACGAAAAAATGTCACAGTCTGTATAAATTCCAGCTATATGACAGTGGTCTGGGAGTCTGGATCAAATAATCCAATGATCAATATTATGAGCAACAATCCACACTGTCTGGTTACATTAAAGCAGCATCAACCAACTCAGCGATTCTGACAACCTGATCCATTGTGTGGACAAGCCCAAATTGCTTGGGCTAAAATTAATTTCAGTACACTTTTGCAACGTCCGAAGATCACACACTGCAAGCACCCAATCCACATTTAGTTGACCAGAATGGGGTACTGGCACCTATTTTGCCGTGGAAACATTGCAGCAATAAAAGACGGAGCAAGTGTGTTTGATTATAAAAAATACTGTGTGGTTGATTATAAAAAAATACTAAGGGTTTTCAGTTACCTTACAATAGGTATGTTAACATAGCGACTACTATCATAGGTATGGTAGCAATATTGTTCCCAGGTCTAAATATTTGAATACAATGTGTGATAATGAGACAATACAGGGTTTTTCTCCTGGCTACAGTGAGTGAGTTTTCCCACATATGTTTTTAACAGTGTGTCAAAAAGAAAAGAGTTAACATATACAAGGTCAACTGGTCAAGCTGTTGATTTAAACCCACAACGTCCTGACAGAACTAAGAGGCATAACTCTGCAATGCCAAATGCAGGGATACCTATGCCCTTGCTCATGCAGAATCCTGGACAATCAATCCTGTGACAATCAACATTTCTGAAGACTGACTGAGTATGGTTTTACGCCGCTTTTAGCAATATTCCAGCAATATCACAGCGGGGGACACCAGAAATGAGCTTCACAAATTGTACCCATGTTGGGAATCGAACCCAGGCCTTCGGCGTGACGAGCGAACGCTTTAACCACTAGGCTACCCCACCGCCCCCATTTCTGAAGAATACTCCAATGTATTAATCTTACATGGTAGCAAGACTCTGTCCCGACCGTGGATCCCAGAGTTTGATGGGTTGCTGGTTGTCCTTGCTGCCAGAGGCAATAAGTGCCTTCTGTGGATGCCAGTCCACCGACTTCACATCTGCACCATGGCCTGAAAATCAATGGGTGTCTACAAATAAGAAGCATCAAAATCTTCAAGAGAAATCCATAGGAGGCCAACACTGTTTGTACCTCAGCTTTTATTAAATAACTTGAGGTTTTCAGAATATTAGTAATAATTTCCTTTGAGCTGATCACCCAGAAGAGTGAGTGAGTGAGTTGGGTTTTTACGCCACTGTTAGCAATATTCCAGCAACATCATGACAGGGGACACCAGAAATGGGCTTCACACATTGTACCCATGTGGAATCGAACCCGGGACTTCCGCATGATGGGTTAACGCTTTAACCACTAGGCTACCCCACCGCCCCTGACCCAGAAGAATATACCCAATAATACACTGACACTGATACTTTATGTGACAGATAGCATCAAACCAATGAAAGGGAAACTGTAGATTGTGTTCACCTCTCAACAAATTACAAAGTCAAGCATATGTAATGTTATGTGCATGCCCATTATTTGATTTGAATCTAGACAGTGACAAAAGGTCAAGGTCAAGGTCAAGTTATAACTTTGATTTTCATTCATGACAGGAACATGGGTAAGATAATGTTGTGTTCTGTGGAAGTATATATTCAACCTAAATCAGGTATACATTGCTAAGGCCCCCAGCTTGTTACCACTTTGAAAACTTTGGCTCATCAGGGTGGAAGTAAATGTCTGACATTTTTCACTTCATTGAAACCCATCAACCTAGAAAACAAATCGGGGCAGTAAAGGATTTAAACCAATGACAACAGCTAAATGAAACAGTTTGGATGACCAGTTCACCGACCCCTTTAGGTATGAAAATGTTTCCTTATTTATACAAACTCCAAGTCATCCAGCGGTTTGAAGGACTGTATGATTCAGTGAGTATGCTCAGACTTACTGAAATCTCATCAGTGCGCCTACATGTATTGGTCAGTGTAAATTAAGAGTAGCCATCCATGCTGAGACAAGTCTTGAATGTGTCGTATCACAGAATGTATCCATGGCACTTCACTTATTGTCACAAAATAAAGCATGCAAGTGACACGAGAGCTTCAATGTGTGTTATCAGATAATAGGCTCCACAGCTCCAGGGCTGCAGATAATGTTTCTGGTCACAAATTGTTTTCTCGTTTGGTATTGACAGCTTTGTCGTGTCCATTCTGCTGTGTATTTTAAACTAATAAAATAAATTATTCTAATTCTGCTTAAAATGCTGTTTCAAGTGACTTTTCTTCATGCGCGCTGCCCCAAGTGTGCAACAAGTCACTTACTCACAACAGCGAATACATCTCTAACTAATTAACCATAAGCACATTCTTTATACATTACTACTATCGTTGTGATGAGTTTATGTTCATCTGATGCCTATTAAGACCTGTACAGATATATACTGGAAGGCAAGTACACCCTGTGTTAAACTGTTGAGTTTTAAAAAATTCTTATATGTATTTGTACACAAGCTACTAAACATTAATTGGGTAATAGTAATATGATGTAATTTTTTAAGTAAAATTGATATTTTATACTTATCCTGACTCATGATCTTTTGCTTATCTCCCTCTTCTATGCGAATATCAGTGGAAAACGTGAATCCTTTGTAGTTCCCTAAAGCGGACGTAAAAGTACACTCACCCACGAGTTACCTCCCTTTTCCCACGCAAACAGTCATGTGACCTGCCTTACTTGTCAATCTACCTGGTTCTAAGCCACTGTGAGTGAGTACGTTTAGTTTAATGCCACTTTTAGCAATATTCCAGCAATATCATGGCGAGGGACACCAAAAATGGGCTTCACACATTGTACCCATGTGGGGAATCGAACCCGGGTCTTCGGCATGGTTTTGTGAACAACTGAGTCCTAAGATAATACTCCTAAGATTTTGTTTGCTCCGACTAATTAATTCCATAAGTAGAACTGGGAAATCTACTAGAGCACTTTTAATGGCCTTCTCACTGTATATTTTTACAGGATATCTGTAGTGATATGTCCCATATTGCATCTTATTCATAGCATGGTTCAAAGATTTCACATTAACCTATATGGACCTAACAACTATGGTGTCCTATGTTTCTCTGTGCATGTGTGTCTGTATTGAGGCCACGGTGTATGTGAGTGAGTGAGTTGGGTTCTACACCGCTTTCAGCAGTATTCCATCAATATCATGGTGTGGGACACCAGAAATGGGCTTCACACAATGTACCCATCTGGGGAATCGAACCAGGGCCTTCGGCGTGACAAGCAGACGCTTTAACCACTAGGCTACCCCATCACCCCTCCACTGTGTACATACACTGGTGGAGTAACTGTCAGTAAGGAATTCATGAATTTCAAATGTCATGTTTCTTCTTGTAGAGATGCAAAGCCCCCAAAACATTCAAGCAAAATTGCAAAAGAACTATATATTTGCAGGTGCCCTCACACACTCACCTTAATACAGACCTTGACCTTTGCAAGAAATACCATTAACCAAGGAATGAAACCTTTCAAAATTACTCACTAGACCACAGGACCAGTGAGTGGACAATAATTAGTGGTCCTGTCTGTACTTTACTGGTCCAAAATAATATTCATAGTAACTATCAATATCAATAGGCCCCGTTCTTTCAAAACTAAAATGATCGTAACTCCCATACTTTAACATTGATTACGACTGGTAGCACTGCGACGCTTTGAGGACCCTGGACCACTGCAAACTTATCATTTAGTGGTCCTGATGAATTTTTACTCCCCAGGGACCACAGGACCAGCGTAAATTTCGCACACTGTGAACAATTGTTGACTCATGCCAAGCTTACTGATCAAGTTGTAAATACTTTGAGAAAGGATCACAAAGGATTTAGTGTTTTTCATTCGTTTTGTGATCAGAAACTTTGTTTTACCTCATAACGATTTAGAAAAATTCCATCCAGACAAAAAATCTTGTACATGGTGAACAGGAAGCAGGTCCCAATCAGCTGTCATAACCAACAGGCAGTCATATTTTTTCACATGACTGCAAATTATGACTCACGTCTTCAAAAATCATAGCCAATGGCATTTACAGCCAGACTGACTGTTGAGCAATATCTGATGCAGGACGCCTAACAATTTCAAACTATGAGATATCCACAAAGTCATGAAATCTCGGCCACTAGTCATGATGTTGTCCAAGAGTCATCCCTCACAGGTCTACAGTTCTAATCAGACTTGTGAAGTACACAAGATAGCACCAGACTTCCTGATTTTCACTTTTTGGGTTTGACAGGTCTTACCCATCTTAATCAAAGTGAGTTAACTGACGAGAAAAGTCCAATTTCCATCCTTGCCGAACCAGGCTGGAATTTTCATGGTGCCACCAGTGTATGTTACCCTTATCTATCCCATCTATGTCCCTTGGGAAAACAGATCCAACCAATCACACCACTTGCACTGGTTTAAAAAAAAATGGCAACATCTGATAACCAAGACTTATACCACATCACACACATGCATCTACTCATATAATCACCTTGATTTAAAACATGGAAAGATTTGGAAAATATCAATCAACATCAAGTTGACATAACACAAGGTTTGACTGATACCTGCATGTGATTTTGTGTAAACATTAAGGCTGTTACGATTTGTGTGAAAACATAATTCAATTCGTTAAATTCCAGCCTAAATTCATGAATATTTACAAAGCAAGGGTGACTTGAATCTGCAAGGCATTATTCATCCTTGTAGTGAATCAGTTTGCCAAAGGGCGGACACTTCCTATAGCTATTACTCAGGAATATGGTTATTGGGCTGTCAACATGGGTTATCCTCACTGTATTAGTTCAGTATGAGACACCCGAACTCCATCTGGATTGTTACACATATCAATACAGACTTCACAGTGTTGAGCTTGTCTTAAACAAGGAGAGTTGCAAGAATCATACCTCGTAGAATTCTCTCTTCATGACCTCTCATAAAGTCCCAAACACGAACAGTTCCATCATCTGCACATGTTGTAAATTTATTGTCGCTTGGGCAAAAACTGTCATGGAGAAACAAATAACAGAAGAGGATATTAGAAGAAAAGCATTTATTTATGAATGATACGGTAACTACAAATGCATTCTGAGGTTGAAATATCCATTACATTCTATGGATAGGGCAATCAAGCCTTTATTTCTTTACTGGATGATTAACCTATGGGCAATCAAGCCTTTATTTCTGTTAACAAAATTCTTCAGTTCTATCATTCAGAGAAATTATACAGGGCAAGCAAGCCTTTATTTCCTCACAAAAAAACCAACAAAGTTTGTTATAATTTCCCCCTCAATAGGATGGGCAATTAAGCCTTTATTTCCTCACACACAAAAAATAATATTTGTTATAATTTTTCCCTCAATAGGATGGGCAATCATGCCTTTATTTCCTCACAAAAAGAACAAAGTTTGTTATCAAATTTCCCTCAATAGGATGGGCAACCAAGCCTTTATTGCTTAAAAAAAAAAAGGTTCATGTACTTTTTACCTAAACAGTAAGGCCAATCAAACCTTTATTGCTATTAAAAAAATAACAAAAAAAAAATAACAAAATTTGATATAGTTTTTCCCTAACAGTATGGGTAATCATGACTTAATTTGTTGTATGTTTATTCAAGCATTTATTTAGTCCCTAAACAGTGCAGTCTTCATTTTATAAAGTCGTCTTAATTTCCAACAAAGTATGGGCATCAATCCTTGTTTTGGTCCCTACACACAGGCTCTAAAGGTTTTTTGGTTATTAAACACAGATAATCAATCTGTTCCTGGATAGTAAGGGCATCAAGCCTGTATTCTTAACTCATAATAAATCAGGCAACACAAATTTTACAGAGGAAATCAATGACCTAATAATAAAAGAAATCATAAATAAAATGTTAAAAAAATAAGTTATATGCACACCATTAAACATGATAATTAAGCCCTCAATTACAAAAGAGTGCATCAAAAGGGCTATGTATTTCTATGTATCTATCTCTAAAGACGTTTGAAATGCAATAAATATATTCCTATACACGACTGTCAGCCAATGATTGGTGATATATGATATATCTGAAGTTATATGCATGAAACTATTGATAGTTTCCTTTCTATGAGTAAATGAAGACATGCAACACATTTTTATTTAAATATAGCAAAAATATTTTCAAAAGATATGCTGAGTAATCATAGTTTCTAATAATATCCTAATTTATTTCTGAAAAACAAATGTTCAGTGTAGCAACATTAACTTTTTCTATGCCAGAATTATCACCTTTGACAAGCAGCATCCAACCCTTTATTTTCAGTCAAGGAAAATGACCTAGGTCTATCTGAACTCCTGACCAGGGCTTTAAAAGCCTTTATTCAAGTGTCCTTCAGCCTTTCTTCAGTAGAGAAAAACGTTGGGCATATGCCTTTATTTGAAACTATTGACGCCAAAGTCTGTACTTCACAGGGGCAAAAAGCCTTTATTCAAGTCCTGCATCATATATAATTCATTGCGGGCTAAGAGCCTTTATTTCCAAGAAAATAGCTGAATTATCACAAAATCTCTTCAGTTAAAGTCGTCAATCTAGGCACACTAAAATTGCTGAAGATTTCCCTAGCGTTAATGGCTATCCATGAAATGCATTTGTAGAATATCACATCATCATAAACAAGCAATACACAGCATCAAAATGGCAGCATGTTCCACTGATGGGTGAAACAGCTGAAATAACAGTATTATCATTGCAGCAGACTGCAAATTCCTCTGAAAAATTAAGCATTCCTTCCAGAAACACTGCAAGACTTACCTTTGTTGTTCTGCCGGATCAGGCTTAATTGAGATGTGCTAATGCCGCTATGAACAGTATTTCATGTATATCACGGCATGTCAGCTTTACATGGGAGGAGTGAGTGAGTTTAGTTTTACGACGCACTCAGCAATATTCCAGCTATATGGACCAGACAAACCTGTGATCAACAGCATGAGCATCAATCTACGCAACTGGGAACCGATGACATGTGTCAACCAAATCAGCGAGCCTGACCACCCAATCCCGTTAGCCGCCTCTTACAACAAGCATGGGTTACTGAAGATCAATTCTAACCCAGATATTCACGGGTTTACATGGGAGGAAGGCAAGTTTACCACTCCAGCTAAACCCATGAGGAAGGTGCTGACACACCTAGAAACATAATCAGGGAAACCTAGGATTTGAGCCCATGATCAAACGATTGTGGCTCTGCACTGCAACCAGTGGCGCCATGGACAATGGGGCCTCCAGCACCCAATCGTCAACAACCAAATCAATAAATGATAGGACTCAGTATATCTCCAGTCACTAGAATATCACTTCTACTGTAGTCTGACAACTTTTTGTTTTAGCAGCATTTTCTTGATTGTTTCCACTACAGACAAAAAAAATCATCAAAGACAGCTTACACATATATAAGTATAACTCACTACAAACGTGCATGATGAATTTTGATTTGATATAAACAGGGCAAGTATCTCCCTTATCACATATTTCTGTCATTTTGCAAAAGTGTTTACTTTTATCACAAAGGTCACTGTTCTTTCTTAATGCATATGGGGACATGAAATTCAGCATGCGAGTGTCTGCACATAATCATTCATTTAATCAATGCAAGAAAAGACTCCCTTTCACCATATCCAAATAATGTTCTCGAAAACATGTCTTTAGTGAATGCTGAACCCTTGCCCAAACGTGTACATCTTGGTGTATTTTAATTGTCACCACTCAACAATACATTGCAGATGCCCTACTTGCTTAAATGGCAGATGCCCTATTTACTATCACAATATATCCTGTGAGCAACGTTTATATCCAATCTGACTGAGTGACTAGCATTTGCAGCTGGAGTACAAATGAAGAAAAAAACTGCAAAAAATAGTTGACAGACTACAATGAACTGGATAGCATGCTGTACTGTTCAACATATTAGTAGTTATTCTTTATTCAAACAAAGCCTTTATTGGAATACAAGGAAACAAGTGGAAAACAGATCTGGCACAATAGGAAACACTCTTCTTGCTCATTAAAGATCAAATTCATGGTCACTTTGAACTTTGTAGTCATGACAAAATCATGCTATACTTAGTCTCAAATCCAAAACCTTTTTGAATTCATTAGGAAATATTTCTCAAAGTTTGACATCTTGGCCAATGTTAGAAGTTAGGTAGCCCCACAATCCTTGAGTTTTGCGGTCATTGTATGTTAACTTCTACCATACCCACACCTTGATTTTCTTCCTGGACAATAGGGTCATGTCAAAGTACCTGGAGTTTCATGGTGCATTTTGAACAATAAGTTCTATTAACCAGTGGGTGTCTTTTACTGTAATGAACCCCCCATTACTTACAATTCATGCATGTGGTTAAATGGAACCAGCTAGGCCCTGCCCTTGAAGCCCTTGGGAATCAATCAAATATTGTTGCTCATATAACTGTAATCAGGACCCATCTCACAAAACCCAGCTCTGATTATGACCATCTACAGTATGCTGAATAAATTTCCCCACTGTCCATTTCACTCCAACCCGAGGTGGAACCCATCTTCCTGCTGTCCCAGAATGAGTAAGCAGAAGTGTTTCGTAGTGACAGCCAGACCAGAACAAAAATACTTAGTGTTAGACAAGCTAGACATGGCTGGTGTCTGTCTGTGGCCGACGGTAGAGACTCCCACCTGATCCCTCGAACTGCCTCCTTGTGACCCTGGTACATCTTCACGTTGTTCATGTTGGACTGCCAGTACTTGATGAAGCCTGCATGGTCAGCGGTCACCATCCACATGTCATTGTGACTCCATCTCATGGCTCGTACAGAAGTGTCATGGGCCTGGAAGAAGACATTTGGTTATGTAGAACATAAGACAGACATGTGGTACAAAGAACGTATTGTTGTACCCTGCGTGAGTGAGTGAGTGAGTGAGTGAGTACAAGGTAGAACATAAGAGTTTACGTATTTTTACGCCACTTTTAGCCATATTCCAGCAGTATGAGTGCGTGCAGGGGACACCAGAAATGGGCTTTTAATTTACATACTGTACCCATGTGGGCAATCGAGGCCCAGGTCTTCGACAGCATGACAAGTTTAACGCGTTTAAAACACTATGCTACCCAACCTCCCCGACAGTCAAAGTGAGAAACAGTTGTAGAGTATAACTCACCTGCAGGATCGTCTCGAAGTTAAATGCCAGTCCATTCCACAGTGTAAACTCTCCACTGGAGGCTCCAGTTACCAAACGCCGACCTTCTGGTGTCCACTGAAAAACAAAATATCACATCAAATATGGGACCAGGGCCTCATCTTCTTAGCTTCAACATAAATGAATTCTGGTGTGTTTCACAAACTTAGTATGATACAGGCACTAACGTCTTCATCATATACATTTTGATAAATAGCTAGGGAGAAAAGGGAAGTGTACTCACTGAAGAGATAAATATACAAAAAATCATAAGAATAACAGATGCTATTCTTGTTGAAATGGTTACTGATTACAAGCAAAACCTCTAGATTTGAATCTCCTATGTACCGGCTGTACAAAGTTAGATCAAAAACGTTAAGGACGATTTTGTTCTGATGACCTGGCTATGGTATCACGGGACGAGGAAAACACAATTGCTTTTTTCACCAATTTCATGCAATATTCAACTGAACTTATTACTCACAGTCACACAGAAGATGGGACAGCGGAACTTGTTGGTTGACGTCCTTACAAACTTAGTTGTCACCGAGTTAATGGGATTTTCCATTGTGGCCATTGGGGGTTCCAGCTGAATGATTCAAAACACACTTGAGTCAAAATCACTACATCACATATTTACAAATCAAAATTTGACAAGACTGAAACAGAAATTGACCAAAATTCTTCAAAACAGTTAGGTATGTATCTACTCAAAACCGTTATTCAAAGAACAGTGTTATGTATTGTTAGTGGAGAAGTCGTGGTGATCATGTTTTATATGAAACATTCTTCCAATGTGTGAGGACATATTAAACCCTGTTTCTAAAGATTACAAGATATATTTTTTTCAAACCATTAATGATGAAAGTTGTAAAGAAACAAAGCAAACTTACATCTATTTGATAGAGGGGATCTGGTTGAATTGATACAGCATCTCTACGATCCCTTTGCCAGACTCGGTTCTGAAAAAGATAAAGATTTCTCAAAATATCTGGCATCATTTTCAGAGGTACATTCTAAGATACAAGGAGAAGGACAAGAGAAGTGAGAAAGTTCAAAGTTAACTTCCCAGTTTCTGTGATAAACCTACCAAGATTAACAACTCATTGAATCATGGATATTGAAAAAAGTGATTGTCAAGTAAAATGTCATCTGCACACCCTGCTAAACCAACCACAAAGTAACACAAAATAACACAAATTACAATGGTATCTTTCAGTGGTTTACTTACATGTAAATATTTTATCACAGAAGTGTTGTAATCCACAGTTTTCCTATGTACAGCCTTTCTCATTCGTTTGCCATCAAACATAGCACTTTGCTGATTTAAAAATTGTTGGCGGATTTGAGGCAAGCTCAGCCCCCGATGCCTGGCCCTTTTGGTCGGTGGATTTCACTGGCTGAGACATCTGTGGGTTGGGCTGATTCATCCTGGGGACAAAGTTCCGGGGCCGAAACATTGGTGGCCCCGGGGCAGGCATTCGCATCATCATCATTCCACCATCCATGATGAACTGGAAAAAAAATGAGTCAATGACAAAAGAATGGACTATTTTGTTGCGTGCAATGCAGCTAGATGGCACAGTCAATATTCCCAATACCTCTTTCATTTTAGGTGTGAAGAGCTTCCTTAGTTTTGAAAACGTCACTTCTAAATCGAGTCATTATTCTCAACAGTGAGCTCCCTTTCTATCAACATCTTCAAAAACTTAAAACCATTTCCAAACAGAATAATACTGGTAACCCAAAACTGAAGGTAGTCTTCATTTCTGGTGTCATGCTTCCCTGAGAGCCAGTACATTGGGTAAAACAATATTACATGTCTTGTCATGATATCTGTGGTAAAAACCTCCTACATGACTTTCAATCACTCTTGATATTTCCCACTGTAATTAATTCATAAAATGGCATATTTTATATGCTATGGATTGTATAAAAAGAAACGAATCCCTAACTAACCAGCCTATTTGTAATAAAAGTATGTTATCAGAACCACATTTGTTTTTCGGGCCTCAGTATGTAGAAATAGGATCTGCATGTTCAATCAATGCACTTACTGTCAAACACTTTAGCTCCCAAATATATCACACAATACCTTACAATACAATATATTTGTCAATACACAATTCTAATATCATGAAAACTGTTAATCGGACACAAAACATATGAAGTAAGATAAGACTTTGTAATCCCATCAATAACCTTGGGCCATTGTTATTCATACTTGCCTGACACATTTATGCAGATTCAGTTAACCTGCATTTTGAGAGCTAATAAATATGATGTTACCATCTGTATTCATAAAATACATAATGACACATCAGAGTATGTGTTAAATCAATTAACCCTACGTTTGACTTTTTAATCCTCCCATTCATGGGTTGATTTCTTAAACATTCAAGTCAGAGGTTACAGTTTAAGTGAGTTTAGTTTTACGCCGCACTCAGGAATATTCCAGATGTAAGGCGGTCAGAGGTTAGAAGTTTACCAAACAATTCATATATTCAAAGTGAAAGTTTTAATCATGATGAGAAAATGGGTATAACAGTACAGGAAGATTACAGAATACCGGATACCTTCCGCCATCTTTGAAAGCACGCAAGTTTAGTTTTGGTAAGGGTAAGGTTTAGGGTTAGGGTGACGTGACACTAAACAATATGGCTGGTAGGTAACCAGGGAAAGAGTTCCTTACGTACTCCCCCGTCCCCGCCTATTTTTGTGATGAGTAAACACTATAGTTTAGTCTATAGTTTATAGTTAAAATTAGGTCTTATTTAGAAGACCGCACAACATAACTGATGACATGCTTGGGGGTTTCCAGAGACAGTCTGAAACTGCTCCTATTTCTTGACCACGTTTAGGCATCTAGGTGTTGTACGAATTAATCTTACAAGTAGGTGAAGAAATAACGGCCTCATTTAACACGATTATACGTGAGAAAACGTTCGTGGTTAATTTGCGCAGCCAACTGGGACATTTGCCGATTTGTTGCCCAGGGCAGGGGAGTTACAATACAATTCAACAAGTACAAAACAACACAACCAGTACGCCAAGACAAATTTGTGTAAATCGTACCTAAACTGACTGAAAAAGTATATGTTGTGTTTTGCTGATCAGTATTCGCCAAACGCCCTCAAATGTGTTGAAGATGTTTGGACACATTGTGCTTGATGCATGTCTTCATGAATAAAATGGCGGCGTTTAAAGGTTAGTCCTAAATCTGCAATTGTTAGACCCAAGTACGAAACGAAGAAGATGTAATTTCTACATGGTCATAACACAAACATTTCAATGAATAGGTTTGTCATAGATGGATCATGAAATTTTTAATCTCTTGACTCATATCATATACCGATCCTGAAAATCAGAAAAAAATAAAAGCTGATACATTAAACGTTAATTATTGTTTCCTGTTCAACTTTTACCATTTATCCCACGGAAATCTACGAAGTTTTAAGAATATATACTGGTTCCCGATTCTCTTTGCGCGTCTATGAATTCCTTAAGGCTCCACTACAGCGCATGCAACCTCTTCGGTCCTTACACTGCATTGTGGTCTTGGGGTCGACGAAAATATCGCTGTGGGGATCTTACACGAGCTTCAATAGATACGGAACCAAGCTTTTCTGTATGACTGATCCTGCAAGACCATTGGTCAATATTGTAAGGCAATCAATATGCCCGTTCAACCAGACCATTAAGAAACAGTGACTGGTTAACTGTAACTACCTACTTCCCCAAAGCTCTACGCATATTCTGCAAGTGTCACTCGCCATGTTTTTCTGCGGATATTAACACTCCTTTTGAACCAAATACAATCTGGTCATTATTAGTTTGTGTGATAGATAAGTAGCTGAGAGTTTATTTCCTTATTTTTATTATTTTGAGAAAGAGGACGAGCCACGATGACACACGACGGTCATTTGAAAATTGGAATTGTTTGTTCCAGTAATCAAAACAGGAGCATGGAGGCTCATAACTTTCTTAGGTCAGCGAAACCATATGTTTATTTTCTCATGAATACACAGTCTGTTTTTCGCCCAGCTTTTTATTTCGTATGATCTGTAATATAAACTGTTGATCTGATTCATTCCCACGGGTAAATACAAGTTTCTTTATACATGAATACGTTTACAATGTGAATGAATACCACTTAATCTGTTCTGTTATGAAGCAGGAGGGATATGTGATTTAAGCTTTTATGAAGTGTGTTATACATGCAGGGTTGTGGTCGGGTTTTTTTTCAGGTGTGATCATAGGTAAGAGTTCCGCCCGTAAACCCCGCTTGAAATGTATTATATCTATTCGGATTATTTTGAGGGTTTAGGGTTAGTTTTAGGCTTTTTATAAAAAAACAGAGGCCTATATACTTAGGCATAGAATGATTTAAGAAAATATGTGGATTATGGGCGGAGATCTTTCTGTAAAATGTATATTTATATTTTGCAATGAAGATTAAAGATGATTAATGATGTACACACATCAGTTCTGACCTGTGGCGATTTAGATTAGAATCGGTCTTCAGTAACCCATACTTGGCCTAATAGGCGACTAACAGGATCATGTGGTCAGATTTGCGGACTTGTTTGACACCTGTCATCGTATCCCAGCTGCATTGATTGATGCTCATGATGTTGATCACTGGATTGTCTTATCAAGACTCGATTATTTTCGGATTGACACCATATGGCTGGAATATTGCTGAATGTGGCGTTAAACTACGAAAACAAGACACCAGTTCTGTATGCAAAACATTTTAGCGAAAATTTATACAACGCGAATAAACCTGTATGTCATTATATACTAGTACTTGCAGGATATCTAAGCACTTAATACTTCCGTGAGAGTAAAGCGGATTACTGTGTACTAGTATATCGCGGCACAGATAGGGATTTCCTGTGAGTAAGCAATAAACGCTGCCTGACAGGTTAAGCCACTCTGTTTGTTTTCACTGCTATTAGTGGCCAAAGAGACAGCTGGCAGTTCCGGCAATTACTGATTGCGTGAATAATTGACCGCCCGATGTAGTCTTAACGTTTACAGTATTACACATGGGCATTGGGTAGGAAAAAGGAGAGAGTAGCGATTCACTTGCTGGATGGCGATGACCAATGTTACTGCTATATCACATGCCTTTTGAAGAAAAGAATTCAGGCAAAACAAATCTTTAGTTGATCATATATGAGTAGGCATTATCACATCTGAAATCAGCTTGTTCGAGAAAATAGTTATGATTGGACAAAGCTTAGCACTATGTGTTCGAGGTAATTGGATGAATGGCATCAATTCAGTCCACACCGACCATGTTGAGTGAGAGTATAACCGCAGAGATATTGTCTGAATATAGTTACGATTGGACAGAGCTGAGCACTGGTCCATGTGTTCAAGGTATTTTGATGAATTGCATCACTTATGTCCACGCAGACCCGTGAATGTTCGGGTTAGAATATTGATCTTCAGTAACCCATGCTTGTTGTAAGAGGCAACTAACGGGATGGGGTGGTCAGGCTCGCTCGTCAACATGTCATCGGTTCCCAATTGTGCAGATCGATGCTCATGCTGTTGATCACTGGATTGTGTGGTCCAGACTTGATTATTTACAGACCGCCGCCATATAGCTGGAATATTGATGAATGTGCCATAAAACTAAACTCACTCACTCTGTTTACACAGAGCATGTGGATTGAGAGTGCTTTCAGTGGTACAATAATAGTGGGAGATGGTAACTAAAGGTACTACAGCTGTGGAATCTGGGTGAGAATTGGTCCCCAGCAAATCATGCTAACCAGTTGATTGTGTTTCATCATGAATCACTACCTACAACCACTTCATTGTTTGGTTCAGACTTGATTATTTACAGGCAGTCAGTGTGATATATCCGGAATACAACGAGTGTGGCTTTGAACAAATAACAGACAAAATGACCTTGAGGATTATATCCAGGTTAACATTGATGAAAACTGATAGCTTCATAGGTCATGCTAATTCTCTGTTTGATCTATCTGTTGGTTGTTAATTTCTTCAACATATACTATCATAAAACTGACGCACTGATAGAAAATAAGTTTTTGATTTTACTCACTTTCTCATTTCAAAACATATTTTATGAATTAATTCCATCATTAATGGTAAGAATTAGAAATGTCTTAAGTTCAAAATATTTCACAGGACCTCTTAGTCAACCTAGGCATCTGTATTGATGGAATTTTTCTGTAAACACATGTCATACTCTTTTCAATCATGTTGTTTCAGATATAAAGGGGACCCGTGAAGATCCGGGGTAGAATAGGTCTTCAGCAACCCATGCTTGCCACAAAAGGCGACAATGCTTTTCGTAAGAGGCGACTAATGGGATCGGGTGGTCAGGCTCGCTGACTTGGTTGACATGTCATCAGTTCCCAATTGCGCAGATCGATGCTCATGCTGTTGATCACTGGATTGTCTGGTCCAGACTCAATTATTTACAGACCGCCGCCATATAGTTGGAATATTGCTGAGTGCGGCGTAAAACTAAACTCCCTCACTCACTCAGATATACAGGTTTTAACCAAACGACTTCTTGGATGAATTATATCATCTTCAATATGTGATCAGTATGATCTGTAGCTTTGTAGTGTGTCAGGGTTGTGGGGGTAGTCTAGTAAGTGAAGTGTTCTCTCGTCATTTACATTACCATCCTGAAAAGGGATCCATGACAACCTTCCCTAGCTATTGTAGGCCACTAAATTAATCGCTGGATTGCTGAATTGTGCTGTCACAATATGGATCACTGGATTGAATCCAGATTTGATTGTTTACAGGCCTCCACCCAGGGGTGGAAATAACTTTAAAATTTCTAGTGTACTCCGGTACAGTGGCACATGTACAATCACTTGCCCTGATAAGTTTTCCACTATACCGGCTGTTTTCTTGTTGATTTTTTAAATAAACAACATTATTAACATTGGAAAGTCAATTGGACACCGGTACAACATGATATACAAATTTGCTTGCCCCACAGAAAAAAAACACTGGACTCGGACGTCGGGCAATGGGTTATTTCCACCCCTGCCACTATATTATTCGCTGGAACTTAGCTGAATGCTGCCTGAAATTGCAAACAAACATGATAGTCAAGCCGGTTTACTTCCTTCCTCATTGATGTTATGTATCATAACTTATTCTCTCAAGATAAAAACCTTGCAGCTTTATTTTGAGTCAGATTGAAAGACATGTTTAATAATAAATCATTCTGTGTACATATTGATCAACAATACCAGCAGTCAATCAACTAATTGCTAAAAATTATCCATGCTGAGTCATTAAATGTTTGAAATGAAATGTTTTGCTGTGGCGTTATCCATCTTAATCAGGGTAATCGGGTGTAAATATTTCTGTGGCACTGAATTATTCTTTTAGTATCAATATGCATATGGTTTTATCGACACCATATTGTCATTGTATCAATATCTTGGTACTTGATGGCAACTTTAATATTCACCATCGTATCTTGTATTAGACGCCTTAAATCGTTCACTTTGAGTCAGGATTATGACAAGGACAAGCCTTTCGTGATTGATTTCGGCAACTGCATAGGAGAAACCTTTTTGCTTCAAAAAGAGCTCTCAACTGGCAAAAAATTATTCCACTTTATTCAAATAATAAAATGGCATTCAGTGAAATGACTGAAATACGTACAGTACTTGTCACCAAATCAGAAAACTCCATTTACTAGTTTTGGTTTGGCACAAGTTGTTATGTTAACAAAAGCTGGTGTTTCTGACAACTTGATGTCATTGGGCTATTGAAGGCATTTTCAGAAGATTCTCCCTTGTGCCCCCACCCCTGCCGAAGCCCACTACCCCTCCGAAACCCCATTAGCCCTCCGAAACCCCATTAGCCCACACCAGTAACAATCTGACGGTTGTTACAGTGTTATATTGGTTTTTATGCTGCATGTATGATCGTGTGCAAATAGGTCTTTTTATGTTACATTATATCATAAAAATCCTGAAAAAGTCTCACAGAATTCTTCACAAATTTCAGGTTGATTTTTAATTCATTTGCTTCTTTTTTTTGTTTTAGCAAAAAGGGATTCCAGGTGAGATCGTTTGGGACAGGAAGTCAAGTGAAGCTGCCAGGAGCTGCCCCGGACAAGCCGAACATCTACGACTTCAGCATCACTTATGATGAGATGTATAAGGACCTTATTAGGAAAGACCCAGACCTGTATCCCATTCAGAACCTTTCTGTTTATTTATCACCTCTCATTTGTGTAATGCTATGAACGCCTCATAGTTTCCCATGTACCATTCTTTAGTTAAAAATGGCAACAAAATTGCCAACAATTGGTCATTATAAATGCTGCATGATTCTTGAGAATAAGCATTACATGGGCATGGTGGGTCAGTGGGGTAGTACGTGGACACTTATGCATCTTGTCAAATATTCTAATCACCAGTGGTGTTTCTGTAATGCTGCTGCTAACTGCATTAATAATCTGTCCTTGCTCACAGAGACCGGTGAACCTAAGCTTTTATGTGTTGATTTGATGGACTGGATGTTACACTGATCCGATGTTGATCACCATCATGGCTTTGATTAATGTACTTGATGAGTGATCTGCTTGCAAATTGACTTTAACTTGACTGTTAACAGTGTATGAAATAAGCCAAAAATCCAGCCTGACATCAGGGCTGGTAATTTCAAAATGTTTTCAGTCCCAAAATGGATTTAACCAGACCAAATATGGTGAATTTACTCAGATGTATAGAACATCTAAAAAATTTACCAGACCATTGGACCGTCCGTCAGAAATCTAGACCGTCTCGAGGTCGGACAGGCCTTATTTCATACACTGCTGTTAAGGGTTAGATTGGCACGAGTTTTACATCAAATTTTCTCATTACAGCATCCAAACTACCCAGTCCAATGTTCTGTGATAGTGTTCAGCCAACTTTGTCATATTCTTTTTATGTTTCACTCACTTCAATTTATGCTAAAAATCGTTTAGTTTTGCCCATACTGTTCTAAATTTGAAAGTCCAATTTAGAGATCAAAGGGAGACCACTCCACATTTTTTATTTATTATCTCCCTTTGCCTTTTACCCTATGGAAAGATGCTGGACAAGTTGAAGAGGTATGTATTCAAATATTGACATATGTTAGGAATTCTTGTTTTGAAATGCAGTATGTTTATACACATGATAAAAAGGTGTCATAGACACATAATGTTCAGCATGATGTTTGTGTTTGAGATGTGTTAAAGTACAATTACATAAATATGGAAAAGTAATACTTCTAATTTTACAAATATTTATCACATGATATAATGATGATTTTGTTAAACTTCTGTAATTTATTGGTTATTTCTTTTGTTACAGATTGTTCCAGTGCCACATTATTTTCTTTCAAAATGTCAAACAATTGTCAGTGAGTTGAGTTGTCTGTTCTGACCATCTTTGTACGTAGTAGCTGTGAAGTAAGGTATATATTTCAGGAGGAAAATCAACAATGATGCAGACGCAAATACATATTTATTATTAGGACCATCATTACGTGTGAAAATCGAGGAGCAAGATTTGGAAAGAATGGGATAATTGGGCCATCTCGCTTGGATGTTTCTGGTGAGGAGATTTGGTTGGCAGTGTGTTGGTGATTTGAGTTGGTTTCAGGTTCAGAGGTACAGATAAGCTGCGTATCTGCGTAAATTACGCAAATATTTATGTGAAAACTCAATTCCTATAAAGTCTATTGCGTACAAGTACGCTTCAATTTTTGTAAATACTCACTATATTAGATGTTACATGCGTACAAACAAAAATAGATAAAATAACAGAGGTATATTGAGAGTTTCTATTTCAGCACCTGGACTTGGCAACTTGCAGTCTTTCTTATCGTTTCTCATATAACAGATCAAATATAAATAACAAACACGTAAACCAACATTTAAACTTTAATATATTTTTGCAATTAATGGAAAATGGCAAAATACCCAATTGCGTTTGAGTGAGGTGGGTACAATTTACTTGGTTACTCAAAGGAAAATTAGGATACCCGATTGAGATAAACACAAATGAGTACATAACTCAATGACCCAAAAAGTTATGTTATCTGTAGTGCTAGGTTGTCAGCACAGTGTGGGTTATTGTTCATGTCAGTCACTTCTGTGTCTGGCCCAAGCTTGACAATTTATGGCTGTATGATGAGGTAGGTTATTGCTTGCTGCAGCTGAAACAATATTCAGTCACCTTTTACTGTGAAAAAGTCAGGTACAAGTTGTCAGATCTTATCTTGGCAAGCAATTATTAAAAGTCCTTAATTTTTACTTGCTGTTTGAAAACCTCATTGTTCGATTGCTTGTTTGCACTCGAAATATGACAGCAGTCTGTGAATACTTAAGTCTGGGCTTGACAATCCAGTGATTGACGTCCTGAGCATCAATCTATGCAATTGAGATACAATAACATGTCAACTAAATCAGTGAGCCCCACAGGGATCTTCACCAGTATTGACTTGTCTAAACGGTTTATCTGAATACCTGTAACAAACAATCGTTTCAGACAGGGACTAGTGCCATCTCGGGCTGTGTCTTCGTTACTGTTAAATGATTTCAAAGTGATTTGATTTCTGTTAAGAGCAGTTAGGATATGTTTAATGTGTAAAAGCAGAACTGGTTAGACACGCAGCAAAATCATGCGATATTACAGATCTAGCATGGTCTTATTTAGACCTGCACAGAGACAGATATTTGTAACCAGGTCTCCAGCATATGTCAGAATGAACAAATTGTTCAATTTTAAACATTTTAAACTTATGTGATGGCTTCTTTGTGAGTTGACTTTTATATCACTGAAAACTGGACCAGTAGGGAGGAAGTGATTTAATATTACATCATTTCATTATTTAAGAAACCTCTGAAATTAAGAGGATAAGAACATTTTAAAAATTCCTATAGCAATTTTGAAGTAAATATTAATTTATTTATTTTTCAATCTGTCCGGCCAGGGCAACTAGTTTTGAGTCCTCCCCTGCAGTGATATATAATGAATGTAGCTAAAATTGGCCGAAAAAAACTCAATGACACATCAGTATAGAATCCTGGATAAATCTGTGAATGGGGTCACGGTTAGGACAAATGAAATAGTCACATTGCACAACAGACAACCAGTTATTATCAGAAAGGATGTCTTGTTATTATGATACGAAAATATCAGCTCACTAACAGGCAGAGATGGTCATTTCAAGAACAGGTATCGAAACTTAACCTTGACTCAAACATGTATACGTTTATTTTTTTAAATAAACTTCTTGTTGCACTTCATATCCACATACTTTTGTATCTCTTTTCAAGGAGCTGAAGGGTACAGTGGGTATTATGAATATTGGTTGGAAAGACCTTCCATATATTAGTAAGGGGTGGTAGGGTAGCCTAATGGTTAAAGCGTCCGCTTGTCACTCTGAAGACCCAGGAACTGGGCCACTTAATTTCAAACCACAAATCCAAAATTGAATCAGTTAATGAGTTGTTGTTTTTCACCCAACACCGTACCTACGTGAATTTATAACCCAATGGTAACTGAGCATTACTACATATTTTGATATGGAATCTTGGTATTATTTTAAAAGTGTTTCATGATCTTTTATGCTTCAAGGTTAAAGTAAGTTGAACTGTATGATGAGATTTTTAGCTTAACTTAAAGGGGCCAAATCCATAGGCTCCTTTGTTGGATTAAAGGTGTCAGGCATATTTTAAGGCTGAACTTGATATTATTTGTTGATACTGTACAGCTTTGCATCTACAATAACACATATATAATACTGGAAGCATCAGTGCAAACAACCTTTGAGTGTGTTGAATATGTTGGAGATGCGGTTCCACATTTCTTCCAGTGTATTCCCCACATAGGTACAATGTGTGAAGCCCATTTCTGGTGTTCCCCGCTGTGATATTGCTGGAATATTGCTAAAAGCGGCGTAAAACCAAACTCACTCACTCATTTAAGCAGTGTTTTGTCTTACATTTACATCTGATCTTTGGTTTGTCGATGACAATGTGGTGTTGGCAATGACACTGCAGTTGCACTCGAGAAAATTCATCTTTTTTTTATGTAACATATTGTTTTCAAGCTTGAATGAAGGGATTCAGTTTGTTATGTGTTTGTTGTTTTCGGCAGAACATTTGACATTCAGGATAGAGAGGAGCATATTTTAGAAACAAAATTGGACCTACAACACAGATTGTCCTTTGAACAATTTATATTGGGGGATACAAACAGCATACCAATTTCTATAAGTGTTGGGATAACTTCCATTATTTGTGTCAAGCATATCCCAGCACTCTTGAATATCTACTGAGGTGTGCCCATGGATCTGCATTTTATATAGGTTTAATCCCAGATTCCATCCAATTGGTTGAGGTTGCGCTTAGCCTTGTGTTCAGTGTACAGTTACAATTAAAAGAAGTTAAGCAACAGTGCATGACTCTTTTCAGCTGCTTGACTCTGGAGATTTTGAATGTTTTGGGACCTGCTCAAGAAAAGGCACATGTGACATCTCTCAATGATTGTGTTAACTAAACAGTGAATGGTATCATGTCGGAGGAGATAGCAATGTTAGCTGAGAATGAATATCAGGCGCACGCTGATCTTGGATAATGTAGCACTTTGAGTGTGTCCATCTGTGGTTTGAAAAAGTACAGTATAAATGTCCTTATTACACATTACCCAAATTTCAAAAGGATCTCGGGGGAAGTGGCTGAAACATGGCGCCCAATGCAAAGTTAAGTACCACCCACTCACTCAGTTCACGACTGAAACGGGCAATGGATGTGCTTTGTTATGTGCCTGAATAATCAGCTTTTTGTCAAGGGAAATCTGGAGCTTAAATATGCAACGATGACGGGCGTGGCACATTATCGTGAGAAGTATGAAAGTATAACAGCTGAGTACACTTTTTCAGAACTTACATTGTTTCAAGCTTATGCTTCAGGGGCACGGTCACCAATAATGCCTTATGGGCATATCCTGTACAACTAAGCATATTTGCGGTTTATTGCCGTGACTTCACCACTGTGGCTGTTCTTGTTTAACATATTGCGAGTATCTTGGACTATTTTATTGTCATTGGGCACTGCCTGGAAGAACTGCTGGTAGAAAGAACTGCTTACATGCATCTGAAGTGGATGATCTCAGGCCCTGCTGGTGTACGACTTCCGGTCCAGAATACCCGGATGAGCTTCGGAGACATTGCCAGAATAGGTCAAGGTCAGTGGAGATTGTGGCAAAAAGAATTATTGAGGTGTTATGGTTGATTTTAGAGGAACATTAGGTGTCTGACTTCTTGTTGTTTAAGTAACCACAATATGTTTGTGTGGATGCATCAAAGTGTGTGTGCGTGCGTGCGTGCGCGAGTTCATTTTGGCAGCACTGGCATATCTAGATTCTGGAGAAATTTATGACGTTTTCCATACAGATAAAGATTAGCAGGATGTTTCTGGTCAACTATATTCCGATTATTGCAGGGTCAGTGTTAGCATATTTTTCGCCTCACTTTAGCAAATCTGCACTAAAGAAACACGTTCATGGCATCTATTTCTTTGGTCTTCCATGCTTGTCTTAAGAGGCGACTAACGGAATCGGGTAGGTCAGACTTTTTGACTATGTTGACACATCGTATTGCATCTGCGTAGAACGATGGGTATGCTGTTGATCACTGTATTGTCTGGTCCAGACTATATTATTTACAGACCGTCGTTAACAGCTGGAATTTCACTGAGTGCAGCGTTAAACAACAAACAAAACAACATAAATCCAGGCCTGTGCATCACATGGGATATTACATATAGCAAATAGGTGGAATTTAGATTTCATGCGTGGGAACAATGTGTGGAACCCGTTTCTGGTGTACCCCGCTATGACATAGTTGGACTATTACTGAAAGCGGCGTAAATCCATACTCACTCAGACTGAGTGGGTAAGCGTTGAAGCAAACAGCAGGTGCTGAGTTCGCATCCCGCTTGAAACTGGATTGCCTGTGGACCAAACATGTTTCCGGGTCCCCACGGTGTACAGGTTAATCACCCTGGACATTAAGATGATAGACGACCATTTGGTGGAAACCCGAATACGTTCATACACCGGTAACATGGGTGTAAGGCCGTGACATCATTCCAGTGTGCCTTATTTCTCTCAAACCCATGAAGGTCCGGGTTAGAATGAACCTTCAGTAACCCATGCTTGTTGTAAGAGGCGACTAGCGTGATCGGGTTGTCAGGCTCGCTGGCTTGGTTGACATGTCATCGGTTCCCAATTGCGCATATCGATGCTCATGCTGTTGATCACTGGATTGTCTGGTCCAGACTCGATTATTTACAGGCTGCCGCCATATAGCTGGAATATTGCTGAGTGCGGCGTAAAACTAAACTCACTCACTCACTCGCTCATTTCTCTCAGAAGGCCAATGTGCGAGGAAGATACACAAACCCTAAAGCTCCCTTAGAAAATCCGAATGCGTACTGCTCCACTAGTCAGAGATCAAACAAACCGCTTTTGAGCAGTTACTGAGCCTATAAATGGTTGAAGCGTCAGCACGTCACGCTCAAGACCCGGGTTCGATTCCCTACATGGGTACAGTGTGTGAAGCCAACTTCTGGTGTCCCCCGCCGTGATATTGCAGGAATATTGCCGAAAGCGGCGTAAAACAATACGCACTCACTGAGTACCTCGGTCAAAGAACACTATGAAGCCACAACAACTAAGATTGCGAAGCGTGCTTTGTGCGGCTCTTCTCTCTGATACTGATTCTGCTTCAGCGTTTGGATCTGTTGTCGAAGTTAATTATTTGTATCTGCCATAAGGACAAACTATTCTCGATATTCAATTTAAACATAATGAAACAAGACTAACCCGAGAGGCCAAATCAACCCTTTCGCCTTGTCCCAGTTTATTCATATTGTTTCACTTACAACGTTTTGAGAGGGTTTCACGAGTGACACAGTGGGTTGAGGCGCCTCGTTACGTTGTGCAGCGTAATGAATCCCGGTTGGGTCCACTGATGTGTGTTTGTCAACACTCACGTTTCATCAAAGGATAAACTTCGAAGACCTGCATCACTTCGGACTTTCCTCAGGGCGGTGGGGTAGCCCAGTGGTTAAAGCGTCCATTCGTCACGCTGCAGACCCGGGTTCGATTCCCCACATGGGCACAATGTGTGAAGCCCATTTCTGGTGTCCCCCGCCGTGATTTTGCTGGAATATTGCTGAAAGCGGCGTAAATAAACTCACTCACTCGGACTTTTCTCCCACATCAAGTTGCCATGCTGTGAAATAACGGAAACAATATTTAAAGCGGCATTAAACCAAACGCTCTCATTCACTATAGATAACTGATAGGAAACTGAGGGCTTGCAGACCTCAGTGCCAGGTGTGGAATGATTGTTCCAATTGTTGGCCGGGTGGTCCCTTTGCTTCTACAACGGGTTATCATTATTACTGGTGACCTGTTGGGGAGACCCCTAGAGTTAACGTGCCGCGGTGATTTGGCATGACAGTTGAAGTAGGCTTGTTGTACTAGTAGCTTTGAAGTATTGTTGGCATGGTCTCAGTTCTGCCTGATAATTACTGTCAATGCCTAGTTTATTGATAGTAAAGGTACGTACATAACCAGTGATTCGATAATCCAGTCTATTGGAATCAACTATGAATGGTTCCTTCTAGATTAACGGGGCGGTGGGGTAGCCTAGTGGTTAAAGCGTTGGCTCGTCACGCCGAAGACCCGGGTTCGAATCCCCACATGGGTGAAATGTGTGAAGCCCATTTCTGGTGTCCCCCGCTGTGATGTTGCTGGAATATTGCTAAAAGCGGCGTAAAACCAAACTCAGTCAGTCAGTCTAGAATAACGAGGTTTCCTAGTTGAAGGCTCAGTCCTCTTACCACTTTTATATGGGCTGTTGGGGTAGCCTAATGGTTCAAGCGTCCGCTCGTCACGCTGCAGACACGGGTTCGATTCACCACATGGGTAAAATGTATGAAGCCCATTTCTGGTCTCCCGCGCCGTGATATTGCTGGAATGTTCCTAAAAGCAGCGTAAAACCATACTCACTCACTTCCACTTGTATAAGCCTGATAATGATCCTTCACACTGTGACCGTCGGTTTAATGAAATGCCTGCATCAGTGTTATTCCGACCCGTGAAGGTCCGGGTTAGAATGAACCTTCAGTAACCCATGCTTGTCGTAAGAGGCGACTAACGGGATCGGGTGGTCAGGCTCGCAGACTTGGTTGACACATGTCATCGGTTCCCAATTGCGCAGATCGATGCTCATTCTGTTGATCACTGGATTGTCTGGTCCAGACTCGATTATTTACAGACCGCCGCCATATAGCTGGAAAATTGCTGAGTGCGGCGTAAAACTAAACTCACTCACTCACTCACTAATCCAACATTCAGCGGACAAGTCCATACATCGGGGAAATATTTTTTAAAAGCGATGATAACCCAACCCATGACCCATTTTATGAAATTTTTACGTTATGCACAATTACTTTTTTCCCAGTAGTATGCAAGCAGGAACATTTTTTATGATTTCATTGAAATTACTCATCTGATGATGGCTTGCACAGCTTTACCGGATGTGACAGTACGTTAATTGATTTCATGCGAGACACTCCATTTGATACAGGTGTTCTATATTGTTGGAAGAAGTAATTACTTCCAGAAAAAGAAAAGGAAGATTATTTCACCCCTCGATTTCTCAGTGTAATTGTTCGGGTCCTTTCACTGAAAAAAATCGTTGCATGATATGTGAACAAAATCGTGTCCCTAACATACATTATTTTGTTGAGTATATCTTTTGGGGTGAAAGGGGTTTATTTGACGAGGGAAGGGGGTGTTTTGTCGGCTTCATGGATCTAGTAGGTCGACACGACTCGCAGTCATATCCAATTACAACTTGCAACATTAGATTTGTAATAGCTATTGATTTTCTGCACGAGTTCCCAGCTCGTGAAGACAAGCGGTTTCCCGCATGGTGACCAACTCACTCATAATACATAGACAAAATAATCTTTAAGAGAATAATTTTAATAATCTGATCAAGGTAACAACCAAACATGGAATTCATTTATACAAACTGTGTAAAGTTTCTTCGTTACCCAGTGTATTATTCATTCATTAAGTTGTACCTGAATACCTTATCACAGATCGTATTTGTTAAGACAGCTTAACGCGGAAAAGTAGACGCTCTCTTAAAAAGAGAAAAGCCAATATTTCGGTAAATGATTTTCAGACCTTTCTGATCTTGAGCATTTTAAGGCATGGCGTTGCGTGCTTGTCGGTCTTATGTTTCGTGTAATACCACATGTTTGTGTCGACAGCACCTGGGAAAAACAAGTCATGTTCAACTGTTAAAAATGCCTACCGAATATTGTATGTTTGTTATAGTGTTGTTATACGATGTGCGTCTTGCGCCGACTTGTTACCCGTCCTAAATATACTGGACAAAATATGTTAGGGATATTGGTATTTTTATGATTTATATTTTATCAGTGTGTCATGGAATAAATAGATCATATCATAATTTCAAACTTTACATATACCCGTTTCTAACCTCGAAAATTAGATACCTCGAAAATTTCCCGGTATACGGTATCCCTGACTATTTTTGTCCAGTATATAATACAGATTATAAGACCTCAACAGAAACCACTTTTCCAACTGTCCAATTTTCACGTACTGGATTCTGAGACATATGAAAAAAGGTCATGGGGCACATATGTTACCTGTAGCGAAAAACAATGAGCAAATTTTGTCTTGCTTAAAGGTCTTACAGAATAATAATTCTTTAGCTGTCTCTAAATGTCTTTAAATACCTTGCCCTCTGATACGACTGGGACGGGTCTAGAATATTGGGTAAAAAGGGGTGCACAGTGTATGCTTGCAGTTATTCACAGATAATTCCCTGGCGTTAGTCTATTGTTTATGTTATCCAAAATCTTAGTTTCCAAACAAGTCCTTAACCCCTACACAGCTACACCCAGAACGGAATCCTGCATATGTTGGACAGGAACAGACGAATCAAGCCCAAACCTGAGCGCTTCCAGGCTTGCAAGGACAAGTTGGACGTAATTATCACGTGCGAAGAGCGCGTGTATGACCAGGTCATTGATGGTGAGTTATTCCTTCTCGGTCTGGGCTTGTGCGTTTTATCTGCATGAACGCATTCGGCAATTATATATACTCCTCACAAAAAAATAAGCAACAAGAATTTTCAGTGTAACATTTTTATCAATCTCGATAGCGATTTCTGGCAACAGTTACTGAAAGGTAAAGAATACATAACCTTTAGTGACTGTCAAATTGATTTATCTGATAACATTGACAACACCTGAACACAACCACATTCAGAAACAACATGCAAAATGTGTGGCATGAATGTGCTCCACTCTTCACACATGCACCCTGATCGGTGTAAACCTACCTGTAATCATTCCTCTGACACAACAAGCGGGTCCTAACTTCATTTTTATGGATGATGATGCCCGAGAAAGAGTTTAGATCAACGACATCACACATATGGACTGGCCTGCAAGGTCACTTGATCTTAATTCCATTGAACATGTTTGGGACATCATTTGGAGTCGTGTTTACGGTCTCCATGTTCACCCCCAGACTCTGGATGACCTTGAGCAGGTGTTACAGACATTCCACAGCATTCCACAGCATTCCACAGCATCATCCTGAGAGGCTCATTTGGTCAATGCAAACACGTGTAGAAGCTTGCATTTGTGTTCATGGTGGTCATACGCGTTACTGAACACAGCTTCACTGTCCAAAACTGACTTGAACCATAATGTTAACATTTTGCTCCACCAATGCAACACTTTTTGCGAGACTGGGTCGCGGGTACATACTTTTGATGATTTGTAAATCTATTATTGCTCAATACCTTTTCATTCCATTTTGTTCATCGTGTGTACATTGTTTCACCTTTCTAGTGCATCATTCCATGATTTGCAATTTCAATAAATGAAAATGTAATGAAACTACAAATTTGTGTTGCTTAACATTTTGTGAGGAGTATAAATATGATTTGCTGTGTCACAGAGTTGTGCCGCTTGACAGTGCCAGGATACACAAACGTTTGATCTTTTTTCAACACCAGCTTTGGATTTCCCTCCAATGATGTAACTGCTTTAAAGCAGCGGTAAATTTAATACCTGTCTATGGTAATGCCGTTGGTTCGAATCCCGATTCACCTTGATATATTTCTAGGTTTCTGGGCACCATGCCCATGCTCGTAGTAGATGTTTTTATACCGGCCATTTCAGACGTTCTTCCTTCATTAAAGTGGTATGCTGTGATAACCTGATATGCCATTAGGCAACAATCTAACGTACTTAAAATACGGTATGTGCAATAGGGATTGAGATGTAATTGTAATCCTTGGCAGATCTGGAGTCCAGGACGAAGGATGAAAAGCAAGCTGTCCACATCATCAACATTGATATCCAGGACAACCACGAGGAAGCCACGATAGGAGCCTTCATGATATGTGACCTCGTCACACTGGTAAGGAAGACGTTCGCTGGAACATCGAGCACCTGTTTTGAATCACTGCCTTTAGTTACAATGAATTTGAATGTGGCCTAAATGTTAGCACATTTAGGCATTCCATGTTAGGAACAAATAGCCAGGTGGACCTGGGTACGAGTTTCTGTGATTTAATTAGTAGCGTGTCTTCGTATCCTGACGTCGAGGATCATTGCTCCTAATATCGATCACAGGATTGTCTGGTCGCACCTCGATGATTGCAGGTTTTGGGCATAGAGCTGGAATATTGCTGAACATCGCTTTGGAAGAAATTGTATCATACTGCTTGCGACTCCCGTCAAAATCTTGGTTTATTGGCCCAAAGTCTTGGAACCAGACCATGCTTCACTGACAGCCGCTCTAAAGCCGAATAATGTAGACTGTTGTGTTATGCAACAACAGAATACCCCAAAATGTATTTTTCAACCTTGAAGACGATATTTAACCTACCCTCACCACACCTATAACTTTAAAAGCTCTTTCATACCAGACATACTGTATTACATCCTTTGATCAATCGTTATGTTTCAGTTGCATACTTCAGATGACTTGGATAACGAGATCGACGAAATCCTCCAGGAGTTCGAAACCATTGTGGACCGGGCTATACTGCACACAGCGATATTCTACTGACGGGTGTAATAGACACACTGAATGAACTGTGAAAACATAGTACACTTGGGGACTCTCTCAAAAGCGATTCCACATCAAATGTCAGCACTACCAAATATTTGTGTTTACAGTACACATTCACACAGAAGTAAAGATCTATCAGGGTGGGGTAGGGGCGGGGTTCATGACGGGTTTGAGACAGGAGGGGTGGGATCATTTACGGGTGGGCAGGGCGTTAGATCGGGGTGGAGTGGGGAACAGAACAGGATGCCCAAATATTTTACAGTACACGTTCAAACTGAAGTAATGATATACTGTCGGGGGTGGGGGTTGTGTGTTTTGTTCAGTAAGAGTTTGAGGCAGGAGGGGGTGGGTCATTTACAGTGGACAGGGCATTAGATCGGGGTAGAGAGGGATCAGATCAGGATGCCCAAATAGTGGTGTTTACAGTAAACATTCTCACAGAAGTAATTATATAATGTCTATTTGGGGGGGGGATTTGGTGGTGGTGGTGGGGTTTCAAGTAGGGTTTGAGGCAGTAGGAGTGGGATCACTTACGAGTATGCAGGACATTAGATCGGGGTGGAGCGGGATCAGATCCGCGTGGGGAGGGGGGTCAGATCAGGGTGGGTACATGCTTGTGCCAGTTCCGGAGGAAGGACACGATAGGGGCATTACTGGGGTCAGATCAGTATGGATAGTATCTGCCTTTCAGGAATACTGGTCTGCTCCAAGACTAGCGCCGGCCCTGGTATAGACTTGTGGGTGGTGATTCAGGTGCAAGGTCACTTGATGTGGCAGTTGACCACAACAGGTCAAGAATGTATTCTTTGGACAAGTCGGGCGTGGGAAGCACGTTTTCATGTTGATAACATATTGTTCGAAGGGCACGTGCGCTCTTCACACCTCCTCCAGGTGCTGTTCACTTCTGTCCTCTCGGGACAGCACAGTTAAGCATTTTAGTGCAGACTTGAGAAGACTTTTTCTTTTTCTGTTAAGTTAGCCATGCAGCAGAAAGAATAATTTGAATGAACTGGAAAACCAGATGAGATGAAGTTAGGCATCATCCAATGATATCCTCAAACTTGTGACAAGCTCAACTGAAACTTCTGACTCCAAGAATGGTGCAGTAACGATATTGAGCTGACTCAGCAATTTGCCAAACTTAACCACGTGTTACGTGGTTAGCCTTCTCCGTAATGTCGTATATCAAACTGATTGATTTACCGTAAAGACACACACACATATACCATCGACAAAAAAATGAGAGAACTGGTGAAATAATAGAGTAATGACGATGGCTAAACCAATCGCGTGAGAGATGATCAATACCTAGTGTGACCTCCATATTGGCTATACAAGCAAGACACCTCGATGGTATACTGTTAATTTATACCCTTTGCCCTTGGAATTGCCCACCATGAAGTGGTACCAGAAGCTGGGTCACGTTGTCTTCTGGCAGATACTCCATTAGAGACATGTCAGTAGATGTATCTGGTCAATCACTGGGTGCAGGAGACCAATGTCAGTACGCCACCTCTCTGGAGATATTCGGTGACAGCCTTGCCGCAGTGTCGTCTTTCATTGCCATATCCAGCCAATATGGGTGTAATATGACCCAGGCCTGTAAAAAATAGATTATCATACCTGCTGCCAAAGGTTCAGGTAACCTGGGATAAGGGCGTCCCCATATCTTCAGTACCCACACTTCGTCATTTTGTGAATGGAGATACTGTGTGGGAAGGGTTTTGATGGTGTGTTCGGCTGCAGTTGTGATCGGGGCGGTGGGGTAGCCTAGTGGTTAAAGCGTTCGATCGTCACGCCGATGACCCAGGTTCGATTCCCCACATGGGTACAATGTGTGAAGCCCATTTCCGGTGTCCCCCGCCGTGATAATGCTGGAATATTGCTAAAAGCGGCGTAAAACCATACTCACTCACTCACTCCACTGGGTGATCACAATTTGGCCTGATTTGTTAACGTATTTTTCGGTTTTTGTATCACAGCGGGTAGGGTAGTGGTTAAAGCGTTCGCTCGTCACGCCGAAGACCCGGGTTCGAGTCCCCACATGGGTATAATGTGTGAAGCCCATTTTGGTGTCCCCCGCCGTGATATTGCTGAAACATTGCTTAAAGTGGCGTAAAACTAGACTCACTCAATGCACAGGCATGACGTGCTGTTCTTTCATCTTTTGAAATTTCGTTGTAATGGGATGCTGTGTTATGTGCAATGCCTCAGTTTTGTATATGTACACCTCGACGATAGCTGCATCCGAATCCTTCGTTACCTTGTATTTTGTCGATGGTATATTTGTATTTATTTCCATCTGCTCCTTACCTAATGTCATGAGATTGCTCGCTTGTTGAGTTTTTGCTCACATTGTGTAAATACTGTACATATGTAATTATTTGTAACAAAGGTCCACTCTTGACATAAAGGATTTAGTGGGAACTTCAGTATATTACCATGTATCAAAGTGCGCCACAGCGCACCCAACGGAAACATGTCGTTTGTACGATGTAAAAGCTGAACGGTCATTGGTCGGAACACTCGGTGAAGCCAGGACGCTGCTTGATTGGTTGAAATCAGCCATTGCACAGCAAAGCGGAAGTGTTCACGTGGGCAGTATTGGCGATGCTTCAAATTTACTTTTACGATTTGAGGATGCGCTAAAACGTTAATGTTCCTCGGGAGGGTTTTTCTGGGAATTTTAGAGGAATGCTTAATATATTTTTTAACCAAACATTCCAAAATTGCCATTGGACACAAAAATCTTCTGGTCTCGGCTCTCTAATACAATGTCAGTTTTCGTACATGACTACAGACTCGATTCCTGTGACGCGGGGGAATTTGAAAATGGATTTAATGCCGCCGATGTTCGAGAAACATTGTTACTTGTACATCAGTTGGAATAAGACTTGGGTTCAGTATTGGCGATATTATCAATGACCAGCTTCGTGGAACGTTATCCTCCCGGTTTAACTATATTGTTATTCATTAGAATGAATTGGGATTGGTGAACAGGCTTTACAGCTTATGTTAACGTTATCCTTCTGATGTAATGTCGGTGATGTCTCTTGGTATTAATCGGTTTGGTGTTGGGTAAACCTGTGTGAGCGAACATCAGAAGCACATTGGCTCTTTGAGTTTGCTTTGTGTTTGGTAAACTCGTTAGCCATGTGATGTTGAACCCATGCACCAGAGCTACGTGACAGAACATCACGTCAAATCTGTAACACCCCACATAATGTCTCTCGCCGATGAGAGTAATTTGATTGGACGGCTATTTTTAGCATCGCGTCTTTCGTAATGAAATATAGATACATATATATTAGTCTTCATACTATTGGGGTTATCCATATGATAAAAATCTAAGGCCTAGTTCCACAAAGCCGAGATAGACATACAATAGTCGTGGCGCTAAGATCGGGTCCTGTGATTGAAACCTATTATTTCAGGTTCGGATCCTGGTTCGTCATTTTTATATTAATGGGTTTCGCCAAAATATAAACATCTCAACCTTGGGCATTCCTCGAACATCAAGCTGAGAGGCGTGGAATAAGGTAGTTTTAATCCAAAGTACCTGTTTTTGTATTAGATTCAAAATTCTAATTGCGGACAACTCACTCAATAGGGCGATCTGCCGCCATATATCTGGCATATTGCTGAGTGCAGCGTTAAACAACTAACCAACCAACCAACCAATAGGGCTTTCAGCCCAATCTGCCCATATACGGGGCGGTGGAGTAGCCTAGTGGTTAATGCGTACACTCGTCACACCGAAGACCCGTGTTCGATTCCCCACTTGGGTACAATGTGTGAAGCCCATTTCTGGTGTGCCCGCCGTGATATTGCTGGAATATTCCTAAAAGCGGCGTAAAATTAAACTAATCTCATGTACCCCAGTTGGGTAGATACATTGTATTCGGAAGAATGTGCCCACACTTCCTTTCTCCCACTCGCTCCACACACGCTTAGGTTAAGCAGACGCTCACCGTGGAGATAATTATGACATTAAAAAGACAAAATGATTGATCTGTTACAGACATTTTCATGTATAATGAAATTGTTTGCTTGAAATAATACCCATTTCCCGAGACTTCTTCTTTTTTGTGTATTATATATACTCGATAAATAGCTGTTTGTCCTCCTCTACAACTCCAGCAGTGCCTGGTTGTGTGTCTCTGTGTTATAGTTTCGTGTAGGTTTGTGCTTAAACTGTATTAAAACTGTTGATTCAAACACTTTGCCGGTGGATAAGGAAGTAATCGTGTACAAAGTATTGAGATTTGAGTACCCAACTCTTCTCACTCCTTCGGGGGGCGGTGGGGTAGCTTAGTGGTTAAATCGTTCACTTGTCACGCTGAAGACCCAGGTTCGATTCCCCATATGGGTACACTGTGTGAAGCCCATTTCTGGTGTCCCCCGACATGGTATTGCTAGATTATTGCTAAAAGCTGCGTAAAACTCGCTCACTCACTCCTTTAGGCCAGTTCTTGTTTTTCCGGGACGAGTTAAACAGGTTCCCAGAATTTACGGAAAGGGACGATTGGTGACGAACTCTTGTTCCCTTTTTGCAGTCGTCTGCCCGGGATAAGTTGAATGACGATATTTTATGTTACAGATTGCGGGGAATTCTGACCAATCATAAAAGCCGAAAAGATTCTTTTGAACCATGCGCATATGTTTCTACAAGGAGATAATTCCAAAACAGAACATTGTTACTTCTGATATGTTACACGTGACGGCCCAACATACAACGAGTGCTATCAGTTACTGTCGGCAGGTTAGAGAAGTTTGAAAATACATAATTGTTGCTATTTGGTTGATTTTCTGTGTCCATTGAAGGCTATACGCCTTGAGGGATTTCCTTGTATAAATTACAGTAAATAGTGGGCAGTTTTGTATGGCTGTCATAATGGTTGTCAATATAGAGTCTAAAATATGTAATGACATTTGTATAAATAAACTATTTTTGATGTTTGGTTATCGTTTCTTTCAAGTCCTAATGAAACTGTCTCTGGACTGTTGTCTAAGTGCTTGCGTCCCTTGGCGTTGCCAGGATCTGCTTATACTATGCCCGACACCTTGTTTTGTTCCAACTGTATGATGGTACTCGTGCCCACCGGCGTCATATCAACCGACAAGAAGAGATGGTGCCCAGACCACGGCATTTAGTGGATTAGACAAGAACTGGTCGTTCAGAGTCGGACGCTAGGGTATTTGTGGGCATGGTATCTCAATGTGCAAGCGCTACAAAATCGAGCTGGGATAATCACCTACGCACACGAGCATATGTGCATGCATAACGCCACATTAGACCGTACCTGTTTGTGTGCATGGTTCTCATGCCGGGTGTGAAGCACATTTCTGGTGTCCCTCCGCCGTGATATTCTGGAATATTGCTAAAAGCGGCGTTAAACCATACTCACTCACTCAGATCTACCGACCACTATAACATTTAGAAACCAAAAATCAGAATGACAAGGGATCGTTTTCACGTTTAAAGTAATCAGGCGCGTAGCAAGCCAATGTTTTCGTGTAAGCCCGATAGGTTGCAAATCTTTAGATAGTATTGGGGGCTTTTAATAATCATGTACAATGCATGTCTATTCGGACCGAGCAAGCACATGTCAGTCGAGCAAAACCCGTTTTTCCACAGAGAAAATGTTGACAGTGACGTCAGTGCCCATTTCAACTGTCCCAGTCTCAACAAAGTTCGACGTCCAAAACTGCCTGTCATCCCTCACAGCTTGATCTCTGTTCTTCATACACAACAGACCGCCTCCGTGGTTAGTGGTCATACCAAAAGACGTTAAAATATGGTACTTGTTGGTCCCTGCCTGGCGCTCGGCATTAATTGGTACAACAAGGACTAGTCAGCTCGGAGTCAGTATAATGTGTCTGAGTGGGATATTCATGCTTCACTGAGGCATGGTATCTCAGTGGGCTAGCACTATAAAACCAGCTTAAGTCTGGGCTAGTACAAGCAGCCGCACATACACATACACACACATGCACGTCGTCATATGAGCGAAATATTCTCAAGCACGACGTTAAACCCAATTTCACCTCACCTCACCTCATACACAACAGAACATGAGCGCTCTTCCTTAAGGGGTGAGTGAGTTAGTTTTACGTCAGCAATACTGTGGCGGGAGACACCATAAATGGGCTTTACACATTCTATCTATGTGGGGAATCGAACCAGGGTCTTTCGCGTGACGAGCAAACGCTTTAACCACTATGCTACCCACCAACCCTCTACATCAGGGAGCACATGTGAATGAGTTTAATATTACGCCGCCCTTAGCAATATTACGGCGGGGGACACCAGAAAATGGGCTTCGCATGTGGAGAATCGATTCCGGGTGTTTGGCGTGACGAGCGAACGGTGTAACCACTGGGCTACCCCACATGTTTAGCACAAATGTAGCCTACAGAATGGAACATCATTAAGAAGCATTGTTCAGTTACACTGGGAGACGATATAGCATGGCTGGTAATCAATAACAGTACAAAACACAGTTAACGAACCCAGACGTTTGTAGTAACACTGACTGACTTTTAGCAATATTCCAGCAATATCACGGCGAGGGACACCAGAAATGGGCTTCACACATTGTACCCATGTGGGGATTCGAACCCGGGTCTTCAGCGTGACGAGCCAACGCTTTAACCACTAGGCTACCCCACCGCCTCTTTTGTAGTAACAGATAGTACGCCAACTGAACGGTACTCCAACACATCGGCAGACTACAGCACGTCGTCATCCATGTGTTGAAGATGACTTGTCTCGTGCTTGCCAGCCTTGGAGCAGAACAGGCAGCATTTTCAAGAGCCTGAGAAACAGACTGGATTTTCATGACAGCTATATGTTTTATGTCATGCGTCAATAGGATTTTCTGGAACATACATTAGAGTGAAACAAATGTTATATTTATCTCTTAAACTTTAAATACATCTAATATGGAAATATATCGAGATATCCGAAATATCGAGTTAAAAGAGCTTTGAATAATGATAAATTATGAAGGATTTTGCCGGGACCGAGACGTTATATCGATACAGTCGAGATATCGAGTTATCAGAGTTCGACACAACGGTGCTCGACTGTATTCTGTACAAAATAATTAGAAGAACACCCGGCTATCCTGACATGAGGTGGGTTTTCTGGAACTTCTTGTGTTGTACAATAATTAATACAGGAAGAAAATGCGTATCAATTATCTTAAGAATGGACGACAATAACTATCGATATCATGTTTCAAAACATCTATACAATTGGTACATATCCAGAAAATACGAGACCCGTGAACATCCGGGTTACACCTTGTCTTCAGCAACCCCTACTTGTTAAAAGGCGACTAACGAGATCGGGCGGTCAGGCCTGCTGACTTGGTTGAAGCATGTTATGGTATCCCAGTTTCGTAGATCGATGCTCATGATCACTGGATTGTCTAGTCCGCATCGATTATTACCGCTGTGATATAGTTTGAGTTTTGATGACCGTTAAACAACAAACAATATAAAGATGAGGCATGTGTGTGCCTTGACACTTCTGTGCATCTTTGTAAAGGTGCTTTTACCAACGCAGTTGAATGTTCCTTTAACGTGGATGATACCCATTTCGCAGTGCCTGTCTATAAACGTGCGGATCTTCTCTTAGTGATATTGTCTTGTGGAGATGTAAAGTCGGTCATTGATTAAGCCACAGGCTACACAAGGCGCACCCGGAATTATTGTCGAGAGGATATGATTGCCAAATTCTATAATTCGATGGTTTTTGATATCTTCTCCTAGGTAAATCATTAGATCATCTGTGTAAACGAAAGTATGAAAGCTTTTATGATCTTGTAGGCTCACTACAGATAACATGAGAAACACCAACTAATAATTCGCTCGTTAAATGCACGACAGCTGCAACATTCCTGGGAACAAGGCCATCTGCTGTTTTCATCCGATGAACCGGTCCGGTTATTGAATTACGGGTCAGAGAATAACAGAAACCGGCTGTTAATGATTTGGACAGGGTCACGCTGTTAAAAGCATTGTTGTTTTGAATATCTATGTCAAATGCGGTTTCTTGTACACCTATGATCAATACCTTAACGAATGAACAGGTGCCGTTACGAGGCCATGACGCTCCCTCTACTGTCAGATACATGTCCTCTATGACGCTCCGTCTACCTTCAGATACATGTCCTCTATGACGATCCAACTACTGTCAGATACACGTGCTCTATGACGTTCCCACTACTGTCAGATACACGTCCTCTATGACGTTCCCACTACTGTCAGATACATGTCCTCTATGACGTTCCCACTACCGTCAGATACATGTCCTCTATGACGCTCCCTCTACTGTCAGAAACATGTCCTCTATGACGCTCCCTCTACTGTCAGATACATGTCCTCTATGACGCTCCCACTACTGTCAAATACATGTCCTCTATGACGCTCCCTCTACTGTCAGATACATGTCCTCTATGACGCTCCCACTACTGTCAGATACATGTCCTCTATGACGCTCCCACTACTGTCAGATACATGTCCTCCATGTCGTTCCCACAACTGTCAGATACATGTCCTCTATGTCTCTCCCACTACTGTCAGATACATGTCCTCAATGACACTCCTTACTACTGTCAGATACATGTCCTCTATGACGCTCCCACTACTGTCAGATACATGTCCTCTAAGACGCTCCCTTTACTGTCAGATACATGGCCTCTATGACGCTCCCTCTACTGTCAGATACATGTCCTCTATGACGCTCCCACTATTGTCAGATACATGTCTTCTATGACACTCCCACTACCGTCAGATACATGTCCTCTATGACGCTCCCACTACTGTCAGATACACGTCCTCTATGACGTTCCCACTACCGTCAGATACATGTCCTCTATGACGATCCCACTACTGTCAGATACACGTCCTCTATGACGTTCCCACTACTGTCAGATACATGTCCTCTATGACGTTCCCACTACTGTCAGATACATGTCCTCTATGACTCTCCCACTACTGTCAGATACATGTCCTCTATGACGCTCCCACTACTGTCAGATACACGTCCTCTATGACGTTCCCACTACCGTCAGATACATGTCCTCTATGACGATCCAACTACTGTCAGATACACGTCCTCTATGACGTTCCCACTACTGTCAGATACACGTCCTCTATGACGTTCCCACTACTGTCAGATACATGTCCTCTATGACGTTCCCACTACCGTCAGATACATGTCCTCTATGACTCTCCCACTACTGTCAGATACATGTCCTCTATGACGCTCCCACTACTGTCAGAAACATGTCCTCTATGACGCTCCCTCTACTGTCAGATACATGTCCTCTATGACGCTCCCACTACTGTCAAATACATGTCCTCTATGACGCTCCCTCTACTGTCAGATACATGTCCTCTATGACGCTCCCACTACTGTCAGATACATGTCCTCTATGACGCTCCCACTACTGTCAGATACATGTCCTATATGTCGTTCCCACAACTGTCAGATACATGTCCTCTATGTT